GGATCTCAGAGTGAGGTGGGCTAGGGGTCTGTAAAATGGATGTTTTCGTATCTACGTCATTCAGCTCATTTTCCGTTAGTAGCATTCTACGCTATTCCAAACTGACCTACTCACTATTCAAAGCTCTCGCGCATGAGTCGGATATCTTTCGGCCCCGTACGACAACATCCACCCACCAACCTCACACCCGCATCATACCACGCGTTGAGTCCCTCCTTTGTAAACTTACAGTCTTTGTCATCATTTTCGTGCCATTCCTTGGTGGTGCCATCATAAATCTCACCCGAATTAGGGTACACCAAAAGCGGGAGTGTCCCACCCACCAAGCCCTTGAGGCTCTGAAGCAACGCCGGCACCATGGCAAGCGAGACGCAGTTACCACCGATGGCAATCAAAGAGACAAGGGGCTTCTTAGCAAGGTAGCTCACCACCTCTGCGATAGGAGTGCCGTCACATATCTGGGTAGGCGAACGGTAGTTGAACGAAACGTAGAACGGCTTGCTGACCCCCAACGCTTGGGTCATCTCCTCAAGCAACTCCATACACACTTTGAACTCAACCACGTTGGGAAACGTCTCGAACGCCAAGAGATCCACGTCTCTGTTGTTCAAAAATGTCACCAAGCGCAAAGCGTGGAATCTTTTGAGCTCCGCCGCCGTTACTGATCCGTAGTCACCGGTGTACTCTGCTCCATTGGCGAGATACGCCCCGTAGGGTCCAATGGCAGCAGCCACGAGGGGCCTCATTCTCGGGGTATCGGGGTTTTCTCCCACCCACTGGTCAACCGCAGCCACCGCACAAGCGATACTCTTATCAAAGATGACAGCACACTTTTGGGGGGTGTCAATGCCAAAATCTGCCCCGTGTTCAAGCAAGCCGAGCTCCAGAGCCTGGTAGGACGAGGTGGTGACGATATCTGAACCAGCAGCGATATAGGAATAGTGAATGCGAGTGATGATCTCCGGCTGCAGGATGAGAGTGAGACCTGACCAGAGCTTGTGATGCATCGCGGGGGGATGGAGTAATTCGAGCTCCGAGCCCAAACCGCCATCAAGAATCAAGGGCTTGGAAAGCTGACGAAGAGAGGTCGCGGTGAAAGCCATTGGTTTAAGAGGATTGATAGTGCACGACAAGTTGGTGGGGTCAATGGATACAGTAAAACTTACCGTGCGGTGGAATAAATCTCTTGTTTTCGAAACCAACTTCAGTCTAGACTAATCGATCACCGAGGGCTGCTGGGGGAATACACTTGTGCCATCCTGAGCAGGCTAATAGATCCGGTCATGGCTCAACATGCAGGACTATACTATGAATAAGCGTCACCTGATGAATAACACGTGACATATATAATTCTTCCCGGATCTCCTAACGCTCAGCGCGTCAATATAACCCAGAGGAACGAGCTATTTGCGATATTAACGGATCTTTAAGTTGTAAACTGGTTATTGTTTCGTGAGCTTTCAGCTTTCCTTATCCTTGGGCGGATGGTGTCTACTCTGTATGTATCCATCGGTGTAGTGGAAAACTGCACTCGGCTGGCTACTCCAGTCAGAGGATCTCGGCAATTCAGTCCTTATTCCAACATTATATTTTAAACGAAGTAAGTTTCTATGGACCTGATTCTTTAAAGCGAATTAGGAGGTTCGGCCCAGTTCTTTTCGGCTATCCCCCACAGATACCCGAAGCGAAAGTCCGGGGCATCTGTACAGGATTTCTCACTGAAAAGCTCGTTAACATAACCCAAGGTCAATTGCAAGATACCTGGATACATTGTGTTTATCCCCATAAACAGCCAAAAATGTCCAATTTCTACTTTCAAATTGATCCATTAGCTCACTCGGAACACACTGCTATTATTGGAGGCGTCAAAACCTACTTCTACGGCCTTTCCAAGCTCGCGGACGTGGCTCCATCTCTGGACGTCCTCCTCTTCTTCTTGATGCACGGTAGAGGCGAATCGCATATTGCCAGTCAAAGTGTGGCATTTAGATTGATGACCAAGTGGTATAGCGCCGGTCAAACTACCCCATTGGTGTGCATCACCATCGATAACCCCAACCATGGGGCCAGGCTCGTTGATGACCACGCCAACAATGCCTGGAACAAGGGCAACCAGAACCACGCCTTGGACATGGTCTCCATAATCGACACCACTGCGAACGAATACGCTATGTTGGTTGATTACGCCCCTGCGTACATCTCGACTCTTTTATCTCTGGAGGGTGTGGCTTCCGATGCGTTTTGCTTCAGAAACGTAGTTTCAGGGATCAGTTTAGGGGGTCATGCGACTGTCCGTTTTGCCCAGAGAAATACTGCCAAGGTGGAGGCGATTGTACCAATTATTGGGTGCACTGATCTTTCTAGTTTGTTGCTCAACCGCCTTAGAAAGACGTACAAGACTGAGTTCGCGCACTTGACCAACTTTGGGTTGTGGAACGTGCTCTACGAAGAGTTGGAACTCTCGGCAGAGGATCAGGTAAAATACCCGAAGCGGTTCCATGATTTTCTTGCGGAGAAGGATCGCCAGGTGATGGAGGAGTTTGGAAACACGCAGACCAAAAAGTTGTTCCTTTTTGGGGCGGATGATGTATTGGTTTCGGAGAAGTATTCCAAGTTGTGGTTGGAAAACCATCCAGAGGGGCTACAAAGTTTCAGCCTTTCGGGCGTCGGTCACACCGTGACAGAGGAGATGGTGAGCCATATCCAGGTCTTTTTATCCCTGTTGGGCTGATATTAACGAGGGTCCCTGCGTGGCTCAAGTTCAAACCGGATAATTTTGTCTGTAGTTAGATGTGAGTTGAATGCCATGTATTTCGCAATCGATTCTCGAAGCATTTACGAGCCAAATTAAAAGTGTACACACAAAACTTATAAGGAATTCTATGAATGAACCGCCTTAGTGTTGGGTCTGGAGTATGCATAAACCACAGGTTTTCAGCTTTTCAGAGATTGAAAGACCTGGAAATGGGGAGTTTTGGCAGAGAATATAAAAACGATCGAGCTATTTACGACAAGCATTTATATCGTTATTTTACTCAGACATGCATAGTATCAAGATCCCTATTTCACTGTAAGTTGACATATATGTACACTCCATGAGAATTCAAACTGCTTTCTACAAGCTTTATGTTCTGAATCTCCTGGACTTTTAACTGCCAAGTCATGAGATGTATATAAAATGTATTGGCTTTGGCATAAATCATCATCCAGATAGACTTTGTTGGAATACGAAGCGTCAAACCCTGTGCATCCTGTGCTGCTCAACCCATATTTCTTGGAACCAGACACCTCGAATACATAGGAATTTGATCATCTAAGTTTCAGTTTATGTAAAAATATACTACATTAATGCACAGATCCGACAACCCTGGAGCTTTCGGATATATAACGCTCAAGCATTCTTAATCAACCCTCGCAATCCCTTCCACTTCCCCCATAAGCTTCCGTCGTAGCCCGCTCGGTTCAACCCCTCCACAAAGCCCCATGCGCGCGCGTCGCTCGCGATCGGGTAATCCAACGGCGCGGGGATCTTGGTCTTGATACCCGGGAGGCGGTCGTAGCACACACTTTTGGCCACCATCAACCCGAGAAGGCCCTCCTCGCCACCAAACTTGCCGTATCCCGAGCCGCCAACGCCGCCGAACGGCAACTGGCAAAGATAGTAGGTGGCAAAGTCGTTGATTGCCACATTCCCCGCACGGAGCTGGTTTGCAATTTCGTTGCACTTGTTCCAGTTACCACCAAAGACGGAGGCCCCGAGCCCGAAGGGCGTGTTATTCGCGAGTGTCACCGCGTGCGCGGCAGAGTCCGCGCGCATTACCACACAGACGGGTCCAAACACCTCTTCCTGCGCAATCTCCATGTGCAGCAGTACGTCGACTAAAAGTGTCGGCTCGAAGTAGTGTCCCTGCGGGTAGTTTGGGTGTTGGTACGCGGCACCACCGCACACAAGGCGCGCGCCTTGCGCGACCGCGCGCTCGACGAGGGTTTCGATGTGTGCGAAGCGGTTATTGGAAATGAGCGCGCCCATGTCGATGCCCTCGAGCTGATCGATGTCAGAGCCCAAACGGAGCTTGGGGATGCGCTGTGCGAGGGTGTCAACCAACGCGTCGTAGGCCTTGCCGACAGCAATAACACGCTCAATGCCGATGCAGTTCTGACCCAGCGACTGGAACGTGCCTCGCATGACTATCGAGGAAATGTCCGCAATGCTTGCGACGTCGTCGAGCACGATGAGCGCGTCTTTGCCACCAAGCTCCACCACCACCGGTGTGAGCGTTTTGGCGGCAGCCGCGAGTACGTGATGCGCAACCGGCTTGGAGCCGATAAACGTGATGTGTGCAAGCTGCGGGTGCGCGGTCAAATGGTCTGCGTCTTCCGGCCAGCAGCACACCAACTGCACAAGGCTGGGATCGTGTCCGCATACCTTCAACGCCATCTTGATAATTTCAATAAAGTACTGTGACGACCACACTACCTGCTCGGAGCACTTCACCACAATTGCATTCCCGGTAAATATCGCTGCGAGAACGGGACCCATGAGGTTGTGGAACGGATAATTCCACGAAACCATCGACGCCACCACTCCCATCGGCTCGTAGCGTACCTCGGCACCCTTGTAGCCCATGAGCGGGTTCGCAGCGCCGGGACGGCGCGACACGCGAAGCGTCTTTTCGCCGTACTTGATAATCCAGTTGGCCTTTTCGAGCGTCACAAGGATTTCGCCCATGGACGCATCGACCATCGTTTTACCGGAGTCACGGCATGCAACGCGTGCGATCGACGCCTGGTTTTTGAGAATGTAGTCGCTAAGTGTGCGCAACACCTGGCGGCGCGCGGCGAACGTTGTGTGTGCCCATTCCTTCTGCGCGACACCCGCCGCCTCGATAGCCGCGTCGATCTCCGCGCTCGTGGTTGACTTAAACTGTCCAAGGTGCTGGCCCGTGGCAGGGCAGTAAGACTGGATGAAATCTGGATGCGCGGCATTGCGGATGGAAATCGGGCTGAGGCGTTTGCCCTTCCAATGGGGCTGGGCTTCGTCGGGCACGGGCACTACGATCTTCTTCGCAGACTCCAGCGTTGGCACGGAAAAGTACCGTTTGTACGCAAAGTAGGTTGTGGCAACTACAAGAATAACGGTGGCCGACACCGATAGCTCTATTGAGTAGATTGAAATGGCGTGGGGCATTGTTGTGTCTGGTGGAATGGGTTGAGAAGGCGGGGAAGTGAAGCTTTATGGAACGTGCCGCTTATATAGTAACGTGAGCCGCGGGCTGCATATTTGTTGAGCGCTGTCGCGCACGACTTTGGTGGGGGTATCGGCAAGCTGTCGTAATGCACGGATTAAAAGTGGTTAGAGCATGATCTCGAAAGCCTTAGATATACACCTTTACAGGAAATTGGGCGCTAACAAAACGGTGATTTATGCCTGGTAAAGGTATGATTCCAAAATAACAGTGGAAAAGACGAAAATATAGAGAGATTGAGAAACATAAGACAATTCGTAGTGAGGTCAGGGGGAAGATGTGTGATTAAAAGTCAGATGTAATTCAAAGCAGAAATTTAATGCTACACTTCGGAACCTCCACGGTACTTTCGGCTGCTGACTTCAAAGCTGGGGCAGTTCAACTATGTTCGAAATTATCAATGTTGTAAGTCAAATACTCTTGCCTTACTGGATACAAATAGAAAGTCCAAATCAAGGTGCCCAAAAGGCTGTTTCCTTGGCATGCTATTATTCGAATGAAACTAGTCTGCCTCGAGGAAAAGTGGTGAACTGTCAAGAAAAATCTCTGGTAAAGTATAAAAGTTCATGGAATCAGCCAGTACTGATCGCAGAGAGTCCTGGGTAATCAACATAAAATAGCAGGCGTGAAATATAAAAAATAAAGTAGCAAAAGTGAGCCAGAGCAGTGATGGAAATAAAACGAGTGGGAATCAAATAGTAAGTTTCTGAAACTGGCTGAGAACCAATTGGGAATTCCGGTGAATATAATTCAAGAGGGAAGAGGAAACGGACTCAGTGGAGGTTGCACAAAGATTTAAGGAAAAGAGACAGGAATAGGAGATGTGACTCAATCCATAATTGTAATTTCCGAGCCTCGTCCATCAGTTCTATCGAATGGTTTAGAAGAGCAAAGATAGAACCAGTACCAGCCAAGCTAGGCTTAATGGTGCTTCACGTGCTAGAATGCTTTATGCCTCTCCCAAAACTTCTCATGGGTATAACATGCCCAAGTCCTTCGCTATGCCGCATCCGCACTTTTATGGATCACACCTACCATCGTCGCCTGCTCGCCCAGCCGGACAATCCTCCTCCCATCCGCATCGTTCTTCACCGGTACATCCTTGTTCTCCAACGCGTGCTGCTTCCACACCTCCTGCTGGTGACTCCCCAACACTGCTACGCGCATCGTTGCGAGCAAATTCTTCGCGGCGTTCGAGTGCGAGTACACCGCGCCATTAAATGCAAGCGTTGCATCCTTCCCGTTCGATGTCTTGACCAACGCCACGCCACCCGGATGGTCCTCAACAAACGGCGTCACGTCGTGCACGATACCCAGAATCACCACAAGCACGCGCTCGTCCTTTGTCTGCTCTGCTAAGCTGCGGAACGTAGCGGGGCTGATAACCGGAAGCTTATCGAGCGGGATACCCCAATTCAAGCGCGCACGCGTGCTGTCCAACTGCTTCTGCATCTGCTGAATCTTGAGTTGCTCCACAATGGCGTGCGGCGACACATGCAAGTCCCATGCGAGGTTGAACTGGTACAACGCAAGGATGAACCATTTGGCGGGGTCAAAGTCGTACCAGTTGACGTTTCCGCAGCGGTAGTCGCGGGGAAACGCATGATGAAAGTTGTGCATGCCTTCGCCAAACGTGAGCACGTTCCACAAGGCCAAATCGCGCAGTGTGGTGGTGTCCCCAAAGGTCTGATATCCCAACGGACAATGGCAGAGCGAGTTCTGGAGGAAACTCACCTGTTGCACGAGAAACATGCGTACCATCCCGATGTATACTACCCCAGCAATCCAGTCACCCACGAGCCACCCGAGAAATGCCGGAACAAAGATCCCGGAGAACACAAACATCAGCCAGTAGTGGCGGTCCTGCCAGGCAATAAGCTCTGCCGTCACGATATCGGTGCCTTCGTCATCCTCCGCGGCAACAGCCGCCTGGAGCTTGAGGTGCGGGTTGTGCAAGACCCATCCGGTATGAGCCCAAACGTAGCCTCGCTTAGAACAGCACGGGTCACGCATGGGATCATCCGTGAATCGGTGGTGCGCACGGTGCATCGCGACCCACCAGCGGATCAGGCCAATCCCCGCGGACGCGCCCGCGAGCGCGAGCACACGCCCTACCGTGTGGTTTGTGCGCCATGCGCGGTGCGCACACAACCGGTGATACCCCGCGGTGATCGCAAGCGCTGAAAGTACAAAGTATGCCGCCGCCACATAGAGCACCGGGCGCGGTGGGTGCGGCAGCACCGTGACATGCCAAAGTGCTGCCGCGGGGAGGAGCACCACCGTGAGGAAGAATGTGGACTTGAGCGTCCGCCGCTTGCTGTTCCACCAGCGGAGCGAGAGCCGAGTGAGCTTGTGGTCGGGCGATGTGCGCTTCGACACCTTCACTGACGGACCCGCGTGTTTAATCTTGTTAATCTCTTGAAGTTGGCTGTACGTGTCGTAGCCGGCCACCGGGATCGTGTCTGACATGGTTTGTGTGTGCTTCGATATGGTAGGTTTATGGCAGTGCTTAGAACCTGCTAGAAAATGCTCTTCGTTTGTCTAGAAAGGACGGCGTTGGTGTAGGGAGCCAACCTTAGAAGATGAGCACGCGATGAAGGAGGTATCTGACGGGTATCGACGATTTGGCGAAATAAAATATGGTGTATCAAGCTCACAAGAGAATAGGCTATGGATATTAACGTGAGATAAGCGCTTGTCACTTGAAAGTCTTATAATTTGGGGTATGGGCTTTAGTAGATGCCAGTGGTGAGCACTGATCGAAGTAAGGCTGGAGACTGTTATGGTACTGGTCACACTAGCTCAGAGAGTCACGACTATAAAGTGTTGGAAGCTGCGGCGATCTTTGTTGAGCGTTGTGGAGAATACGGGTGCGCTGTTGGGACGCATGTTCGGCATGATAAGATCGTAGACGCCGCCATCCGCAGTGCAAAGGATACAGGACGAAAATTGGTTGTGAGCGGGATGGCTCTGACTCTTTGGTGAACATATACACTCCGCTTTATGAAATTCCAGGAATTTTCACGCGAGCAGAGTCGCCAATATGTTACGAATATATAAGAAGCATGATTTAAACACCCTGGCTAAGGATCCGTTTCTATATTCAACGATGGGGAGGAATCCTCAGCCTTACAAACTACTGTATCGACATAAATGTACTCTGTAACGAATGGTGAAGAGACTTTCCGTCGATGTTAAGAACAATCTTTATTTTGAAGTTTCCTCCGAAATATTTACATAGCGGTTCAATTTAGATAAGTAGTTAAGTATAATTACCAGAAGTGGGCTGGATAATAGAAAATAAGCATATAGTTTGTTCTTCATTTTCGGTTCTCATGACTTTGAGTCAAAGGTCCAGCTATGACTAAAAGCGCTGATATCCACAACCAAGCTTTTACCCACTAGACTGGGGGGAAATAGCGACAGCTCGCAATTCCACCTAGCACTGCGCCTAGTCTCGTATTTTCTATGAAAGACAACCAGCGTTAATGATACCAATTTTATAGAGGAAAGGTAAGAACACGAAATGGGTTTCCGGGCATTTTAAATATGTAATGTTACCATTTACAGTGTGTAAACTATAATAGCGGATAGTAGAGCTAAATTCAATATAAATTAACCAAAAGAGGTGATGAGTTTGCCAGATCGTTTCATTATTCTGGGCATGCCAGCACGATGCGTTTACTGGTCCTGAGGAATTACTCCATAACGCTATGCCCGCCATATCATGCGCCGAAAGCTGAATCTTGGTCAACCCAGGAAAGAACTGATGTTATATCTGGTTTATCGTCTCTGGTGCTGTGTCACGTACTCTAGTAAATTGTGCCATGCCCCAACACTCCTTATTAGCGACTTGAGCCTTGTAAATACCTTTCTCAGGCACCTCTCGTCTAGTGATATTCAATGTAATGGGCCAGCCTTTCCTGACCACTGCTCTGTCCCGTAGGATGCACAGGGTTACTTTTCAAGGGACTACCGCTGATCAACAGCTCCTCTTTACCGTAGTACCACTTGGCTCGCATAAACCCTAACGAGAAGTTGAATACCACCACCGCTGCAAAAAACACAGCCACGAGAAGCAACGTCTTCCAGCCCATGGGCTCAAGCAATGAGTGTACCATGAGCCCGAGCACCTCTGCCGCAAGGCTGGATCGCACAGCCACGTGGTCTGGGTCTCTCAGCATGCACTTTTCCCAGTCCTCGCATAGTTTCTTGAGCCCCGGTAGAATCGTCTCTGGTGCGCAGCGGTTTTCGTGGTACAGGCGGCGGCACAGCTCGCTCTCCACACGGACGCCCTGCAACGCTAGCTGGTACTTCCCCTGAATGTCCTCGTTGATGGAATTAAACACAGTTACGAGAATGTAGCAGCCATAGAGCGCAGCTGCGGTGTTGAGTAAAAGCTGGAAGTACAGGGAAAGTATGTACGGTACCCGTTCGTGGGGGGACGACGACTCCCACGGCGACGGGAGACTGGGCTGGGCATTGTAGTAATGGTGATGGTGCATCTGGAGCTGCACAGGGCCATCAAAGGGCCGTTTTGTATCGTCCTCAGAGTCCGTATCGTAGTCCTGGACCCGGGGCTTTCGGCGTAGCTTCAGAGAGGGGGTGGCCGCATCAGTGAATTCCATTGCTTTCGATTCCAGGGAAGCCCTGCTTTTCTGATTAACTGTGGTTTTGGAATCCTCAGCCTCACTATTATCAGCTAGAAAGACTTCAGAGTCTGTTTCTGACGTTTTAATGCACACCACAGGATCTGACCTGGGCTCTGCTGGGGTCGCAAGTTTGACTCCTAACTGCGAAGGCGTGCTGAACGCATTCGTAAGCGTTTTCATGAACCCGGAATTTTCTGAAAGGGCTTTGAAGTCAATATCTTGATGTATTTGATAGTTAGCAGCCACGGGGTAATCTTCGTCCATCACCAAATCCCCGTCGTGGTCATTCCTGTACATCTCCAAGCTGGTGTCAACTTCCATCATCTCAGCGTCGTCGCCACCGAGCGAAAGCGACGCAAGAAGCTGCCCCTCAAAGTCGTTTGTATTATATCCTAGCCGCTCCATATAGAATATTGTCGGAAAATAACGAATCAAACTCTATACCACGGGCTTCTTAAACGATGTTTACTTGTCCTCATCGCCGCGCCGCGCGCCCGATCCCTGCGGCTCAAAAATATTTTTACGTTTTTCATCTGCAATTTTTCAGATAGCAGCTAAAACCCACTCACTCATTACCCTTAACAGCCACCAAATGCCGCCATCCAAAAGAAAGAGAACCGAGAAGCAGAAGGACTTTAGAGTGAGTAGCACATTTATCCCCTGCTATGCAGTACTAACCCCCCGCAGAAAGCCAAGTTGAGGGTTGGTAAGACCAATCAGCCAAACGCCAATGCCACAGACACATCTTTCACAGCCAAAACCATCTCCTTGCCCTCGCAATCTATCAATTCCGGCCCTAAGACCGACACCATTGACTATGCCCATCAGTTTTCCTTGCTCAAGCACCATTCCAACGTCACCCGCAAGGAGATTGTACTCTACCTCAAGGCGCATATTCCTGCGTCGCCGACCGTGTTGACCCTCCTTATCACAAACACCATCCCCTTAATCCTCGATCAGTCGAAAATGGTTAGAGCTGCGACGGTGGAACTCCTTACACTCATCCAGACAGAAAAGCCCGAGTCCTTGGGTTTGTTCGTGTCGAAGATAATGCTCTTCATCCACTCGGCCATGACACACATCCAGCCGAACGTACGCAACGACTCTACCAAGTTCTTGAACATTCTCTTGATGCCCGGCGGGATTACCAGTGCAGTGGTCATCAAGGAGCACTGGAACAAGACTTTGAAGTTGTTCTGCCAGCTCTTAGACTGGTCGTTGGAGGTGAAGCTGAACTCGGTTGCGATCAATAACGGGGCAACGTCGCTCGCTTCTTCTGACTCTAAAAAGGCCCGTATTGGCCATTTGAACACTCTTTCCCGGGTTTTGGCCTTGGGGTTTGTTGAGGACCACGCGGCCAACAAGACCGACGAGTACTTCAACGCCGCCAACGGGCTCCACCCGTTGACCAACAAATATTTGATGTGCACCACCGCGCAGCCGTTTGCTTCGTTAAAGCTCTTTGCCAGAGAGATGGCCTCTACCTCCAGTGTGGTTGTCGGTGATGGGAAGTACACCTTGAAGGACTTGGACTCGGTTTCTTCCGAGGACTACGAGACCAGAATTAAGCTCTTGAAGGACATCTTCTACAAGCACATGGCCAGAAACTTGCATGTGGCGGTTAAGGAGGGTGGCGATGTTGGAAGAGAAGGAAAAAACGTATTGAGTTTCTTGAAGAAGTTGGAAGAGCAGGGCGACATCGAGGTTGTTCAACCGGAGGATGTTGAAATTGAGGCGTATGTTCTTTAGTGTATTTTATTGTAATATAAGTGATTTCGGAATTTGTTGAAAGGGTGCTAGAATATGGATCTCCATATAATACCACATACCACGGTGGTATCTTGCGGAGTAAGCCTGTTCCTTACGGGCAACACCCAGAAGTGATTACATTATAGGAGAACCAGATATAGCTCTTTTCAGAAAGCCGATTGTTCTATATTTGGATAAACTATAGTCTATACACGGCTAACCCATTGTATTTTATTAAACGGTTATTTCGTTCTATTAGATTTCGCTTTACTGACTGGAACGCACTGATATACGAAGCTAACGCATCATGCATATTAAATATTGAGAGTGACAGAAAAACCCTCTCCGCGTATCTACGTCAAAACAACCACTTAGAATCTATGTACAACAAAATCGCCAAGATTTCCCCGGTAAAGACTGTCCTAAAGCTCAATGCTGTCCTTCCAAACTGGAAAGTAGCTGAAAATGGAGCATCTTCCTCACTTTCCCGATCCATCGTGTGCAAAAACTTTGAAGACACATGGGCGCTCCTCACCAAGGTGTCGATGCGGGCGCACTTGCTCGGTCACCATCCCACTATCACCACCACCTATAATAAGATCAGTTTCAGGTTAACAACGCACGACTTGGCTGAAGCAGGCGGGGAGGGAGTCATCTCAGACGTGGATGTCAAGTTGGCGAAAAAGATCGATGAGTACGCGGGCCTGTTCTTGAGGGAAGACAGAGCTTAAGCGGTTTTTGCAATGGCAGGGAGAAACGTGAATTTCATCTCCGATGCCGTGACTGATCAGAACCGGTGCATGTCACTAATGCTGCAGGTAATCTCAAAATATAGGGAACCACACCCAACCGATGAACTAGAATCCACTGGTTGGTTTTTTTCCCTGTATAATTCGATTGCAATGCTTGCTAAATACATGATCTTTGAGATCATATCTGCTTTCAATAGACTTGTAATAGCCTCCTGTGGCAACACCAGATACCCTCAGTGATAAAATGACTCAGTATTGAGTATCAGCGATTACTTAATGGCCAGTGGATCCGAACATAGTTCACCCAGGCTTAAATTACCCCGTACTTTGGATTTATATCCACACGTAATTTTCTATGGCTTCGATTTACGTTGTTGAATAAGTTAGAATGGGTTTGAATAAATATGACACAAAGAAAGAAATAAATAGGATGAAAGAATGCTGGTAGTGTAAAATGGATAGCAGTAGGTTATGTTCCGAGATAATCAGTCACGGAACAGCTCCCTCCACCATAGTTTTACTTTGTTTAGTCAAAGTTGGCTGGAGGAGCGCTCTTGTCAATGTGAGATCTGTAAATTTCAGCTTCCTCTGCGTTTCTAGCACCGAGCTCTCTGGCCAACCCGCCATATGGGTAGTTTCTAGGCATCGCAATCTTACCATCGAACAAGAAGGACAACCCGTAACAAGCACCGGCAAAAACACCGACGTAGGTTAAGAACCATCTGACAGCCTGTTTGTCGGATGTAGTGGTGTAGACGTCGGCGGTCCACATCTCGTAGAAGTCATACTTATCAGAGACTGGCTCGTTGAAGTTTCTGCGGTTCTGCGGATCGTCCCACTTGGCGTATGGGCTTCTCAACTGGTAGTAGTCCTCCTGGGTGGCCTGCTGGGTGAACTCCTTAACGGCTGGCTTGGTGGCCTTGGCTGGGGCAGCGTGGGAGTTGAATCTGGCCAAGGAAACAGAACGGACGCTTGGTCTGGCAAATCTGGCAAGCATTGTGTGTGTGTGTTTCGAGCGTACGAGAAAGGGAACCTGAACTTGTACCGTTTATACATAAATGTCTGAAGCGTGCCGTAATAAAATTGTCACTGATTGGGCAGAACCGAGCGGGAGACAACGCTTACGGCGCACGGAACACAGACACATTGAAAAACAGACTCTCGGTATGGGCACGACGCATGTAGCTGTGGGGCAGACGAGCAGGGTGACTTGGAAATGGAGCTCAAAAGTGGGTTGCTCATGGGGATTTAATAAGACATGTATCTCTCTTAGAGAAGCTCAAATAAATAAAATAAAATAAAAACATATTATACAAATGGGCCATCAGCTATGTATTACCTATTTTTTTTGCTAACGAAAACCCCCTCCCGTAAGTGTTAATTCTCTCCACCACCGTTGGAGCCAGCTTTTTTTTTCCTCTTCAACGCCACAAGCCAGCTTTATAAGATTTTTAGTTCTTTCGGCTTCAATTGATTGTTTAAATTTCCCGCTAATTGAATATCTCCCAATTTCCTGCTGACCGTTTCTCATTTTCCAGATATTTCTCATCCACCTACGTAGACGTGCCTCCCTTGTGCTGAAGCGTCACGTGAACTAGTCTACACGCGCATGCCGTGAATCTACTCAACTGAACCGAGGCCCCTGATTTCGCTGCTCTCCGATGGATCTTTACGCCGATCAACCCAATGCTCCCAAGTCCGAGTACTCCTATCCACAGCACCCTTTACATCATCACATGCACGTCTGACTACTACCGGCAATCGACACTCTGTGATCGTAAGCAACCTGAAGCTGACGGAACTGACGTGGTCGTGGGTGGCGATTTGCCTGGTATCCACACGCCCGACGCGTAGAAAGCTCCCGAACAAACGCTCTGCTGCCCTGTATTTTTCTCCATCTGGCCCTGCACATATTTCGTTTCTTTCAGATCACCCGTGCCATTCCCAATTTAACAGAGCCACTTGCCGGTCCAGCCACCTATATTTTCGAGCGTCTAGCTACAGCATTATCATGCCACAACGTGTAACCCTGGTACTGTCCAATGGCGACCCCAAGAGACGGAAATTAGACACTGAGGACCTTATACAGACACACAAAGACAAGCTCGCGGCGATTGTGTCACGCCACCAGCTTCTCACCAGCGAGTTGTTCCATCTCCGCTACTACACATCACTCCAAAACTGGGATCCGCGGATCAACGTCTCCGAACCCAAGGAGAACTTTGCGTATTTCCTCGAGCAAGAGCTGTTGCTGTTGAACTGGGTCGATGCGCGCGCCCTGGACCATCTCCCGTTGCGGTTGCAGCGCAAGTTGAAACAGACACAGACCGTGAGTGTTTATGAAGCAGAAATTGAGTCGCAGGCGAGAGGTCTCCTGTTACAAATGATTGGCGAGGAAAGTGAAGGCAGAGCAGAAAGTGAAGAACAAAATGAAGAACAAAAAGATGAAGCACTTCGGCCCAAACCCAAACAGCCTCCATCCAGAAAATCTAAACGGAAGATCGAAACAATTGAGAGCAGTGAGAGCGGAAGTGATGACGAGAATATTCCCCTGTTTCCTCCGTTCAAGCTCCATCTCAACGTGCGGGTCCACCCGGCACCGCACTTCCATCCCCAATCGGTCTTGGTGCCCCAGCGCAGAGACACGCCCGCAGCCTCGGTGGAGGCGTTTCTCGACTCCTTTCGCTCGCTCGACGAAGACGTGACGGAGGAGCAATACCAGGAACACATCGCAACACAGAGCTCGCTCATCTCCAAGATCAAGGCGCTGGTGTACGACCCCACAGACAACACCCTGGGAATGCTCAAGATCGGAGACGATGGCCGGATCCTGAAGATGGATCTTCCAGCGAGGTTCCAGGACCCCATAGTCACCGTTCCGCAACTCACGAATGCCAACGCGTTCCACGCATCCCATAACCGAACCCCGACCCCGTCGGCTGCGGTCACCCGGACCTCTCACCACGACAACCTCCTCACCCATGCACACACCCAGTCCGTGATTGTCCACAGGCAGCTGCGGGCCCACATCGTGCGGACGCGGAAGATTGCCCAGATGATCACCACATACCACCGACGGAAGGTAACCGACCACCAGAGAGAGGCACAGGCGAAGGAGCAGCGGGTGCGGACGCTTGCACGAACCACTGCGCAGCTCGTTAGAAAGCGCTGGTCGTCTGCCGAGAAGGCTTGGCGAATTTTGAAGGATCGGGAGGATAGAGAGCGCAAGGACGAAGAGGGTCGCAAGGCTTTGGGCGAGATTTTGGAACGATCTCGGGTTTTGCTCGAAAAGCAGCGCGAGAGGGTGCCAACACATGAGATACGTGATGAGCGGAGCGACTCTGGCAGCGATAGCATGGATAGTGACGATGAAAGCGAAAGGGACAGCGACGATGAGACCCCAGGTCTTGCGGCATTCTACAGCAAACCACCTGTTGCGTCACCCACCCCCATTGACGACAGCACTCTTCTCTCCTTTGACACCAATCAGATGGCGATTGTCAACGAAGAGTACATGAAAGGTGGCTCTTCAGATTCCGATTCAATGTCTGACAGTAACAGTAGTGGGTCTGGGAGTGAACCTGAAAGTGAGCCTGAAAGTGATAGTGGCAGTGATGAGCCCTCGACCCTCGCTGGGTTGTATGGGACGCCAGCACCTGCCCCGCCCACCGAGGATGAGGTTTCCCGTTTGATGGAACTTACAGAAGAAGAAAAGACAGCAATATCACAGCAGAGCTCGTACGACGCTGTATTGGACGATTCCACGAGTGATAGTGACGGAATGGACGAGGTTCACCAGAGTGACAGTCATCTGGACCAGAGCGATGAAGCAGAAATGCCCAGACTGGCCACGCCGGGAGAAAGGATCGTCAAGGACGTGCCGTTGCCGCTGTTGCTTCGTGGAACGCTCCGTGAATACCAAAAGCAAGGTCTCAACTGGCTTGCGAGCCTCTACGCAAACGACACGAACGGGATCTTAGCAGACGAGATGGGGTTGGGGAAAACGATCCAGACAATCTCTCTTATCGCGCACCTCGCATGCACGGAGGGCAACTGGGGCCCTCACCTCATTATCGTACCGACGTCGGTGATGCTCAACTGGGAGATGGAGTTTAAACGGTTTGCGCCAGGGTTCAAGGTGATGACATACTATGGGACGCCGCAGCAGCGTAAGGAGAAACGACGTGGCTGGCAGAAGCAGGACAGCTTCCATGTGTGTATCACCTCGTACCAGCTCGTGTGCCATGACCACCAGGTGTTCCGCAGACGGCGTTGGGAGTACATGATCCTCGACGAGGCACACAACATCAAAAACTTCCGCTCACAGCGCTGGCAGGCGTTGCTCAACTTCAACACGGCAAACCGCTTGTTGCTCACAGGGACGCCGTTACAGAACAACATTGGCGAGCTCTGGTCGTTGCTCTACTTTCTCATGCCGTCCAGCAAGTGGTCGCAGGCGATGCCCGCGGGCTTCGCGAATCTCCAGGACTTCCAGGCGTGGTTCGGCAAGCCTGTGGATCAGTTGATCGAGAAGGGCACCCAGGACTCCGAGACTAAGCAGACCGTGTCCAAGCTCCACCAGTTGCTCCGCCCATACTTGTTGCGCCGCTTGAAGAAGGATGTGGAGAAACAGATGCCGGGTAAGTACGAACACATCGTGTACTGCCGCTTGCTGAAGCGCCAGCGCTATTTGTACGACGAGTTCATGTCTCGCGCCGCCACCAAAGACACCTTAACGCTGGGCAATTTCTTGTCGATCATCAACTGCTTGATGCAGTTGCGCAAGGTGTGCAACCATCCAGATTTGTTCGAGGTGCGGCCCATCGTCACTAGCTTCGCCATGCCCGAGTCGGTGGTCAGTGGCTACTCCATAAAGGAGGTGGCCGTGCGGCGCTTGTCCCGAGCCGCCCCCCAGGTGGATCTCCAGGCTGTGAACTTGTGTTTCACGGGAAACGAAGCGCTCACGTCGCAGATGGCGGAAAAGATCTCGCGGATGAAACCGAATACCGTACTTCAGGGGGAGTGCGACAAGCTTGACGAGGTACTCCAGGGCAAACAAATGGAGCCTAGCTACGGCGACCTGAGCTTGTACTACAGGTACGTCAAGCAACAGGAGCAGGTGGAGGCGCGCGATCATTTGAAGCAATTGCTCTATATCAATGGCCTCAAGTGCGATAAAGCACCTGTCTACGGTGCGAATCTCGTCAAGTTGGTCACGTTGCCTGTGCTGCCCGTACAGACCTTGGCTCAAACATTGCCCGGCCGGTGTCTCCAGATGGCTGACTCGATCGAAAAGTACGCGTTTGCTACGCCGCCGGTAGTGGCGCTTGACATGACACACAATGTGCTCACGCCCGAGCTTGAGGCGGAGTTGGTGGACCCACATTCCGCCGTCCAGAACCCATTCCACCAAAGCCAAACCAAGCTTGCGATTGCCTTTCCCGACAAGTCACTCTTGCAGTACGATTGCGGGAAGTTGCAGAAGTTGGCGGGCTTGTTGCAGGAGTTGAAAGACGGAGGCCACAGAGCGTTGATCTTCACGCAGATGACAAAGGTGCTTGACATCTTGGAGCAGTTCTTGAACATTCATGGGTATCGGTACCTGAGGCTTGACGGGTCGACCAAGATCGAGGACCGCCAGATCTTGACCGACAACTTCAACAAAGACACGCGCATCACGTGCTTCATCTTGTCGTCGCGGTCCGGTGGGTTGGGGATCAACTTGACCGGCGCTGACACCGTCATTTTTTATGACTCCGACTGGAACCCCGCCATGGATAAGCAGTGCCAGGACCGGTGCCACAGAATTGGACAGACCCGCGACGTGCACATCTACCGGTTTGTGTCTGAATATACCATTGAGTCGAACATCTTGAAGAAGGCCAATCAGAAGCGCGAGTTGGACAATATTGTCATCCAGGATGGTGACTTCACCACCGACTACTTTGGCAAGTTGTCCGTGAAGGATCTCCTTGGTGACGCCGGCCAGGGGCTTGACGAGAAGCCGTTGCTCGAAGGTGGAAACATCGAGAATGTCTTGGCCCAGGCCGAGGATGCGGAAGATGCTGCCGCCGCGAATAACGCTATGAAAGAGGTTGAGCTTGACGACGAGGACTTTGACGAGGATAAGCAGTCGAGCGCCTCCAGACCCCAAACCCCTGCTGACGACTCCTCGGCGGTGGCAACTCCTGCTCCCGACATGGTCGAGGAGATCGAGGTGGACGAAGACTGGGGTCACGTCGATGAGTACATGCTTCGGTTCATCAAGGACGGCCATCTTTGGGATTAGTTGGATTAAACATGTACAGAGAATGAAGTTGTAGGGTGTAATTATAACGATCTGGTATTTATGTCTTTCTGGGTCACGAGTGGTGGTTTATTATGGAGCTGTGTTAAGCACTGTCAAATCATACCAAAGAGATACAGGCCCCAGCACTCGACTTTGGCTGGGGGCTTTGTTGACGTTTCTAAGTAAAGCGATTATTTATAGCCTGTCGGTAGCGTAACTAAATGGCATCTAACACGGGTATCTGTAAGTCGAAAACACGACGGGGATTCCTCGGCTTCATCCCCACATTGGATATCGCACCTACCGATTTCAAAATGTTATAGAAGTCTTGGCCCCTTTCTCCTAACTTACGCTTTCTAGGTAGACAATTTCAACAAATCTGATTACGTTTATTTACGTTATATTCAGAAGCTATATCAGAGTAGAGTTTTGTTGGAGATTTTCGTCCCAGGGCCAAATGTGAAATCACTCGGAATTTGATGATTAAAAAGTGTCAACCACGCTTTTTCTGAACCGCTAGTTTTAACGTTGATTTTCCTTTTCAGACGGTGCGATGAAATAGTGCCACACAATCAAATTATAATCTATGCTGATCAAGGAACTAAAGTGACGTCTTCCATAGTTGAGCACAGTTGGTATCAATGGTCGTGACTGGATTAATGAAGCAGGGGATTTGAGTCGGAGGGGGACGTGTATGGATGCAAATCAGCGGGATGGGATCCGTTTTCAAAAACAGGGAAAAGTATCCTTTATGAGCATCAGGAATATAACTATGGCTGATACGTCAGGGTAAACCGACTAAAAGAACCAGAAGCAGTGAGACTGCAAAGGAGTCTAAATTGTCAACATCGTAGGGGGTTAAAGGGGAAACGAAAATGGTTTAAGTCCATGTCTGATATTCAAAAAAAGGAGGATGAATTATAAAGTTTCCTTGATTATTTGACTAAATTGAAACGACGGATAATACCAGTCTTAAACCTGCAAAAGAGTAAATTCTAAGCCTCGAAATTCTGAAATTCTGCAACTGAATCTCGCAATTTTCGTAACCCTCGCATGTCTCCTTGCATTTTGCTCTCCACAGCCCAAAATCCAAATGGGTGACCACATCATTACCAGAGTTATACAGGCTATTTTCTGATACAGGAGCGAGTTCTCACTTATTCAGTCTTTAGCCTACTAGCCCCCAAAAGAATAGGTATCTAATAATGAAAAATACGAGTGGTTCCTATCGAGTGGTTTCTATCTGGTCTAAAGTCTGGCCTGGTAAGCGGGGCTTTTTCTAACACACAACCATACCCAATTTCATCCCCGATCTATCTGGCTAGAATGCACTATTGGATCACCCCACAGATGATACGCTTTGTAATAGGTTGCCGCTGCGGCTTAGATGCATATACACGCGTTCTCTCGGGCCATTTTAGAACCCCATCAGGTCTGCCCATCTGCATGGCCTTGGGCGCAATATCTTAGCTATCAGATCCTCAATATCCAAAGAGCAAGTAGAAGACTCTTAACCGAAGTCTTAATTCTTGATCTCATTCTGATGATTGCACTACGCTTGCTAGGTGATAAACAAGAGATATCAACCTGGAGATACAATTTGCGCATGGGCCGGAAGTCCACGACTTAGCGAGATATTTGATTTATAGTCCAGCTTTCCGCCACGGTTTGAACTTAATTCTGGGGTTTTCTACCCATCAGTTTAGTTGACCCCCATCCTCTCCAAAATCGAAATTTGCGTGTAGCCCTCCTGGTCGTGTAAGTGGCGTATGACGTAGCGCGACAGCAAGGGTCGCTCCACGCTCATGCAGATATACGTGAGCAACCTCCAGGGATCCGCACCTTAACTCTTGCTGCATTAATTAAATATGGGACGGCCGAGAGGTTGTAAATAAATACTATATAAGGACGTCAATTTCCCCACCTCCATCCACAAGCCTTTTTAGAAACATATTCACCGCTTATTACATACCTACATCATAATGTCCTCTCCAGTACGTATTCAACTACAGAGCAAGCTTCGCAAAATACTAACGCTCTTAGATTAAATACTTCTACAAAGGCACCGACGCTGACTTCACCGTTCTTGTTGAATCCCAAGAGCTCGTTGACAAGTTCAGAAAGGGTGACTCCACCATTCCATTGATCGACATTGTCTCCATCTATAAGATCTTCATTTCCAGAATCGGTGGTTCAGAAGGCCGCCTCGACGAAGCCTCCAAGACCGAGCTCGTAAACCAGTTTGGCTCCTCTCACGTTGACGACGTTATCAAGGAGATCTTGGTGAACGGTACGTCTAAGCATGGTGCCAAGTTAGGCGGCCATTCTTTCGACTCAACCAACGACACAATGGGCTCTAGAGGCACTCATTAAAATTTCCGTTCCCCGACGCCACTAGGGAGTTGCTTTTTAAGCCCTACCCCGAATGATGTCTAAACGCTTGTGCGGCTGAAACTCACGTGTCAGTCACGCCACTAATAAAATAGCAGCCCTTTTATGGGCCTCCATTCTGTTACCTCAGGTTTGTCACATATATACCGCTAATCAGCGTTTCTCTCTTAGCTAGGTAGTATAACGGTACACTCACACTTTTAACGTATAAAGCCGGGTCCCAAAAGCGTATGGAGAACATCTCAGCCTAAGCATGGTTCGTGCGTCGAGATCTTATCTGGGGGTGCGGTCAGAAGGCCAGCCTAGCCGTCAGGCAACCTGTACGGTGACTTTCCAAGCTCCTAATTCTTCATAGGTCTACGGCGCTCGACGGATTATCTATTGATATATGCATTTTGGAAGGGGCTAAACCTTGATAAAGATTTTCTTGCGGAGCAACACAATACTCAAGGAGCTCAAAAACAACGAATACGCAACCAAGATGAGCATGCTAATCCATCTGTCGCAGTCCAAGGTGTTGACGCTCATGTTGACCATGCCGGTAGCCAAGTTGGCCAACAAAAAAATCGCCAAGCCGTTTCTGTTGATGGATTCCAAGTTTTCCGAAACCTTCTCTTCGTAAGGAATAGCCTCATTGTTTAAACCAAAAAACACTTTCTCAATAAGCACAAACCCTAAGAGGAAGGTGGCGTTGTAGGCGTTCACCCAGACGACATACGGCAAATTGGCCATTCTACGGGAAACACCGTAATTGTAGTGGTTGTCCAAGTAGTATGACATCCCATGGAACACAATGTTCATAATGATGAGCCCGTTGATGGGAGAAACGGTGGTTAATTTCAACCACTTTTGGCCAAGACGGACAGTCAACTTTTGCTTAGCCTGCTTACTTGGGGTGGCCTTTGTCTTGTAATTGGCCAATTCAACGGCAGTGGGTGGTCTCAACAAGTTGTGGGGGGTTTTGTATCCCGTCAACAAAAACCAGCCTAGGGATTGGCCAGAGAGGTAGATGGATAAATAGCCGATAAACGAAAAGATACCCTCCTTGTTAGCACTGAACAAATCTGTTCTCTCGCCGAGAATAATGAATTTCAACAAGGTCGGATGGTTGGCTAAGAGCAATTCGTAGACGTAGCCGATCCCAAGGGCCACGACGATTCTCGGCACGTATGCAATGATTGGCTCTAATAAGGCCATGAAAGGAGGCAAGAACCCCAAAGTGAAGAAAAAGTTCCAATGGATACCGTACTCCGAAGTATGTTCCTGGTACTCTAAGTTCTTCACTGACACCAATCTGATGGTTCCCAACACGAGCAACGGAACGGAACTCTTGATGGCCTCAACAAAGTTGGAAGTGAAAGAGATGGAGTTGTTAGGGGAGGCGTTTAGCTTGATGATGGATCTGGAAGTGGCTAAACCCATGGAAAACACAAACGAGCCGACTCCGAGGTCCATCAACGAAGTGCCCCATGTCTCCACCTTGGCGAATCTTCTTGGAAACACGCCAAAATCCACGGCTAAGATCGCGACGTTGGTGATGACGATCATACCGGATCGGTAAGCGGTTAAGAACGCTTTCTTAGGCAACAATTCGGGGGTGCTTTTGATGGAAGCCTTAGCTGGGGCCGTCTTAGTGCCATCGACGAAGGTGTACGCGATCGCCGGGAGGAGGAGGAGAAGGTTCAAGTAGAGCGGAGTCTTATTGTACGTGGTGATGGATAACAACAAGCCAAGCCAATTGATGGCAAAATCGACAAGCGTCAGACCGGCAGAAGTTGCATTATCCTTGCTGTACAATCTGGTTCTGGTCTTGAGAAGGCACCAGATGAAGTATGCGGTTAGAGCAACCGTAGTGACAGCATAGATTTCGGGCGTCGTTCCTCCGTTCAAGTTGGAGACAAATTCCTCCTTGCGTTCTTTCAAGCTAGACATTTTGCTTAATGCTAAGTGTCTATCGTAGGGCGATGTCAATGTGTTTTCATTTCTAAATGTAGAGACACGATACCAATACGCAGCATGCAGGATGGGTTCGTTGGGAAGAGCAACGGGCTGCAGCACAACCCAACACGAGTCACAGCGGGTTTCGGGTATTGTGGGCTGCAAGAGTAAGCCAAATTATGATTCGGTCGGCTTAGAGACATATTATTAGTTCTACTAAAAGAAGCCCTAAAATTTTAAATCCTGCTTGTGTATACACTAAAACATGTGGTATTACCAGATACATGATTCGTAGACCGTGAGCGCGATAAGATGAAACTGTGGAGATTACAGAAGCTTCGGAGCTCATTGGAGTCGCTATGACACATCCTTGATATTGGCTTTTTCAGCACATGACCTTTTTGAGTTGTTAGCCTCGCTCTGTAAAATCTATAATGCCCACCTTTTGAATCCAGTCAGTTTAGTCATGTCAGTATCAGTGACCTAGGGCGGGAAATAATTGTCTTGGTGCTTACTGTGTGAGAGTTCTCTGGGGCCGGAGATACTCCCGACTTATCCTCAGACTTCACCCCTGGTAAGAGGGTTTAGACCTTGACCGAAAGAGGGATGTGATGGTTGAAGAAGCTCTTCGGATCATTGAAGGGTCACCATCATGGGAATCTGGGTGTTTTTCCGAGACATGGAAAATCAGACTGCCAGAGCAAACACGAGTGACTCTCCCACGGGAATGCTCGACTTCCATCAAGTCCAGTGTAGGGTCAATGCTACTTTCTGGTGTCGTGATGAGTGTATGTAGTCTTAAACTTCTGATTGTACCGTGAAAACTGCGTGATCGCTCCGGAAGCAACGGCAATTCATGACTCCACAAGGGTCCAAGTCGGGTCTGGGAATGTAGCCTTTGCAGCTTCTTAACACAAATCTCTGTGCATCTGTTTCTATCCCTCAGTTTTGGGTTTCCTTCCTCGCCAGCAGTCTGGGTTTCAACAAAATGCAAAATCCTTAGTGGGATGACCTCAGAAAAGTAGCATGACGACAAGCTGGAGAGCTCACGAGACTTACTGACACACACGTCAAGTGCACAAATAGTGGAAGGAATTTCTGAAGCTAGATCATACTCCATATCTGATGCAGAGTAGTCCCACTGATACGGGCCGTTAACAAAATTGATCAAGAGATCAAGCTTTTCCTGCCAGATCACTAATTCTTGCTCGTTCATCGCAATCATTAAGATTTCGAAAACAGAAAATTGTTTCTCGAAGAAAAGTTTGAAGCAATGGGCGTAGCGGGTGTTTAAACCTTCGGAGAAACATAAATCTTCGGTACCCTGTAAAATTATCTTTGAGGCTGAAAGGGAGATGACAAATTTCACATTCGCCTTAGTTGAGTTCTTTGCAGCGTCGGCGAGAATAAAATGAGACTTGAACAAGAAACAGCACATATACTCGCTGCGCACCTTTTTGTTGCGGTCGACCCAGCAACAGTTTAAAGCTCCTGTTAGAAGAACTTTTCCAAAGAACTCTAGAGGAACAGACTTTGTACTCGGAAAATATAACAATGAAGAGAGTTGCTGGGTACATTCGACGACAATGAGGTTGCCGGGCAGATCATTAATTATTTGGAGTTTATTGATAAGGATATCCAAAGCATTTTCCGTTTGCTGATAAGCCGATGCATCGGTTAAGGACGTGTGTTTTAAAAGTGTTTCAAGGACTAACCTGTACTTGGATATTCTTGAAATCGGCTAGACAGTGTTAGTGAGGTATAACAACGGCGAAGGTATTTCATACTTTTTGGGCTAGCGACACAAATGACAAGTCAAGGTGATTGTCGCTTGGTTGAGAAGTTTCTAGAAATTTCCGACAACCCTGGAGTTTGTTAGTATAGGTAAGACCTATAGATTTGGCAAGATAAGGCTTACCTGGAGCCAATTGACCTTTTCCACGGAAGAGTTTATGCTGGCGTGGTGTATTAATTGTAGAACCTCCTCGTAGATGGCACAATAAGCTATGTACAAGAAGGGAGAAACCCCTATGTTGGCGACAAGGTCGGCTGCCGCGGCTGTGATGGTAGAAGAGAACACAGAGGCAATGGTTTCGCTATTTGTTGACGCTTCCCGGTATTTTACTCTAAAAAGCCTATGTAATTGGAGCAAGAGTGTCTGGTGGACTGAAAGAAGAAGCGTGGATACTTCGAATAGGGCAATAATTGGAATCCCAGTTGCCGGTCGTCTGCTATCGAGTGCTGGTTGGAGATACACGGTAACAAGTAGCTTTAGTGAGGATACGTAGCTTTCCTCGCTATTGATAAGCTCTTCGAGTAGCTTGCGTCGCAAAAGGTTTTGTTTGTAGTTTGCATTAATCTCTGGAGAGTAGGAAACGGAAAGGATGGGAGAGTTCATGGAGCTCAAGCCGTCGCATGGTGCAAGGCTAACCACGCTTAATGGGGATTTATCCATCAACAACTGAAACTTGTTCAGATTTGAACCTGGCGACTGTTCTACGTCTTTGAAGCTCACCGTGGGGGGTTTTAGGATATCGGAAGAGTCGAACTGGAGGGCGGAAAAGAAGTCCTGGCACAGCTTGAACGGGTTAGAAGACAAAAGACTCGACAACGTCACACTCTCATTCAAGATAGATTCTGTCTCATCGAATTCGGCTGGGTATGAGGTTGCATTTCCGGACAAAACCAGGTGAGTGGGACTGGAAAGAGGATCGGTTAAAGAGCATTGGATCTGAGTAGGGGAGATTAGCAAATTCATCGAGTCTGAAGGAAGGACCCAAATGTGCTGCTGAGAAATATCGAGTTCTGTTGAGTAATAAATATAGAGTATAAATTTATATTCAGTAACTGGAAAATCCACGAAAAAAAAAAAAAAAAAAAAGGATTATTATCATGTTTCCCATGATTCAGCTCTGTGACGTCTCACAGAGCCCTGGATAAGGCGCCGCACAGGACAAACTGGACAAGCAGCGGCATTTCGACGCAGGAATTTTTCTCCATGGCATACCTATTCTATTACAGCTCTATTTTTGCCCTATCAATATGATGAATAGACTATTTCCAGTAGTCAGAACGGCCTTACAAGTCTCCAGAAGATCGCACCTTTCCAAGGCCCCAGTGCAGATTTCTTGGTTCTCCTCCACGTCTTCCGCCTGGGCAAAGAAGGTAAAGGCCACCAAGAAGGGCGGCAGAAGCAGAAACGAAGAACTGGCTGCCGAGCCCACTCCAGAAGTTGCCGAGGTCGATTTCACAGTGTTAGAAGCAGAATTCAAGCAGGTCATCGAGCTCTATAAAACCAAGGTGACCGAAGTTAAGCTTGGAAAGTCTAATCCCAAGATCTTTGACCACCTCAAGGTGGACATCCACAAGAAAGAGCTTCCGTTCACTCAAGTGGCGCAGACCAATGCCCAGGGTGGAAGAAACTTGATCATCACGGTTTTCGACCCGAGTGATGCCAAGAACGTTGTCTCCGCCATCTTGGCTGCTGATATGAATATCAACCCACAGCAGGACCCAAACAACTCGCAGCTCTTGAAGGTTCAATTACCACCACCAAGCGCAGACTCCAAGGTCGAGTCTATCAAGGCCTTAAAGCGTGAGTTTGACTACTTGAAGACTGCTAATGCCAACAAGTCTTCTTTGACCGACATCAGAGGCAGGGCCATCAAGCCGTTCAAAAACTCCAAGATGTCGGATATCGAGAAGAAAATCATCCAGGATATTGAGAAGATCTACAAAAAGTATGTGGACTTATTGGCCGACACCTTCAAGGCAGCCGAAAAGAGTTTGTTGAAGTAAGCGTGTGTCGTCTGTATATAGGGCCTGAAAGGCCAACAACCATGTAGAAGTATAGAAACATTGTACTGCGGATACGGTTGTAAATGAGAAATGTTTGATCGAAAACCTGCGCCAGCGGTTCGCAATCATGAAGTATGCGTGATAAGGGTTTATAGAACGAGTTGATCAATGGTCTAATCAAGCAGCTATTGCCTTAGTATGTTTAAGTTGGCATTAGAGGAGTAGTTAAAACCTTTCAACGGTAGAGCCGGAAGATCCACCAGTCTTAATGGCTATTAAACATTCCATTCATGGCTCACTTCTAGAGAATCTGGATCTTTTGATGCAAAATTTCTACAAGCATCTACTTTTTAGAGGTACTTCAGTCACTATATATAGTTACCTGAATCTTGTAGTTGAGCCAATACTTCTAGTTTAGAGCTGTCGGGCTCTTGTAGTTGAACTTCCTCGAAGACGTCAGCAGAGAAGTTCTCTAGGTTTGTAATACTCCTTCCTTCCGTTCTTGGAGCACCTGTTCCTATCGTCACCATATCTTCAATAAACTCCAATGCCGCGCTACCAACGGTTTCCTCCGCCCGTATAGATCCATCTACTTCCAGCGTTTGCTCCGTAGGCGGGTTCATTTCCAGTTCACCCCCATCCGTCACCTGTTTAGAGGAGCTTTCCTCTGGGGCATCATCGCTATCTGAATCACTTTCATCGCTGGAGTCATCAGAGGACGATTCATCGGAAGAGGATTCCTCCTTGGAAGCCTCTACCAGCTTCACTGCCAATTCGCGCTCGCTGAAATAGATTGTAGGGTACTCCAAGACGAACTTGTTCTCCAAAACATCCTTTAACTGGGACTCTGTGCGGAGGAGCTCGAGACAGGCATCTCTCTTCATGGGGTGTGATTTCATGTAGAAATAAAGCTCAGGTTGAGCCCGTTCATCGGTGGCGGGGGCATTTATCGGCTCCTCTGTGGTAGTGTCAACAGTTTTTGTGCTGGCTGACATAACTGTTTCCTCGGTAGTGATGCTTTGGACCGTTTCTATCTTGGTGGTGGGATGCTCTGTTTCAGTGACTTTTGGCAAAAACTTGGAAAAGAAACGCCACGGAATAGCCTCCAGCAATGTCTCATCCTCTTTCACCCTGTAAGAGATGTGCTGGGACACGTCTGTGAGGTTTTCCTCCAGGTCCTGGGTAACGAGAACCCACTTTACGGTCCACATGTACCTCTGGGCCTTTTTATCAAACCCAGACTTGTTCTGAGCCGCTCTTTGCATCCCGTGGGGTAACTGAATGACATTGACGTTTCTGCGGCGGACTGTTTCCGGCTCAGACGACTCCTTTGGTCTGCCGTCGGTCAATCGTTGGCGCTTGGCAGCGTTGTTTTTGAAGATATTGCGCGCATTATTCAAGACATCCGTCTTTCCCACATCGATTTTCCGTCCTATCAGAAGTAAAAAGTTGTAGTCTCTGTGTAAGTGGGTCTCATCCAAGGTGTGTTTGGGAGTGTACTTTGTTGGATCCACTTGCCCCGAACACTCAGACTGGAGCTTGTGGCGCTTAACACAGAGCATGGAGCAGGTTTTTGCAGCGCAAGCGGGACATTTGTACTTGAACTGGGCTACAAAACAGATGGAGCATAAATCTTCGGACATTGTTAAAGCGTTGTGCCCAGCCGGACTAGTTGTAGAGACACTAGGATAAAAAAAATTCTGTACGTGCACTACATGCATGAGGCTTGTCTAACAACTTGACGTATCACGTGAAAGTTAGCAGGTTCAGCGAAATCAGTGAGTTGCTCCAGAGTCGATGGAAATTACAGACCGAGAAGGTCAGTGTGTCGACATTTACAGAACGAGGTTACAAAAAATCATAGTGAGAGTCGCAATGACGATATATTTTCAAACTTAGTCCTTATAATGGTTTTGATAGCGATATCAATGTGGAACCAATTGTTCTCTCTGTCGCACGATCTTTGTCATGCTTACGACTTGCTTGCGGTTTATGTCCCAGACCTTCCAAAGGGTCCAACTTCAAAAGAAATGATCAGATTACTATTAAAAATGGAAGTTCCTCATGGTTGCTTGTCCTCTAAGGCATAATATTGATTACGCCCCACCAGAACTACGGGCGTGTCCTGCCCAAGCTTCCTCACGTGAGAGGTAGTAAAATTGCGCTACATTAAACGCCGACTACTTCTCCTCCCCCTTCTTCCCTAGCACCACCATGTCCGACTTATCCTCCTCCTTGGCGGCTTTCAAGAACCAGTTGAGACGCAACCCTGGGGTCGCACAGAAGCGCGTGGCGATTCCGACGCCCGTGCTGGCGCCCGTCAAGCGTGCACTCCCGGAGAGGCCAGTGGCGCCCGCCAAGAAGCCGAAGAGTGACTTCACAGTGCCCGACCCGGCAGCGAACAACTCGTCCGCACACTTGTCGACCAACCTTCACTTGGCGGTGGAGTACATCAAGCAGAGCGGCCAGCCCGTGCGCGTGGATAAGCTTCAAGGCTACCTCTCGGAGGTGCCCAACATCTACGATAAATTGCTCCCGTTGGTGAAGGACATTGACCGCATCAAGTATGACGAAGACAGAGACACGTTGCAGTACATCTCGTACCACAACATCAAGGATGCGGATGACTTGTTACGCTACTTGCGCTCACAGTCCACGTTCAAGGGTATCTCCGTCAAGGAATTGAAGGACGGCTGGCCCGGCTGCCTCGACGCCATCAACGAGCTCGAGACCCAGGGCAAAATTTTAGTGTCGCGTACCAAGAAAGAAAACTCACCGCGACTCATCTGGGCCAACGTGGGCTCGTCCTTGAACGAGGTTGACGAGGAGTTCGTCGCCATGTGGAATCGTATCAGGTTGCCGGAACCAGACTTGATCTATCAGTCGCTCATCGACCAGGGCTTGAAGCCAACAAGCATGGACCCGAATGTCTTGAAAAAGAAGCAGCAGCAACCAGAGAAGAAACAGAAAAAGGTGAGAAGGGGGAAGATCACAAACACGCATATGAAGGGGATTTTAAAGGACTATTCATAGCCACGGCTCATGCCTCTAAGTGTTATTTGTGACTACGGCTGTCTCCTGTTCTCTATGGGTATGGATGTGCCCCTTTTTTTTATGCTCACCCTCGCTTGGGTTTGAACGCCCCTGGTACCACCATCTCGTGGTTCTCCTTGTCGTGCTTTTTGGTGTAGTTGGCAAAATTGCGGATACTCGGGGAACGCTTCATCTCTGGTTTCAACTTCTCTTCGGACTCCTCTCCCTCTGATTTTCCCGGGGCTGAGTTCCACGAGCCCGGTGTGAGCGCCTTTGGCTTTTTGGGGTTAGTTGTGGCTTCGGGACACGCAGATGCCGCAAAGAGCCGGCCACCTTCCACTTCCTTCCACCACTTCATTGTCTGTGGATACTTCTGGACTAAGAAGCAATGGATCTGCTCCGCCTTTTTACATATTTCCGGGTCGTTCTTGACCCACAAGCCGTGTTGAATCAACGCCTTTAGGTCTGTCTTGTCCTCACCCACGTAGTCCAGCATGCAGCAGTCGCAGTGCAGGCGTACCACTGTCTCGAGTAATTCGTAAAATAGAAGCTTCGACGCTTTACGCTCACAGATGTCTACCGCCTGCGCTATCATCGGCATAAAGCTGAGATAATCGTTGCACCGCGCACGCTGGCAGATCTCGCGGCACACGGCTACGATTTTGGACTCGCACACCTCAAGCGTCCCCACCTCTAACCGCGTGCCGGAGTACAAGCCCAACTCGAGGTTGCACAAGAAGCGAAGAATGGCACTGGCGGGCTGTACAAACGGTCCGCTCTGTTTCTGCTGCTCGAATTCCGTGACAATACGCTGGCAAGCCGGCAGAGCGGCCCGGAAGTTCCAGTGGGCCCAACAGTACTGGAGAATCACCTCCACGAGAGAAACCGCCACCTGTGACTTGGCCTCTTCCAAGAGGTCAAATACGGCTCCCGTGTCCACGATGTGTTCGATGAGATCGCTGTAGGATGCCACAAACACATTGGCGTTGTCGAAGAGCGTGTTGGAGACCCCGATGCTGATAAGCTGCGTCAAGTATATCTTCTTGGTGATGCAGTCATGGGGCGCAATTGCCGGCACTTTGCTGTTCATCAACACCATTCGCACCTCCGAGATGGTCTTTTCCGCGTGCCAGGGCGATGAAAAACGCGTGAGCGGGAAGGCTGTCGTTACTCGGAGCGCCTCCTCCACGGGAATCTGCTCTAAACCTCCCCCAATGTTCTTGTAGTGGAGCTGGGGCCCCTCCGGCTCGAGTTCCACTAATTCCTTCATCTTGTATCGGCGGTTTACGTGTACCTCTTCGCTGTCCATGAGCTGCACTATCGAGTAGCAATCGTTGAACGGGGGGCTGGTCTCGATGATATCTATGGCCCCATTTCGTGACGCTCCGTCTGGTTGGTTGAGAATTATAGGGCACGGCGGTGTAACCTTCTCTGGACGATGGTTTACAGTGGGATACGCGTGCTCCCCGAGCTTTGAGATACCGTTGTTAGTGTTCAACTGGGCTTTGTCGGACACCGCCGACCCAATACTCCATGTATTATCTGCCCGAAGCTTGGCACTTGTGGTGGATTTCGACTTGTTCATGAGCATATACGCGTACTCGGAAATCCCGAAAGAGAGTCCGCCGACAACGATAGCTGAACACACCAAGATAAGAAACATGTACAAGGCGTTGAGGAGGAGATCTTCCTGGGTGTATGTCACCTCCTGTAGTAGTGAGATATCACGATACTCATTATTTGGGATTCCCGGAAGCGTTCTTCGGTCAAGGGGTGGGGCCTCGTACGCATCGAGTTTGAATCCCGACCCAGAAAAGAAAGCAGTCTCCGTATCAAGAGTCGTCCCGGGGTTATTGCGTTGTAACAAGCCCATGGTGTTCGATTGTGAGAATAGTAGGTTGGGTATAGTATATGCTGTTATAAACGGCTATGTTTAGTCTGCTTTTTTGCTTTCGAGAGCGAGTATGTATTCTTGATTGAGAGCGTCTGTTTGTGTCATGCATGTGGAATCTAAACGCGCGGTGTTACATTACGAATGTTGTGAAAAGCTTAAATAGATGCTTAAGTTGAAATGTACGATAAACGTGAGGTAGTTCTTCCTCTAAACGGCGCTTTTGGGGGCTAATTATAGCATAGTGGTAGAAACTCTTAGTGCTGGTAAACGAAGAAGCCGATATTCACCGTGAGCGATCCGGGACAGCTCCCTTCCTCTTCAAACACCATTCCGTAGTCTCATACCAACTTAATTTTATCTATTTTTATATCTTATATGCACAGTCTAAATACCCATGTCTTCGTATCCAGAACTCACAAAGGAGTTCTCTAAATACGTCTTCCAAAGCTTCGCCAACCGCTTATCTCTGGCAAGACCCTCTATATGCTCATTATCGGATTCTTCTTCCTCTCGCTTGTCCTTCTTGCCCCTTCCCTTTTTGCCCTTTCCCTTTTTGCCCTTTCCCTTCTTGCCCTTCTTTTTTTTTCCCTCTCTATTTGAATCAGCAAGGTCCTTGGCTAGCTTGATCCAGTCATCCACCAACAAACTGTCCATATTATAAACCTTATCGTCAGTAGCGTACTCCAACTCGTATCCAAACGGCTTCTTGCCCTTGGAAATGGCGGCCAAATCTGCATAGTACTGCACGTACCTCACCGGGGAAAAGGTTTGGGGCACGTAGGCGGGCCCAAGAGGCATGTCCGGTGGCGACTTTTTGGGGAAAGTCTTGTCGGCGGCAAACAGCGCAACCTTCTGTTCGTATGAGGCGACATCTTCGGTGCCTTGCGCCTTTTCACGCGCAATTTCCGCGTCCAATTCCGCAAAAAAAGCGGCCCATGTGCGCTTTTTCGTGAATAACGACTCTGTGAAAAGGCCGCCCTTCTTTTCCTCACCCAACCCGGTGGTGTTGTACTCCCATACACGGAGGCCCGGGTTGAACGTCGGAATCACACTGGCCGTGACATGCATGATCGAGTACCGGTGGCTGTGCGCAAGCGAGCGACTCTTGCCCTTCAACGTCGCATAGAACTGGTCGCGCACGCTCTCAATGTAGTCAACCTTACCGCGAGGAATGCCGCCTAACGCGTGAAACTCGTCTTCCCATTCTGGAGCAAACCTGGAATGGCCGTATAGGCTCTCAAGGTTGACCTCAGGGTCGTACACATCCTCAAGATGGTCGCCAAAGGCCTCTTCAAAGTCGTATGCAAATCCATACTCCCCGTACGTTTCGTTGATCGACTTGTACGCCTTCACCGCGTCCAACGGCACAAAGTGGTCTATGTTCATGTGACCGTAAACGCCGCCGATAATCACGTCGCGATACTCGTGGATCCACGCAACGTACTTACGGAAGCACGTGGGGTCATAGTTCTTGGGAAGCGGCGGCACGTGGCCCAGGAGCCACACCTTCATGCCACGCGCACGCATCTCGGCCAACGTCGCGCCCAACCAACGGAAGAGGTCGTATCCCGGCTGTTTGCGCGAGTCACAGTTATCCACGAGCGGGTTCAGCTCGAACCAATACAACGTGTTGAGCGATAACACCGCCAAGCGGTCGGGCACCACCTCGGAAAAGAAGTATGCCCCGCGCACAAACGTGTGCATCTGCTCAGGCGGCACGAAGTTGCGCCAGATGCGCCACATCTCTCGTGTCTGGAGCGTTGGCCCCTGTGCGAATAAATTGTGAGGGTACACATCGTTGTTACCCAAGCTTGGCACCACCATTACGCGCATCGCATGCGGATCCGGATTGTCCCCCTTGTGGAATGTGTCATACATAAGCTCCCCGAGCTTCTCATTGAGCTCGAAAATGATCTGTTCCGACCGCGGAAGGCGCCGGTCATTGTCGTGCCGCACATTGTCCCCGGTCCAGACGACAAAGTCGATCTTGTCCGCGAGATTCTCCTTGATCCACTTGATGGTGTCTTCAACAAGAACCATAGGCGCGTCGCACCCACTGACTGCATCGCCGTACTTGCTGGCGGGGCCCTTTCCGCGATGACAGAGCTCGTCGAATGTGGTGCCAGGCTCGTAGTCCAAGTCCGGATGCATGTCTGTGATGTGGAGGAAGCGCCCGTGGATCGTCTGGGAATTCCCCGAGTTGATCGCGGTGATCTTGACCGGCGCGCGCGGAGTCAAGCCAAGGGAGAGGAGTTGTTGTTCGTCAAAGTCGAGGTACTCGATCGTGACTCGCGCGTCGCCACGTACGCGCGCAATTGCGTTCTGAAGATGGAGAGCCATTAAAGCAGTACCTCCCTGAAACTGGTAGCCAACGAAGGAGAGCACCCCGGCGAGGACTAACAAGAGCCACGCTCGTCTCGTTTTGCCGGTGGCATACTGGCTCTTTTCGTTCATTAGTGGACTCGAGAAATAGGGGTGTAATTCGAATAAAATGCTGATATGAAGAGGGGCAGAAAATGGGTGAGATGGCCAAAGTCGTGAGAGTGCGGTGGTGCTCGGAGTCTTATCAAGGGATGGTCGGTAACGGCCCTGGATTTTCTGCACGCGGATTAATAAGTCTCGTAGTATTTAGCAACCCACGTGCGTACAAATGGTCTTATGTGGGATCTAGACTTCCCGATAAGGTATTTTCCTGATTTGGAGGAACCGAAGGATGTTAGAGGGGGGTGAAGTCCCCGGGATTAATTCTGTATTATTCAATAGTTTCCACGGTCAGACCCAATTTCAGTTTCTCAAAGAGCCTGTTTTAGCTTGGGCTCCTGAAAACTCTCATCTGGGTTGGATTTTCTCTCCAATTGGCAATGATCGTAGGCCCATATTCTGCCCGTTCCAAAAGCATAAAAGTTGCAGTGTTAGGCGTTAGTTGCTAGCTTTAGATTGTTCGGTAGACTAATTCCTGTGAAATATCTAATATTGGTAACGCCAAATCGACAGTCTAGATACAAGAGTTAAAAATATCATTACGTTTACTGTTCTTGACACCAGGGTATGTGTAGTAAGCGCGTAGCTGTCACGTGGTAGGGATCGATACCCTTATATAAAGAGGTCACGCTCTCCCTCCCTTATCCTATATATGTTATATAGCTAATCAGTATACTACTATAAGTAAATACTCTACCCTCGAAATGGAGATATACCTGGTTATGTGATTTATGTAGCGGCGTCGAACAGAGTGCATGGAAAACGCACCGGGCCGCGTGAGACAGGTATGAATAATGCCATGATTCACTCAATAAACCAGAGCTTATCTGTCTAGTTAAAGTGATTTAGTTATGACATTGCCGTGCAAAAATGGCTGATTGGCTGATCAATGGGGCATGGATGACGTAAGTTCTAACATTACCATTCGCTGGCACATGGTATTAACAGTACTAGCTTTACAATAACCCCCAGACGTACATAGTCGCACATACTCCTCATTGCTGAAAATTTATTCATGAGAAGCCCCCTCTAGTTCGTCATACCTCAGCTTTTCCGCGTTAAATATCTCCTTCTGGGACTCCTCGCGGAGCTGTAAGACGCGAATAGCGATGCAAAAGAGGGCGCAACAGGTGGTGGTCGCGAGCATGGCGTAGCAGCCCTTTCGGAAGCGCGGCACGGTATCGGCACCGTAGAACAATATGGACCACCATGCGTTGACAGCGCCAGAGAACATGTTCATCGATGCGAGCACGACCGCGCGCTCCTCCAAATCATCGTGGCACACCTGGTTGGCCCATGCAAAAAATGCCGTCTGGCCTGCATATGCAACCCCGGAGATGTAGTGGGCTGCGAATACATAGGTGGGGCTGAAGGGGTGCACCAAGAGGAGGATGGTGGCGACAATGGTGGCACTGCTGATGAAAACCCCCACGCGCCAGTGGTTCTTTGCACCCGAGCTGTCGATGTACAATGCAGAGCCGAATGTCGCAACGATTCCGACCCCGTACACTCCCATCGGGTAGTGGTTGCGCTGGGCGATGGTGTAGTTGAAGTACTTTAACCAGAGCGCAAAGAGTGAGTTTGACGCGTACGACACATTTTCGCCGCCAAAGACCCAAAGAAGACTGAAGAACCACCAGTGCCACCGGCCAAATACCCGCCGCACCACGGTCCAGTCAAGCTGCGTGCGTTTTGGCGCGGGCACCCGCACCGCGGCCATATGCCGCTCCTCCTCCGAGAAGTAGAACGCGGTGCACCGCTCGGGCACGCCCGGGAAGAAAATGAAACCATACACACACACAGGCACGGTGATGACGAAATCGATAATGAAGAGCCAGCGCCAGCCAGCGAGCCCGTGGCGGCCGTCCATGGTGCTATGGATAGCGCTCTGCATAAAGGAGGAAAAGAGGCTCCCCATGAGGCCAGAGGAGGTGAAGATAGCTGTGCGCTTGGCAAGCTCGTCTGCGGTGTACCACGAACCAAGAATGAGGTGCGTTCCTACAAAGGTTGACGCCTCAAAGAGGCCTTGGAAAAAACGGATCACACAAATTTGCTGGTACGAGTGCACCTTGTACATCCCGAGAGTGAGTAAGCCCCATGACATCGAACAGATAGAGAGCCAGTACCGAGGAGAGACCCTGAGCAAGATCAAGTTGTTGGGAATCATCCCCACCACATAGCCTACGGTGAAGCAGGTGTTGACGATGTTGTACTGGTTGCCAACCATGTGGAGATCCTCCTGCATTCCGGAGACGTATGCATTGGCGACATTCGAGCGGTCGAGATAGTTAATCCAGTAGTTGAGACACACGAAGGAGAGCACGAACCAGTCGATCTTGCGGAGGAGGTCACGCTCCTTCTGTGTCGGAAGCGGCTTGCCCCACACGATAACTTGTGCCTTGGAGAAAACGGGCCACATTAGTGAAGGGGTAACAGTAATATGAGTGCCTTTATAGGCGTATTTGGGTGGCTTAAAATTGAGAAAGTGGAGAAAGTAATGGCCTGAAGGTTAAAATTTTATTTATCGTACCGGATGTTGTCGAGACTCAGGGCTTCATGCACGGTGACCGTTATGGAAGGGTGGAGATGTCATGCGCATACTGACTCTAGGTGGTTAATTTGCTCACAATTAATGTCACGATACTATTGCCGAAGAATTAGCATTATTCTACAACTGAGTGCAGGATTTACTTAGAGTTATTCCACTGATTCTTAGGGTATTGATATTAAGACCGAGAGAAGGGTAAAAGCGCTGTGAAAAGGCTTTGCGGAAGCCCGGCACCCCGGGGCTAAGTGAGTCGATGCTGTCTTTTGAATTCCCGTCGCAGTATAGTTATATAAGGGGGAGCCAGTTATGTTAATATGGGGAGAAATAGAAGATTGTAACCTGAATTACCGTAGCATCCATGGGCAGTGGTCCTACAAGGCTGACTTTTGAGTCACTTCCCTTCATTTTATTGACCAGGCAGGCAGCAAGCGAGCGAGCATTCAAAATTCTACAGAACGTTGTGCTCAAAGTAGCTACAAGAGACATAATCTAATTTACGAAAAAGATTGGCGCTCTGATAAATATCGGTATGACAGTGATGAGGAAGGATAGTGCCTAGCCAATTCCCTAGTAATCGGTGGAATAGTACGTAAATGTGATGCCTACAAAAAGGAGACAACTAAATATATTTTATTTTCGACCCGCGGCGTGTCACCTTCACAACATAATCAGGCTAGTATCTCACTTGTACCCACCTGCATGTTTTGTGGACTAGAGATGGAATTTTTTAAGCGTATAGTTGGCAAAAAAAATTGGCCTTTAGTATTTCTGGTAGCTGCTAGCAAAGTAATCGAAGGCTGTACATTGGGCCTAATCACATAACTAAAACTTACATCTAAAAGGAGATCCTCCCCAGGTTTACGTTTGTGCTTAGACCTAGCTGGTACAGGGGAAACTGCAGTATGGATTAAGTCACGTGACTATCTTCCCATCACCATTGCTTTGTGGGTCAAAGTAGTTCTGGGGCGTAAGTCGATGTCCTAAGTATATGACATTACACTACAATATAATCTGGCTAACTTACTACTGAGAAATAGATCCAGTTATTATATATCTATTTCACCTCCTCCGTTTTTATATCATTTCTCCCCCACCTCCATGTCTCTTAGACCTTCTGAAAGCCCGCCGACGCCAACTCATCCCGAGGCTGATACTAGCATCGAAAACATTCAAGGCACCATTGAAGATGACGACTTTGATCTCAATCCAGATCTTGATGAGGAGGAATTGCAAGAAAATATCGCCAATTTTGGTTGTCACGCCATAGTTGCTCCACCTAGTGAAACACCGCCACTCACACAAGACTCGGAATTTGAAGCCTCTGAGTGGGAAGACCAGGTCTTCTCGCCCCCTCCGGCCAGTACGCTCAACGATTCTGCGACCGTCCTTCCGTCATTGAAATTTTGTACCACAGATGTAACCCAGAATAACGCCCCCGTCTTGTCTACCGCGCAGCAGAGCAAGTTTATTTACTACTTGGATAACCAATTGCTTCTGGTGCAACGAAAGTTCATCCAGCAGTTCAATGACCCATCGGCATACAATCTACCTGCATTAATCCTGGATTTAAACCGAATCGTCAATCTAGTGTGGTTTTCACTCAATGCAAACACGCCCAAACTCTTTGGGCAAGACGAGTACCTCATCAAGATCACAGGCGACTTACAGGAGTATTTAACTAAGTTGCAAATAACTCAGCACAACATACGCTTGTTGCTTGCCTTTTTGGTCGATTTGGACGAAAAGTTGTCGTACTTGGTCGACGGATACATCGTTGCCACTGGTGAAACAGTCACGCTTACGGGAACCGAGCGCGTGCGATTGAACGGGATCTGTTTGGGACTTCGGGTAATTGTGATCTCAGCCCACCAAAAGAACGGAATAAAGGGCTACCGCGAGGAGCTTGGTCAGTTGTTCACCGGGGTTCTAGACCGAACTTCGTAGGATGGATGCAAATATAACGCAAAATGTCCCCTGACCAAGTCTGGGTTTCTTTGTTTGGAGATTTTGTTAGGTATGAACTATGTGCGTCATTGACCGTTTTTAAACACCCTAGACTCCAAATACATTCCGGCATTTACAATGCATCAAACAGTGAAGTATCGGTGAAGCAACGGGTCAAGGTAACTGCCGGCCCCTCAGTTTTATTATACGCTTTGGTTTTACTGTATTTGGTCCTATCTCCGAACTACTATTATTGTCTATTGTCAGTCGCTATAAAAATGAATTCCACATGGGAAAAGTCGCCCCAGCGGCTCTCTCAATGGCAGAAGCCACACCTGCAGATGCGAGATTGAAGCGCATCACGCACGTCATTCTTGGAGTAGGCGCGCACTGTGGCGTGAACTTTTGGTATCTGCAATTCAGCTACCAACTTTTCAATAAATATGTGGCACGAAATTATTAGGCGTAAGGGGCTTGTGATTGCGAGCTACCGCAGCAGGGTGCACCTCCCCCGGTTAGCGGAACTGAAAACTAATGCCTCCTCTAATACCACAACTTTTCAGTGGGGTTACTCCCAGCCTACGTCAGTCTATAAATACCATAGATTTCCTCTTCTGCGCCATATATATATATGTTCTTTTTTCTCACAACAATCACATAACCAACGGATCGATGACCCAATTGAATGACTACAAAGAAATCGCCGCCAAAAAGGTAGCTCTCAGGGACGCCCAACTCAAAAAGGAGTGGTTGGTTCCAGAAGCTGATCTCCCTCCAAAGAACATCAAGGATGTTTTGAACTTCCCGGAGGAAAGTGGCTACTTATCAGCGAGTGAGATTGAAATCACCAATGCTGATGCCCGAACCATTGTGGAAAAGATCAAGGCCAAGGAGTGGACATCAGTGGAAGTTACGAAAGCATTCTGCCACCGAGCCTCCATCGCCCACCAGTTGACCAACTGTCTCACCGAAGTTTTTTTCGATGAAGCCCTCGAGACTGCTGCTGTACTTGATGAGCTGTACCGCGAGACCGGCAAGCTCCAAGGGCCGTTGCATGGCCTTCCTATTTCATTAAAGGACTGTTTCAACCTTAAGGGTAAGGCCAGTTCTATCGGTATTGTCGGATATGCCTTCTCTCCAGAGGGAGGGATGCCTGAGGATGCAGTCTTAGCCACTATTCTCAAAGATTTAGGCGCGGTTTTTTATGTCAAGACCAACATTCCAACTGCTATGATGACGGGTGAAAGTTTCAACAACCTCTGGGGCAGAACTTTGAATCCTTTTAATCGTGATCTTACCGCTGGTGGCTCATCTGGTGGCGAAGCTGCTTTGTCTGCGTTGAAGGGCTCGCCTTTGTCCGTTGGTACCGATATTGGTGGCTCTATCCGTATCCCGGCCGCCTTCCAGAATATTTACGGGCTTCGTCCTTCCTTTGGCCGGTTTCCAACCTTCGGCTGTAGACCTGGCTTGGCGGGGTTTGAGTCGGTTGTTTCTGTTAATGGACCAATGGCGAGATCCATTGATGCCTTGCTGTTGTACTCCCAAGCCGTTATTGGTGCCGAACCGTGGTTGCAAGATCCTAGGGCTATTGAGATTCCGTGGAGATCGATAGAGTTACCGACCAAGCTAACCTTTGCTGTTTTGTGGGATGACGGAATCTGTAAGCCACACCCTCCTATTCTTCGTGGATTACAAGAGACTGTCGATAAACTAAAAGCTGCCGGACACGAAGTTATTGAGTGGGATCCGCGTCTACACCTCAAATTGTTGACTCTTGCTGGGGCTCTCTTTACTTCCGACGGCGGCAACCGGATCAAGGGTCTCGTTGGCTTGACCGGCGAGCCACTCTTGGAAGCGTTGCTGGGTTTGACAAACGCTGCAGAGATAAGCACCAGCAAACTTTGGGAGTTGCAGCTCGAGCGTAATATCGTTGCCAGAGACTATTTGTTGCAGTTTGTGGGTACTGCGTCGCAAACATCTAGTGGAAGGCCCATTGATGGGATCTTGTTGCCAGCTGCCCCGTGCGCCGGTGCCCCTCATGAAAAGTTCAAGTATGTGGGCTACACCGTGGCATACAATGTCTTGGACTACACTTCTGCCACTTTCCCAGTCACTAGGGCGGACTCATCTATCGATATAGCTGATAAGGACTACATTGCAAGGAATCCTACTGAAAAGGAAGCGTGGGACTCCTATGACGCAGAGCAGAACCACGGTGGGGCTGTATCCATTCAATTGGTCGGGAAACGTCTTGAGGAAGAAAAGGTTTTGGCAATGTTGAAGGTAATTGCTAAGGTGGTTGACTACAAGCAGTAGATACAAGCTGGAAGCATACTCATAACATTCGTATACTTTCGAAATGTCAACCTCTATATATATGCTGTGTAATGCCACAGATCTAAAAACGAATGTTGGGTTTTTATTAAATAAGGCGTCTAAATAGGTGCAAGTGTATTATAATCATAGTGAGATAACCGGTAGAGAAACAAAAAAAAACAATAGTAGCGAGGCATGTGTATCAAAAAGGTAGTAAAATAGCAAATCGAGAAAGTAAAGCACCGAAGCGTCAAAATAACTGAGAAAAAAAAAGTAGGACATATGAACAAATGAAAGAAAACGGAATAGGGCAATATGCATGTAAAGTCGTTAGATGTCGGCAAGGTAGAATGAACTTGGAAAGTAACAACGGGGAAGGGTAACAGGGCATTTAGCTTCCGTGAACAAATGGCAGCACCCGTCAGACAAAGTGCTGTGAAACAGTAATTGATGGAGTGTAACATAGATGGCTCCCCCTAGACGGCCCCTAAGCAAAAACTAGCCCAATCGCCATTGGCCTCCAATCTGTCTAATCTGCCGTCCCTGGCGGCCAAGTACAAGGCGTTCAATCTGTCGTTCTCAAGCGGTTCCGTCGGCTCCACTACTCTCTGCATCATTCTCTGTTCTTCCACGGCAGGGGACTGTTGATTGAAGGCGTCGGACAAGATGTTGCCCTCGTAGCTGGGAGAGGACGGGTACTGACCGTAGATCAACGGTTGGGGTTTCAGGGCCTTGTACTGGGTCTTGGTGTCCACGACCGGCAGGTTTTGGAAGTTGGATCTGCCCCATGACAATCGGATGCGGGAGTTGTGGATTGGGAAGGACTGCATCTGGGTGATGGCCAACTCAGCGGCTGGGCGAGTCACAAACTGGACGAATCCGCATGACTTTCCCGCGGGAATCTTCACGTAGATGATATCGCCAAACGGCCTGAAGTAGCTTTTCAACTCGTCCTCGGAAACTAGGTTGGACAACCCCCCGATGAATACGGTGGTGTTATTAGGATCGGTGTGCTGGGTCAACTGGGGCTGCTGCTGGTGGAAAATTGGCAATGTGGCTGAAACGTAGGCAGCGGCAGACCCCAAAGAACCGGTGTTAGCACCACTGCCATAGGACAGCGTGTGGTGCAGTTGGTAGTGCTGCTGCTGCTGCTGTTGATTCTTGGAAGCCGCCGTAGAGACTCTGATTGGTCTACCCGAGAGCATGAAGCCGTTCATTTCATTCAAAGCGCGCTGCTGGTCGGCCTCTGCGGTGAACTTGACAAACCCGTAGCCTTTAGGGTTGTTAGTGACCTGGTCCGTCATGACCCTTGCGCTCACACAGGTTGGAAACTTGGAGATAAAAAGGTCGTACAACTTCTTGTCGCCAACATCAGGCTGCAAGTCTCCCACAAAGATGGCATACTCGGACGCTGGGCCGTTGCTTGGGGCGTATCCGGACGTTCCGGTAGAAGCCCCAGGGGCCCCACCAGAAGCCCAGTTCAACTTCAAGACCTTGGCGGTGCCGGGGATTGGAAGCCCGTTCTTCAAAAGCGCAGACTGGGCAGCCTCCTGGGTGGCGAAGCTGACGAAACAGTAACCGGCATTGCCGTTATGGGTCTTGTCCCTGATCAACTTGACGTTGGAGGCCGTCTCGCCGAACGCGCTCCAGATCTGCTTGATGGCGTTTTCATCCCACCATTGGTCTAGTTCGCCCATCCATAACTGGAACTTGTCGTGCGCCTGCTGATAGCCCCCGTGGCTCTGGGGCGCGCCCTGGTACGCACGAGGTCCAGCACCGTACTGGTTGTTCCCCTGATAGCTATTCTGGTGGCTAGAAGAATACGACGCCTGGTAGTCTCCGTTGCCACGGTACTGCCCCTGGTAGCGGCTGGGCTGGTTCAGGTACCCGCCACGGTACTGGTTGTAGCCGCCGTTATTGTGGTGGTTCTGGGAGTGAGACATGGGATGTAAGGTAGATAACGGGGATAGGTGTCACCGCTAAATAAATGGCTGGGACTTGTGGAGATAGAAGCAGTGAGCGAAAATCGTAGGCAAGGCACTAAAGTATTGGTGGCAAAGAAACAACCAATTTCGAGAATTCTTCTCAAATTTTTCAGGCGGTCAACGCGTTTATTTTTCGTGGAGATTTGATGCACGTACAGCATTGCAGGGCGCAGAGATCAATATAGATGTGTCTAGCGGGAGCCCCGGCACAGAAAGCCTCTTTGTTCCGCGCCTGCGGCTCCTGCATCACAAGACTGGGAATTCATCATGAGACCGGATATGATTGCGTAATTGTGACGACAGAAATACTGGGTCTGACTATAAGTGTATGGCTGTGTATGACCCGTAGATTACGTCAACCATAGTCCTTGCTTCCGGTTCAGCGTGTTGGGATTGTCAACTAACGCGACCTTTATACATAAAATGTGACTCTAAGCTTACCTGATGTGCGTTAAAAAAATGCACTCTTGTCTAAAAATGTATAACCCAGTCTTAATACCGCCCCCGTTTTATTTAGTCAATATTAGCTATACGACAGCTTTTTGAGAAAAACTAATCGCAAAGATGCATCCTGGATGAACCAAGATTTGCCTTTCACCGCAGTGTTGCCTTACAGCTGTCATGGAAACCGCTTCAAGATTACTTCGTGGTAGATATACCGCAAAAGCTTCTCATGGCCAGAAACCCATTGCAGCCCCATGCCTGAGGCACACGTATGGCGCTCCTCCGGGTTTACCCTTAACAACTTCCTGACAAAGGCCTTTGCGTCCTCTGAAACGCTTCCCCAGTGTTTGGGGCTGTTTTGCAGTAGGTATTTTAGCTCTCCGACGGATGCTGACTGCACCATTCGTAGCTCGTCACCATTCTCGTAGAATGGAGAAATCCCGCTCAATATGATATGGACGATCACGCCTACCGACCACATATCGCATCGAAAATCATACCCTTCCGAATTGGTGCTTGTCTCTAACTCATCCAGCTCGGAGGACCTGAATCTACCCAAGAATCCCACTTCAGGGGCGCTATACTCGGGGGTGCCAACAATCGTGTGCATTCTCTGCGGTCTTGTAGTCAGGCTCAGCAGTCCAGCTGGAGGGCTGGTGTATCTCGCAATTCCAAAATCGGCCAACACCACTCTTGTACAAGGCTCGGGAGTAGCTAGCAAAATGTTGTCCAACTTCAAGTCTCGATGAGCAATGTTGTTGTCCTGGAGATATTTCAATGCCAATAAGATTTGGTACGTTATAACAAGGCATTCTGATTCCGGGAGTGGCACGAGGCTGTCTCCCTGGACGAGATAGGAGAATAGGTCTCCTCCACAGATGAGATCCTGAAAAATGTAGAAGTTGCCGTTTCGTGTTACTGCTTCATGGACGCGTATGACATTAGGCTAAAAAGGCTTCAGTTAGTGGTAATCCCAATTGAATATGTTAGGGAATAATTACGTGGTCTAGCTTGGAAAGGATCTGAGCTTCTAACAGAAGTGCTGGTATTTTCGCCGTCTCCGTCCTGACTGGGATAACTTTAACCGCGTACAAGAATTTGTCTTTGTTTTTGTCTGTATTCTTCAATCTCTTAGCTAGGTACACCTATTGGTATTAGTCAGCCAATTCAGTCAGATGTTCCATGTAATACTCACACTCCCAAACGCCCCAGTCCCAAGAACCCGTTTAGATACCTCCCAGTTTGGAATTGTTGGTTCCTTCTGATGGTTTTGGGGAAGGAGGGGTCTAGTCATGGCTGGAGCTACCCAACTTGAAAAGACAAATTTTGTTCCCCTTTCGATTTCAACCACGTCGTTGTCTTCCAATAAAACTATTTGGCCCTTCGTTATAACTTTATCATTTACATAGGTCCCATTTAAAGAACCTTTATCCCAGAGATAAACTAATGGTTGAGTTTGGGTGTTAGATTCATCAAACTGAATACACCACATTACACAGTGGTGAAGAGAAACAGCAGGGTTGGTTAATTGGAAAGTGCTCTTAGGAGACCTTCCGAACGTTATGAGTTTGCCGCCAGAGTTGTTGGGAATGCTGCCCTCTTGGAAGATGGGGATAATGGAGTTTTTGCGTAATATTTGAGAAGATGCGTCGGGGGTACTTTGCTCCTCGTACACTGATTCGATTAAGAGAAAGTTTACCGGAGCATGGCTGAGCTGGGAAGGCGAGGGAGACGACATGTCCAATAAATCCATTTAAGTTTATAATGAGGACATGGACAAAAGAGAAAGGTTTGAAATGCTATTTGGGTTAAGTGTGACCTACTACGTTTCCTGGTTTGGTTTGTTTCCGCCCTGCGTGATCGCAATTGTTGGTAGCCTAGACCCCATATTGAAGCACTGCAACATTTGGGATGTTGTGCTTTATAGTATGGCGCTGCGGTGCCGATGAATATATGACACGTGCAGTATACTGCCTGTACGCGGCGATATTAGCACCAGCTCCCATTTGCCTAATCTTGCTATATTCGGAAAGGAGAACCAATACTGAAATGAATAATCCGTTAATAGTGGAAAAGTAAACAATTAAATATCTGCCGTAGACTTGTAGTGCTATACAGTCTGACAATTGCTACGCAAGGACCTCACGTGTGTTTATATCATGCATTGATTGAATATTGTGATAGATTGCTTACAAAGCATGGTGATGGTGCGTAAATACCCAGTGTGTTCCTTGAAGCTTACATATTGTTCCAAATACAGGCTGAGGATTTCTATAACTAGCATACATATCACTGTATGTAGAGCCATGTCAGTGTATGTATATAAGTAAGCCTGGTATGTGTATATAATTAATGTTATTGTATATATTCACTAAATAATTTACCCAAAGATATTGATTTGAAAATACCCGTGCGTGTAAAAATAAGCCATTATTTACTATATATAATTCGTACCAAATGCCTTTCAATAGTAACTTAAATGCTATATATAATATATATCAATGCTAACGCGTTCTATAAATTTCTTTCATCAATCGCCCATATTCTATACACTACAGATTTGATAAAGGCTTAAATGGCGTTCTTCAATGACTGTCCGTTTACCCTTCCTCCACTAAGAATCATTGACCCGTTTGAAATCCCATGCATTTTGTATTATACAACCTGAGTATACTTATCTCATGATACATACCTTCTGCAAATACAGCAACCAACCATGTTAACCCGAAATCCAAGTCATTGTTACAACTTCTGACCCAATCTAAAATTTCTTTGCATTGGGATGAAAACCGTCAGCCTTAACTCGTAATTGAGTTTGCTAGTACTTAACAACCAAAAAATCGTGTTTAAAGAGGCTGTTCAATGTACCCCTCGTCCCTACTAATATGTTGTTAAGACCTAGGCTCCTCAAACACTAGGCACGGATCTACCCTTCACTGGATAAGCCACCCCTGTCCACAGGCACTCAGGCCAAGCTTTGATGCAGACAAACCTCCGTTGCCATGCGCACACTTAACCTAATTGGGGACTGCAGCCTACGATCCTCGTGTGCTCTACCGCGTCACCTAGATTTGTGTATCCTACGTTGTCGAGCATTGCAATATACAACTACTGGATCGAAAGCAATTTTCTATAACTCAGCTGGGAGGGGGCAATTGTATACTTTGTTCTACATAATAGGAAAATTAATCAAAGGACCGAAGAAAGGCACGTGAAATAAATACAGATATTGTCCACCAAACTAACCATCTCCTGCTATGTACCACAACCGCTAACCGATTCCAGGTGGTGATATAAGCCGATTATTCAATATTTTTTTTTGCGCCTCACAGGGGTCTTTACGCTTACCGAAAAATCAGTTTTTTTTGCTACGCGTTTAGCTACGTGTTATGGAGGTTTCTGTTTCGACTGAAAATGGGTACTACAGGCTACACGCATTCACCACGAAAACTTAGACCACATAACATCGTTTTGAATTCATCAGTAGAGTGCTGTGTAAACATAATAACACAAATTAATATGGGCGTATGGGTATCCTTGCACGCGACATACAATGGATAGGGCTGTCCACATCCGTATATTCTGTACGTGCAACAAGGGGCTGAAGGAGCAGATACATACATGTTCAAGCGTTTGCGCGCATTAATCCTTTCCTGGCTGAACGGTACCGTTTTCGGAAGTGCGGCGTTTGAAAAACCACAAGCCACCCCAAAAACATCAACCCACACGTCGAACGTTATGAGAGCGGAAGGAACGCAAAGATTGGTTGTCAGGTTTCCTGAATACCGTAGCTACGGACCATAGACTCCACGACTCTCTCATAATGGGTGGATCCGATTCAAGTGTAGTAGGCTGTTGAGATGGTAGCATATACAAGTGTACACATATGGGCTACGCGGATGACGGCCCGATAAACGAATTGTCATTAATGCCGCCTTTAGATGTTTGTACGTTATTGATCTATGACGGAGAGACTTGCGTTTTCACCATATAAAACGTGAGCTGGAATGTGCCTCGACAGAACTTGTACGCCTACGCGAGAGGATCTCAAAACCGGCCCCTTTAGGAAGACCAACAGCTTATTAGACTATGCGTTTTGGGAGACGTGGTCAAAAATTTGAAATGAAGCAAGTGTAAACACGGGCAGAAATGCCGACAGTGATGCGCGTCGAAAGGTAAACAAAAACATACAATTAGTGTCTGCATTGGGCGAAAATGCGAAAATTCCGCTCCCCCAAGCGCGACGGGACAAGGGTGTACCACAACCGACGTGTCACAGCTCAGCTTGGCTCTTACCAAATAGGAGATATACGGCGGACGTACATGCATACACGTCCGAAGGGGGACGCACGCAACGAGGTTACCCCAGAGATATATACATGTTTAAAAGTCCACCTCTCACGTCTGTATGATACCCGCTTTGTCACGCATGTAATTAGGTAGCTACAGTGAACTTCTTTCACGCAGAGACACGCCCACTTAGTTATCTTTAATAGGCAATTTCCCTTGCATGAAACTCCAGATCTAGTCGCTTAAATGCATAGCACCACCTTGATTCCACTTGGGTAATATGACACGCATAACCCTGGTTCTCGCCAAATCTCTTACTACTGATCTACAGCAACGGAACCCTCCCGTTGCCAACGAGCGGCAAAATCTCCCCTTTGAGACATCGATCTGAGCGTGTAGTGTGCAAATATACTCCTGTGTTTACATTTACCTTGCCGTGCATCTCATGCGCACACTTACACCGTCAAGAAACGCGTACATAGCTCAGCCTTATTTACCTTTTTGGTCACTAATTACCGGTGCTTGTCCAATTCCATGACACTCTTCGCCCATATATATAGACTACTCTTTCCTCTTTCTGTTTTGGTTGTGCCAGTTCTTTCACTCCTAAATAACTTTAGACTGATAGCACCATTCGAATACCCTGGCGCTGTACTTCTGATACGCCATTCTCACTTTTTTACACCCTTAGATAACCTGAACATATCTCCCCTTACCCACCTCTCTCCGTATTATGCTCTTGTCCTTTCCAAATATGTCTGATTCCACCTCTGCCCCACAGGCTCCACATCAGGCGATTCCATCGCTCTCCATTCCAAGCATTTCGGGAACCAAAACGTCGCTTCCGCCATTGTCACACATCCTTGCATCTACCCAAAAACACACATACCCTGCATCAGCCTCCTTATCGGCCCCTAGCTCCGCGTCTTCCAGCGCGTCAGCCCCCAGAAGCAACTCGGCCCCTCACACCCAGTTGCCTAGTATTTCAACCTTCAATATCCCATTTCACAATACCGCTCCAGCGCCGTTCCCTACCCCCGTCCGTAACGCGGTTTTGCCAACCACGCCTATGGTGTCAAAGCATGGCAGCACTTACGACCCACGCACCCTGGGCCTCCCTACTCCTCAGTCACAGCCCCCTAACGGCCCGCTCGCTATCCCGTCGCTCCACCAACCAGCTGTTGAGTATCAGTACGCGCAAACACCATCGGTTCCGAGACAGATGCCCGAAGCCGCTACTGCCGTCTTTCGCACGCCCTCCCACAAGGAAAACGCTAAGGGATGCAAGGCCCTGGAGCAGGATCTGCGCACAAAGTCTTTTGCCTTCATCTCGCACTCCCAGGAGACATTTCCGCTCCATGAGCCAAGCATTGACAACGCCCAGTTAGCGCGTCGCAAGAGAAGAAGAACCTCCCCGGCGGAGTTGTGCATCTTGCAGGACGAGTTCCTTAAGTGCCATACCCCAAACCGCTCCAAGAGAGTGGAGATCGCTGCCAAGGTGGATATGACCGAAAAGGCGGTCCAGATCTGGTTTCAGAACCGGAGACAGAACGTGAGAAAGTTGCACATGGAGACCAAGCAAGACGTCCATGTGGACTTGATGCCAGTTATGGAACGCAACACCCATCCCCAGATGATGCCATTGCCGATCGCTGAGAATCTTCCTGCGAAGCAGTACGACTTCCATGGTCCGGGAATGTTGCGGACCCCTACCAAGACTTCCAGTGTAAACGGTGAAGATGCTAGATCCCAGTTCTCCACCTCGCCACTTGAAAGCCCCACCGCGCGTTCTCCGTTCCATTCTCCTTCCTACAAACCCAGCCTGGTCCCAGCGCAACTCTTGGTCAGCACCGCTCCCAACCCTGCCCACGTGTTTCCTGTCATGAAGATGATGAAGACCCCAGCGAAGAAGCAGCCGGAGCCGATTGCGTCAACCCCACAGCAGTCAACCATGCACAGCCGCTCGAGTACGGTTATGGCCAGCGGTGCTTCCACCATGACCTTCCGGTTGAAGAGTGTTACCGCCAAGACGCCAAACGCTTCTGTTAGAAGAAAGACGAAGAAGCTGCAGGCGAAGACCGAAACCAGCACTAAGAAGAGGGACGCGAACGAGGACGATGTGGCTGATGTGTCCATGAACCCAGACGACACCTTCGAGTCTCACGCCGAGGCGTCTGTCTCCAAGAGAAAACATGATACAAAGAGGCAGAAAGTCGTTGCCCCAGCCGTAGTGGAGGGCTATAACTGGTCCACCTCTACCCCACAAAAGCCCTCGAGGGAGACTGATGCTTCTGAGAACCCAGAAAGAAGAAATTTGAAAGACTTGTTGATCTTGTCCCATGATGACGAGCCAACCCAGGCTAAGAAGCCGTTGGCTATTAACCATAATGTCTTGAACCGTAGCGTACCAGCGACCAAAACCGGGGAGGCTGTCAATGGAAATGGTGGGGAAATCGAGTGTATCGAACACTTGTTGTCATTGAGAACTGGTAACTGGAAATAGATACTGGCTGTCTATATCGGTTATTAGAATACACGCGTACTGCAAGTTTACATTTATTTTAATATGTTTGGTATCCATTTTTTGTAGAGCCTGAAACCAATAACACCAACCGAATTGTATAAATTCGGTGACGGTGCCGATCATGAGGATCATTACTGGTTCATAGAGAGGCAGATCCTTTTTTAATCAGATCAATCCTTCCTTTTTACCAATAAAATATAAAGCAACCATATGATCATGACTGATGTAATTTTAGCTTTGGGTGAAGTCAATTAGGCCTCCGTTCGTATCGATAATGGCCACCGTCTTATTCGTAACTCTCGAACAAAAGTATGGTTTATAGCCGAACAAAATACCGAAATATATAACTTGAAACTATACTCACACAATCTCTACGTAGAATAAACATCAATATTTCTTTGAAAGTAATACCCAGTTGACGTCTCGCAACCGAGATATCAACATGGTAGTGCATTAACCACACACGGGGCTCATAATTCAGACCATCGAAAATTATCGCTAAGTTTTTCGTTCCAACGGCTGATAGGTGAAAAATCACGGTTTGGATCTTCAAGTTAGTCTGTATTTTGGTACTACAAGGTGTTAATATATCTATCTATATATAGAAACTGGTATACTACGGAGAACTCTTCACCATTCACCACCTGCATACCTTGAACTGCCAATTAAAAGTGCTCGACTTCCTGTACACCCAGCACACAATGCTCTCCAGCGCTAGAACTTTCTTGTCCGGCAAGACCTTTCTCTCGTCTCGTTTTATCTCCTCCGTGGCCACCATCACCTGCGAGAAGGCCACCCTGCAATTCCCAAATTTCCAGATTCCTCCAAAATACGTCTTGGCGTCTATCAGAAGCTTCCCATCCTTAGAGCCAACCACCTTTGTCCCAGTCAGCACCACCATCTTGAACCAGCCGCTTAGAAGAGACTTGTTGTGGCTCGCTGCTGTTTACGAAGCTGATGCTGCACGTGTTGGTTCCGCGTCTCCACCGGGTAGAAGCGAATTGGGCTACTCCCGTAAGAAGGTTAGACCACAGAAGGGTACTGGTAGAGCTCGTGTGGGTGACAACAACTCCCCAACTAGACACACCGGTGCCATTGCCATGGCCAGAACCGCTCCTAATGACATGAGTTCCGACTTGCCATTGCAAGTGTATCACACTGCCTTAAAGTCTGCCTTGTCCCACCAGTACCGCGAAGGTAAGTTGTTTGTCATCGAGGACCATTGTGACTTTGTCACCGGTCAGTCCCAGGCCGCCAAGATGTTCTTAAAGGAACACGGCTTTGAAGACAAGAAGTTGTTGTTTGTTCTCGACTCCCCAAGACATAACTTGGCTGACGCTACTGAAAAGTACCAGCAGAAGATTGATATTGTCACCAAGGACGCCGTTGAGGTCCGAGACATCTTGAAAGCCAACCGTGTCTTTATTGAGTTGTCTGCCTTGAAGTTCTTGGGCTGCAAGTTCCACCGTCCATCTGACTTGAACTGAGTGTGGTGCAACCACTAACCACCTTTCCACACACATGGTAAAGCAAACATTGACAGGCTTGAGACTACACATTCCTTGGACTCACATCCCCTGAGCTTTCGGGGCAAGTCCATCAGGCATTTTACCAAGCTTTCCAGCCTAAGTACCGTGTCCCCGCAAGTTGACTCTGCACGCTTCACCTCTCGTTACTGCATCCTCTCATCCTTCCCAACCCCTTTACAGGGATGAGACAATAAAATGAAGCCAACTTTCATGTAAATAGTGTACTCCTTCTGTGTTTCATTTCTTGTCCTTTCATTCTGTTCAACATAGATTGACCTATCTGACGTCTCTAATTTTTTTTAGCTAATTGTAGGGTGGTAAGAGTTCGAACACTGAATTCTATTATTTCGGAATGCGGAAGAGGCAACGATGCACATACAGGTTCATAAACCACCATGACAGAATCCATTTGCGTTAGACACATACATGTACTGGATTATTACCCATACTACGATAGTATAGCGACGATTATCTTTCCCCACGGATGTCAATATGCATTACATGCAGGTTTTACTAGCTATTTATTAGATAGATTGAAGAGACCGGTTTTTGTATAAGGAATGGCTATCTGCCCACTTGTTTCCAGCCACTGTAACCAAATCGTATTGTTTAGGCACAAAAAGTAGGACTTAAACGTTCTGAGTGCTTATACTATACATGTTGCTTAATATTCTGATATCTCAAGTGTCGAATCAGTGAATGCTTCCTCCAAATTCATTATGGTACAATAATCAGCTTCACGTATACCGGGGGGAAGAATGAAGTTATCACGTGCGAAATAGCAGGGCTTTGCAGGTATATATTTAACAGTCACACCATTTGATGTAAAATTTTCCAAAATGGACGATCGTCAGAAAATATCCTGCATATTTGCTCTCATATAGAGGAATAATCACGTGTGACGCAGCTTTGTGTGCTATCTTTAGGTGAAGGTTTTGTCTCAGGTGTTTCCTGTCGCCTTCATTTTTCGTGCGTGCCGCACGAAAACCACGTGACTTGCGAATAATTTTCACCGAGAAGCTGGCCTGCCTCTACCACGGCGAGGAGGAAACCCCGAGAGTGGGAACGGGAGCGGTTCCATAGTGTAGGACTGGTAATGGGGGACGAATAGAGTATAGCCAAATTTGCCTTTTTTAAAAAAATTCTCCATAGCTACACTATAGTTCTGAATCTTGAATACATAAATAACACCGCAAAAATGTCTTTAGTTGTCCAAGAACAAGGTAGTTTCCAACACATTTTACGGTATGTGTCCATCATTTTACCACCAACAACGAGATATGAGAAACGGGATTGAAACCGAGGTCACCCGTCCAAGCCAAAAGAGAGACAACCATATCGAAGCGGAAGAGAGCCTACCACAAAGTACAGAGACAGACAACGTGTCAGCGAAAGGGAGTCCAAAAGATGCGAGCTACCAAACATTGTGAAAAATCTTCATACATGCCATGACTGAACTGAACGACACGGGAGGTCTGATCAACCCTGTATGAAGGAGATAAAGCTGGGAAAAGTTCAACAGTACCTGTTTCCCAAAAGCCTCGCCCTGCCTCGTATCCTCATGTCTCATTCAATTTCGTTGTGATTTGGTCCACTCTATGAACATTAAACTAACACACTATAGTTTGCTTAACACCAACGTTGATGGTAGAATCAAGATTATGTACGCCTTGACCACCATCCGTGGTGTTGGTCGTCGTTACTCCAACTTGGTCTGTAAGAAGGCTGATGTTGACTTGAAGAAGCGTGCTGGTGAATTGACCCAGGAAGAATTGGAAAGAATTGTCACCATCATGCAGAACCCAACCCAATACAAGATCCCAGCCTGGTTCTTGAACAGACAGCGTGATGTTGTTGACGGTAAGGACTCCCACACCTTGGCCAACCAGTTGGAATCTAAGATGAGAGATGACTTGGAGAGACTTAAGAAGATCAGAGCCCACAGAGGTATCAGACACTACTTCGGTTTGCGTGTTAGAGGTCAACACACCAAGACCACCGGTAGAAGAAGAGGTTAAACGTACTGCTCTTGTGTCTTGGAAAGATAGTCTTGTGAACCTTGTGCTTATGCTGACATCTCTTTTCTTTTACTACTCATGAATGTACTTTATACTTCCCTTTTAAAATAAATCTATTTTCTATACATAACCTATCTTTGTCATGTATGAATAATGCGGGTAAGCAGATGGAGTCTATAATCAGCTTCTGAGTTCCTACATGGGCACGTGTTAAGGGAGAACGTACTCGTAGAGCTTTCGGTACGGGCTTAAGCTGAACGGCAATGATTAAGTACTAAAAACAGTTTCTACTGAGATCTGCCCTAAGTTTGACTGAGACCTCAAATATCTGGTGCCGTTTGTGTACTACGAGAGAGCTGCAAACTTACAAAACACCTGATTATATATTTGCTCAATTTTAAACGATGATACCGACGCTACTTCTTTTGCTAACACAAATACACTAGATAACTGGAACATAGCAGGACAACAAGTTTCATTTGGGTGACCTGATGGAAGTGAATGTATATACGGAGAGCATCCTGAAAGCAAGATAAGCAGCCGAATCTGACGGTTGGGGTTTGGGTCGAACTGAAGCCCAAAACCATCAACTTGTCAAATACTGGTAAAATATGCGTCCCAGACTTTCAGCGCTAGGTACCTGAGTATCACTTGCATTCATTAAATTGGTATAGCTCCCCATAAGTACCAATGACATTGACCTATTAGATTTTATCTAGCGTAACGTTTGAGGTAGTAGATATTAACTACGCACTCACTATTCTTGTTGGTATTCGGTATTACCTAAAGGAGTTAAACGAACCTCTAGTCATACCTTTTCGCAGAGAATACGGCTTTCAATCGTAGCAAGGGGCTAAGACCTTTGGATCAGAGGTAGGAAATATGTCTGCTTACAATTATAAGCGCCCAGAGAAAACAGTCCCTATCTAAACAAAGCACCCAACAGGAACAAGGAGTATACAGACTAAGGAAGTGAAATATCAATCAGACGACGCAGCATTTGTACACGAATAACCAATGCCAGGAACTCACCGTTGAAGCATCTAAACCGTGCGATAACTTACGACCTTTCTAGGTCTTAAAACGCAGCTCCGGTCACAGATATTCACCAACATTCTTGTACACGGATATATATTCCCATAACTCTCAGGAAGAAAAAAATTAAAATGCTAATCATGATGCACAAGATCAAAAGAAAACAAAGTAAAGTTTCTGAGGTGGAAATGAATCTACTCAAATTAAGAGCGTTTCTAGATTAACCGTTTCGGGAGCATCGTAAAATGTCTCTGTAATTGGCGTAGAATGGTAACATACGACTTTCTCATAATTTATACGTATCTACAAACCCTGGTCCTTGAGTGAGATTAGTCTAGGAAAGTCCAAAGTAATGCATTGACAGCATGATGCAGGTAAACACTGAGTCCTTTGCCAGATTGTGTACTCTTACCTAGCGATCCATACTTGGACATAATAGAAACGCAGTAGACTAGAGCTGGGAGTAGGATCTAAACTAATCATCTAATCTTTCCTAGATATATTTCAAGGGGGGAGGGGGAGGTTGCAAATCCGTTTTCACGTGCCTCATGGTTGGACCATGGTGATGCGCACGGAGTTAAGACCACTCCACTATTTCCGTACGATATGTAAATTGAATTTTTACGATGTTCAAGGCGCGAGGGCGAACAGAGTTTAAGATTGGGAAAAATTATTGCGATTCGGGAACAGCTTAGACTTCCCCCACAACAAACACTCATACCTCGATTCATTTGTGATGGTTGATAATTCGAGGACTGGAAAGAGTCCAGTATAGCTCATTCTGGTGCTTAAATGTATCTAGAATTAAACGGGGTCAACTTTGGCGTTTCAGGAAGAAACCAAAGAAGCCCTTATGAAAACCCCGCCTTTTTAGTCTCTAGGGTACTAGTTACACATGCCTTTGAGCTAAGTCTGTTGATAAACATGTGGAAACGGCTCGGTTTACCGGTACTTTAAGACAAACTCGCATAGTAAGTGGAGTAACTGATACCATATAACAAAGTTGGCCCCGTTTGACATGGTGCCGCTCAAACCATTTGTGTTTCGAACTGCTTGATTGCTTTCCAGGTCCAGGTCCTCAGGTGCGGGTCGTTTTCCAAAAACTCCTAGCAACAACTGAAACACCGTATTATCGTTCCGGGGCTGCCTCCTACATTCCTGGGTATAAGCTCTTGGCTTAATTTGAGCGTAACAAGGAAACACACTCTATCAGAATGTTACGCTCGTGACTCCGAGCCGCATGCGTCAAACTACCTTTGCTGCAGTGACATGCAGATAAATTGGCGTAAACCTTATCGACTTAGGAGGGCCAGGCTCACGTAACCTCAGACGTTATTCTAACTCGGAAAAAGTTTCCTTGGACGTGACATCGTGGTCATGCTTATTTGATGTTTCTAAGTCATAAACAACCAACTCACTGATATGAATACCCTCGGAAAAATCGCAATATTTCGAAGCTGTACTCAGGTTTATTCTTTGGGAATGTGAGTAGAGATGATGCCTGGCTTATGTATCTATCTCTCAGCCAATCAACTCGGGTAGGACAAGCGTGTTCATCGCATCTTTGAATTTACCCTTTCCTTTCGGTAACTCCACAGTTGCGGCTGATCCATACAAGTTCTTAGGTGCGTCCTTAGGCTTATACTTGCATCTTTTGTCTTTATGCACCTACTTTAGTTCAGGACTTGACGCGTGCAACGAAGTTGAGCCGATAACATTCGATAGCCGGGTACATGCCTATAATGTCCCTTTCACCGCACAGAAATATTTTAAAACACTCTAAATCATGACAAAATCGAAGAGACAAAAGCAACAACAATCGAGATTCCCCAACCCACCTCTTACACCATCTTATTAGAAGCCAGACCTAGACCCTCCCATCTTTCTGCATTAGAAACATCCCAAGAGTAAGAAACAGTTGCTACCCTTACCAAAACTCCCGACACATTAGTGCCAGGCTCCCACTTTTTGTTCACCTGCTGCGGTATTCCCTACTTCGTGATCCACGAGAACCATTTACAAGTACGCGACTCTCCAGAGGCTCCGTGTTGACCCATCACATCACAACTTCTGTTCTACGCCTAAGTCGCAACGCCAAACTCATCAACCTACTTCAAATCTAAGCCACAGTCTTTAAATAACGCCACTGGTTGCTTTCCGTCGCCTAAGTACATCCTTGGGCTACTCCCACTTGATAAAGAGTGACCAGCATAGAATTCCGTTGTTTTAAGTCCCCTTTTTATTATTACCTTATTCCTCCTAATCCGAAAATTCGCGTACCATACCAGTTACCGGAAAAGAAAAGAAGCACACCCAGCCAATAAATCACTAGAACCGATACACAGCTTTTGAACCTCCCAGCCCATCTAATCTCCCATGCCTCCTTCCGAAACGGAACCAACAAAGAGAAGCGCCAACGGGACCCCAACGATTGCGCAAGAAAACCGTTCCTCGGTATCGTCGGCCCCCAGAGAAAAACCAAACGCTACTGGCGACGATGATATGGACCCATTCAAGTTAGACGAATCCCTCTGGTCTCCCAACAAAAAGTTTTCAAGGGTTTCGTTTGATATAGGTGGAGAAATTCGTCCGGCCACATCTCCGGACCTGACGTATACCTCTTTGAGACGGTCATCGTTTCTCGCTGAATATATTGGTTCAGCACACACTAATCAACACAACATACAGCAAATGGCTCCATCTCCATCCTGGTTGACCAACAATGGTCCTGTCTCGAGTTTGGGCCCACCCCCAGTTTCTGGTACTTCAAACAGTATTTGGGGATCAGGTACCCCACAGGCCCTGTTGGGGAGCATCAACGAATCTCCAGACGAATACAACTACTATAATTATCGTAACCTTAGCGAAAATCTGGGAGACCAGAACGGCCATAACTTGCAAGTATTCCCGAGAAGATCCTTCCCTGAGAGCGTATCGCAAACGCTTGTAAACGACCATATTAGACGCCATTCTGATACCCAATTTCCCCAGCCTCACTTCCAACTGCAGCAGCCCCTGCAGAGTAACACTCAAGCCTCATTGGCAGCAGCTTACACGTACTTCGTGCGTGATGTATATTCCCGCGTCCATATTACCGGTGACGCCAAGAGTATGGATTTAACCACCTTGCTCGAAGACTCCTCCCCCTCTTCCAGGAAGATGAGCAAACACGAGTTGTACTTGACTTTACCGAAGTTTCCGAGTCCCGCCAGCGCCTCATCCGGCAGCTCCCCTTCGAAAACCGCAGGTAACAATACTCTGGCACCCTCTCAGATGATCTTGGTTGGGTTCAAGGCTGGCAGAGTCGATGTCTTTCACGTTCCTGCTGGGTTCAACGGGTCAGAAAACCTCATTGCCACTAATACCAACGGGGGAGTCGAGGAGTCTACGCGTTCAGAGTTGAAATTGGGTGACTTGGTCGTGGTTGAAGCTGATCGTGGGAAGGACCTAGGAAAGCTTGTTCGGTTGAATGTTACAATCGACGAGGCGCGTGTATTGAAATTGCGCCAGAATCAAGAACAACAAGCGGCGTTGGCAGTGGAAAACGAGGGAGTATCCCCTGAGGCCCACCAACAACCTTCAGCTCCACCAGTCTTGCACTACCCCAAGCCAATTATCAGGTTTGCGCAGCGTCCGGAAATCCTTCAACTATTAAGCAAACAGGCAGATGAAATCAAGGCCAAGCGGATTTGCCAGTTGAAAGTTCACCAACATAACTTGTCCATGTCGATTATTGATGCCGAGTACCAGTGGGATCGTCGCAAGTTGACGTTCTATTACCAGGCGATCCATCGCATTGACTTTAGAGACTTGGTGAGAGAGTTGTTTAGAATTTACAAGACCCGGATTTGGATGTGCGCAGTCACAGAATATGATACACTGGTTGATTTGGTGAATGGAGATACTGAGATCAGCGTTCCCTCGGAAGAACCTGACATCTCTTTCAGACGAGGCTCCAAGCTGAGCTGGAACGCCCCTTTGGCGACCCAGATGACACAGAAGGGAGTGTTCAATAGAACAAATAGTAACCAGAACGTTGCTATCCTTAGTTCCAACAACAACTCCAATGACGTGACGCGGAAAAATGCAAAATATGAACCGTGGAGCTATCTGGCGCCAAATATTGGCATTCAGTTCAGCCCCTCTGATAGAGGGTATCCGCCTTTCCCGCTGTGTGAAAACTCTCACCAAAATTTCCAGTATTCGCAGGGTGTTCAGGTGGGTGCCTACGCAAACCGATCAGGACCGATTAACGCTTATTCCGGCTATCTCGATCCTCCTCAGCAAGCGCAAATCTTAGATTACGGAAACCAATCCCTTCCGCCATTTCAGAGTCAGCTCCCCCTTTCTCAAAATTTCCCACCGCAAGTATCCATGCAACAATTTCACCAACAACCGCCAGCGCAATTTGCCGATTTAAGTAGATACGGGATGATACAACAATACCAACAGGATCAATTCCACAACAGCGGCCAGAGGGTGGTTTCAGCCCCTGACAGCTTCTGGCCCGGATTCCCCCCATCTAACGATACTCCAAGGGCGTTTCCTTCTCCACCTGAACGTGGCAGTGCTGGGTATGTCGATAGGGATGTCAATATGGTCATTGATGATCGGGAAGTTTCCCCCCAATATCTCAACCCAAGGAATATTCCATCCCTTGGTTTGAATGTTGACAAGAAGTAGAGCTGTGTACGACCGTACTTTTTGTGGGCGCAGGGTTAGACCCCGCCCCTCTTTTGCTTTCATAGAGTCCGACACTAGATTATTTAGCTTCTTTTACCCTTATTAATTTGTTTGATAGTATCAATTCACTTCCACTCCTTTTTAGCTTAGACGATTAACTGTGTTTCAGGTTCAAATTTATGACATCTACGTGTGTGCACTATTGAAAGTGATAATGATACAATAGCTGCTTGATATATTATAGACTACCGACCCGCTATATACGAAAATTGGTGACGATGTACCCAATATCTATCATTAAAAATTGTTGGCTTATGGTGTAAGCAATAGAGCTTGTGATACTCGCGTATACGTTATCCCTTATATACTTTGATAGGTTAGGGTGGCACAAGTCAAATAGTTGCGTTAAAGGGTTACCTCTTTTGTGCATGTCGTGGTACAAACCCTACTTCTTAGTCATTCACAAATGGCAGTTCAGTCTATAGCTATGGCCCATACTCTGTACTTGTTGAATATTAAAGGTGTCCTTTCATACCCAGCGAGGCTTATCAGAAATATCACAACATAGCGCACAATATAACTCTACCACGATCTCGGATTTTCCAGCCCAAACATTATATCTACACGTACGCAAAACAGCACGACAACAGATAATAATCGATCAATATTCACATAAATAAACGTTAATAAAAAAAAAGCCTTAGCACATCAGCAGATTACCACCCACCGAAGGATGAAATTTTCCAAACCATGCAGTGAAATACACCTACAAAGGAGAAAATTACCCTCTAAACAACGATCACTGACTAAGAATTGCTGGCAAGACCAAGCTTCTGGGCGTATTCGTCCAAGCTGAGGTGGGTGTACTTGACACCCAACCCCTTTGCAACAGCAGCTCCCAAATCCCTATTCAATAAGCCAAAGTACTGCGGAATCGTTTCCTTCAAGTCTGGGTTGTGCACATTACTAGCATGCAGAACAACCGCCTTGATAAAATCTTTCTTGTCCTCGTCGTTGTATACCCGCTCGTACAAGTCTCGTGGCTGTTCAAGGTCCAACTCGGAAAGGCCGCTGAGATAGAAGTACGAGGAGTTTTCCCAAATCTTCAAGTCGTGTTCCCTCTCTTGGGCTGCTTGTTGAGCAGCAAGTTCGCGCTGTTCTGCCGAGATGGCTACAAGACCGATATATCTGGTATCCTTGCCAAACTTCAACGCCCCGGAAGCATCAGTATCGGCGGAGTTGATTGGCTTCTCAAGAGACAAGAAATTGGCCTTATCATCCTGACTGATAACGGTAGCAGGACCGTCCCTTTGGAAGTTGCCGGCTTGGAAAGCAGCCTCGGAGTCGGTCTCAAACGTTCTGGCTCTGTTGACAGGCAACTGCTGGTAGTTTGCCCCCAATCTGTGACGGTGAGTGTCAGGGTATGAGAACAATCGGGACTGCAAGACAGGATCGTTGGAAGGGTCAATCCCCGGAACCAAGTGCGACGGCGAGAACGCAATCTGCTCAATTTCGGCATGGTAGTTCTTTGGGTTTTGGTTTAATACAATCTTACCGAACTTACGCAAAGGAAAGTCCTTGTGGGGCCAAATCTTTGTTAAATCATTGACGGAGTATCTGAAGTTCTCCGCCTGTTCTGGAGTCATGGTTTGAACGGCCAAAGTCCAGGAAGGGAACTCACCCTTTTCAATCTGGTGGTACAACTTGGAGGTGTTGTAATCCGGAGAGGAGCCTGCCAACTCATTAGCCTGGTCACCAGATAAGGTCTGGAAACCGGAATCTGCAAGCACGTGGATCTGGACATACGTCAACTTCCCCTCTGCGTTGGTGAACTTGAAAGTGTGACCGGAGTAACCATTCATCTCACCCCAACCAGCAGGGGTACCACGGTCACCAAACATGTAGGTGACTTGGTGCAAGGTTTCAGGGTTTTGCAAATAGTAATCCCAGGTGTGGGTGGAATCACCAGAGTTCTGACCCAAGTTGGATGCGGGGTCCCTCTTCTGGGTGTGGATGAAGTGCGGGAACTTGTTTGGGTCTCTCAAGAAGAAGACCGGGGTGTTGTTGAAGACCCAGTCCATGTTGCCGATATCGGTACGGAACTTGATCGAGAACCCTCTTGGGTCTCTCAAGGTATCTGGGGTACCTCTTTCACCACCAACAGTGGAGAATCTTATGGAAATTGGACACTTGTAGTTTGCAACGGTGAAGGGTCTTGCGATGGTGATGTCTTCCAAGGAGTCAGTGAGCTCGAAGTAGCCATGCGCACCGCCGCCCTTGGCGTGGACAACTCTTTCAGGAATTCTCTCTCTGTCGAAATGAGAGAGGGAGTCTAACAAGTGGAAGTCTTGCAACAACAATGGGCCACCGGGACGGGAAGTTTGGGCCCCGTATGGGTGGTGGACATACGGCACACCGTTGGAGGTGGCGTAGATAGTGGAGTCTTTACTAGCAGCCTTTAAACCAGTCATTGTGATGAATAATGGTAAATGCGTGGTAGGGACTGGATAGACATACCCAGCTTGGGGTTTATCGTTATATTTATAGTACACTATCGCTGCAGACGAGTCCGGAGCAAGCCTGGACCGCTCCTAGATCTGAGTTTAGGATATTACCCAAAAACCTTTGCGGTATAAAAGCATCCGTCCCGACGGTACGAGCTAATATGTCTTATGACGTGCTTAGCAACGAGGGACTCGCCATTGGATGCTTGCTACATGGCCAACATCGGGGTTAAGTTAAGCTCTGATCCACCCTGGTGCATGCATGTAGGTTACTGGCGACTGTCATGCATAAATTTGGATTGCTTCAAGATCGGAGAGACCCGAGACCTCGGGTATTAGTAATGCAACAGGAATTACGCAGTCCTCAACGGGCATTTCTTGTCAAGGCATGGTCTGGAGGCTTCAGGGTTACATAAATGTCGACCTGCAAGTGTACGTATGGTCTCGTGGACATTAGCTGTCGATGACCTGGAAGGCTGATTTATAATCGTGGGATTAGCCTATTCTTCTATGACCACAGTACCCCAGACCTAAATTTAACCGGCTGTTCCGGTTACCGCACATGTGACAATATGCCATAATTATAATTCTAAGCGTGCCGGTCGATCGACCCCCAAAAAAAGTTCTTGTTTTGCGGTATATGTGGACTAATGCGTATTTTTGACGATCCAAAAAGACACACTTAACCGGTGATGCATCATCCAGGGAGTTCTAGGCGTGAGAGGGCACATGTTTACTCAGCAGAAAACCCATATCAATTTTCACAAGCGACACGCTCGTTATATAGTCTGGACCTCTGCCGATCTGACAAATAGTGACTCGCTAACATTGTTCTAGATTGAGCCTTAAATCCTATGGCTTGTCCAACTAGGCCTGTATCATTTATAACCAGAAACTACTTGTAGCCTACACGAGCATGACCGTCTAAGCTCCAATCTAAATTCCCTCGCAAACCTACATCAAACTACTAATATCAGGTTAAAGTACAAGTCTAGACACAGCCCTCCCTCGGACCTAGTCCTGGTACCCACGCTTCCACTCCCAGTACTCGTTCAAGCGCAACTTGGAGTACCCAGCGTAGTCGAAGTCAATAATGGAGATTTCGGACTGGATAGCGGCCCAGATCCCCCAGTAGAAGCCAGGCATGCCGTAGAAACCGTGAATCTCCTCAATCAAGCGGTCGACCTTGCGCTCCAAGTTGGCCGGGGTGACGTTGGGGCTGGTGGATAAATATGCTTCGGCCCATTTGCGCATGACGGGGTTCTGCGGCGATGGCTGCGGGATCTTGGACTTGTCGCAGTCAAAACCCTGCCATTCGGCAAAGTGATTGGCAATGTCGAAACCGCGCGGAGACGGGAGCATGTACTCATAGTCAATAAAACGGACGGGGTTCTGGTCGATGGTCGAGATGGACGCCTCCTCCGTGGCGGAGACCGTTCCCTCGGGCAACATGATCACGTTTCCGCTCAACAAGTCGCAGTGCGACAGCACAGTGCGCGAGAAGGACTCGCTGCCGACCTTGTCCAAGAGCCAGGCCAACTCCTGCTGCAAGATGCGCTGTACATCGATGCCGTGGGCTTGGTCCTGCGCAAGATCACGGTTTTCCTCAAAGGACTCCACTACCTGGGGGATTTGGGGGATGATTTCGATCCACTGTTCGATGAGCTGCCAGAGGCTCAGGCACAACGGCTTCTTGGGCGCTGCGTTCGTGAGTGCGTGACGTTGCAACGAGCCGGCCATCGCCTGCATGTGGTTGTACTCCTTCAACTTGCGGATGCCCTGCTCGATGTGCTTACCGTGAATCTTGCGGTGCCAATGGCCTAAAGTCTGGGCAATATACGGGTAGATCGACGGGTAGGCCAACTCCTCAGGGCTCAATGAGCGGCCGGGCAAGAAACCGTACACCAAACCGTTGGCAAAGCGGGCGTGCACAGGTGGTGCGAGCCCAAGCGAGTTCAAAACAAGGTGCGAGATGAACTCGCGGTCGCGGTCGATGATCACGTCCGTGCCCTTACCATACGTTCTCACAAGCACCGTCTTTTCGGCGGGGGTGCCCTGCTGGTACGTACATTGCAACAACATGTTGGTGATTCCGCCTGTGAGTCTGGCGACGGAGATTTGGGATGCGTCCCACTCGGGGAACACCTCCACGATCATGTCGCGGATTTGCTGCTGCGACTGGGCACTCTCGGCATCGGCAGTGAGCGCCACCAGCGCCAGCGGGAGGTACACGGATCGCGCGGAATACTCGTCAAGAATGTGGTTGATCGTAGACTCAGACGCGCTCGAGAGTGGCGGCTCCAGCGCAGCCCGCTGTGACGGGTCGCCGAGCGCAGCTGGTGCATAAAACGGGAGTGCGTCGCGCGCAGTGAGCTGCGCGTGCTCCGTTGCGGACGCAGGTAAGAGGTGAAGGTCGCCACTGGATATGAGGCAGTACACTGAGGACATGGCAATACTTTTCAAAGTTATGTTCTAGGGATTTATGTTTGGTGCTTGAGAGCCGAGTTCGGATATATCGTGGTGATGCTTCGTAATGATGGGTGTGATGTCTGTAACTCTGTGTAGCTTCCGCGAGGGGTGGAACTTTGGTGTGTTCAACCTATGTGCAAGCAAGTGAATGTAAGCTTGGATCTCTTTAATGCTCCAAGAAGGGGTTATTTCTTCGCAAGGATCGGAGTATGTAGACAGTCCTTTATGGCCTCTATTTCAACTTATGGAACGCCGGATTGCCTGTCCTTATCTCAAAGTCTGGATTCTGTTGCGGCGTCTCGGTTATTTCTGTTGGTACCGAAGATAAAAAATTGGTATATATACGCAAGGAGTGGTGATTTGTTGCTAAGAATGATTAGATGGAGGTGTTTGCTGAAAACCGCCGGTTGGTCTTGGCTGCTCTCGTGACAGTTGCGATCCTGGGGATGAGTCGCCGCGAGGCTAGCGTTCTCGAAACAGGAAATCCCGGTGCTGGGTCAGATCACATGGAAAAAATGAGGCGGCCATGTGCTTTAGCCCTGCACGACCCACAACGGAATGGGGGCACAATGTCAGCCGCGCGGGAAGGCGCAGTTGCTAAAGAGGCACAGGTGACGATAAATGTTGGCCTCGGCGGCTGAAAGTCGGAAGTGTTGATTATGTTCCGTTTCCTCTTATCAAAATGACAACAATATGGGATAAATTATATTAATTATTAGCGTATTTCATGTCACGTCATGTAACTAAACCTGAAATATGATTATTGCCCACCATTATTAATGTTTTTTTTTATAGCTAATTGACGTAACTGGAATCAAGACCCCATCCAATACCGGTGGTTGAGGAAAGCATTCCTGTTATAATTGCGTTATAGCATGCCAGTTTTTATAAATAAATTCCCTATTCTAGCTCTGTAAGACCTTGCAAAAATCTCGGGGGCTAGAAAAGCACATATAGGAGTAAACAAATATGGTCACCATATGCGCTGTATCGTCCCTTCCTCTAACCTTTGATTAATGTTATACCCATCAGCTCTGGGTATTCAAATTTAATTTAGCTACGTATACGTGTTTGCACCTACTCTCATATTTCACCGCATATTCGACTATTGTCATGTCCCGCAGACCAATCCAATACTTAAATTCACATCTTATCACAGCTACAAGTCAGATCGTTTAAACTTGATTTTAAACCCCCCCCCGTATGAAATCCATCTCCGTGGACCTTAGCTTGCACACAATGATACTGGGTTACTTGCTAAATTTTATTATGTCCTAAGTTATCTTTGAGAAACACTAAATATTCTCTTCAAACAACTCCTGAGTATATCCCTGTTCCTCAGCGCTCAGGGAGAGCTCCTGGGCCACAATGTACGGGATATGGGAGTCCAAACGCGTCACCTCTGGGAAACAACGTCTATAGGACCACCAAGCAATGCTCATACCGAGGATGCTGCCTAAAATTACATCCACAAAGTGGTGTCTGTAGTCTTCGGTACGGGAAATAGCGATCAAAGCCGCCCCGAAGCTCGGGACCCACGCGAGAATCGCGCGCCAGGAGCCCGCTCCCGGTTGTGACAGCGCCATTTGGCCGTACAACCACAACGACAAGAAGCCCAAGCCAGCCCAGGAGTAGCTGGAGTGGCCGGAAGGGGTGGTGCGGAAGCCTTCCTGTAACCGGGAAATATTTTTGGTGGTACAGACGTCCTTAGCGTATACCATCGCGAGCAACGGGGTTCCCTCCTTCGGTATGCATCTGGCCAAAAAGTCCGGTCTGTGGCGGCCAATGACGTTCTTGAGAATTCCAGTGACCAACGTACACACAAAAAACGAAACTAATAACGCAACCAATGACAAATAGGTCACCTTCACTTTGTGAGGCTTTGGCGTAACGAGCAACGACACCACGGTGATGACGCAGACGGGGAGCACCATAGAGTACACAAAGAGCATCGTATTGGATACGCGCTCGGTTTCGGCAAACGGATGGGAGATGGTCATGTCGCCAAGGTAGAACTGGCGTTCAAACGGTGCGTTGTCCTTGTGGAAGAAGTATACGAGGGAGAGGAACGCGGTGAGAAGGAGGTCGCCCACCTTCCACAGGTGGCAGAACTGGATGAGTGGAATCCGCTCCAAGCCAAAGGTAACTCTGTTGGGAGTAGGTGCCTTGGTAGTGCTCATTCCAGGAATATTGCAAGTGTTTGCTTCAGGGGCATATGGCTGGGGATTGAAGGGCGTACTTATATGGTAATTGGCGGGCAGTGAATGCAGGTTGGGACCGGCAGGGGGCTGCACGCCCAAAGCGGCAGGCTGGAGGGCGCTTCCCGCACCGTGTGGGTTATGAGACGGAATCGACTTGGTCACATTGTCTGGTTGAGCGAGGGCATTCTTGATGCCTTCCAGGGCCAGCTCCTCTAGGGCAACCATTTCGTAGCTGGAGGCTTCCAACTGCCACGGCGGGGAGGGCAAAGCGGACATGATGAGATTGCTTGAAGGGGTTTTATATGTAGTGTGATTGTTCCTGACGACGAAGTGATGTGATGGATCCAATGATCGAGTGGATATTCCTCATGTACAGTGACGAGAGTTTTAGAGTAGACCTCCCGGCGAGTTTATACCAAGAACTGGTGATAGGTGAACCCTCCAAATTGATTGTGATCTACGTCTTTGTCGTAAATCTAGATGAGCCGCTGACCTAAGGCACTGTGACAGGACGGCGCAGACCCAGCCCCTGGCTAGGGTGGAGATTCAAGAACATAGAGGAAGTAATGTTTGGGCTAGCATACCAGCCAACATTAGTCACATTTAGAGGACTAAGGTGGATTATAGATAGAGCGCATTAAGCGTCAGATTTCAAGCTATTTATTTTCATCGCATTGATTATCAATCGGTTTTTAAGCAGATAGGGTTACAGGCTTCCGTTAGATGGTGGCGCATTTGTCACCTATTGATGATACCAATATCCTTACAAATACCAATCCCACTTAAATTATATGCGAGTAAAATCGATAATATCTTGGTATGATTGCAAATGTAGCGTAGAAGTACAACTATAGCCATGTCTCTCAGTTACATGTTCATTTGAAAGCAGTTGTACATTGTGCTCTTAACTACGAAAATAGCTAAATTCAATGACCCCCAAGATATACTTTGTCCGAGCCTGCAATGCCGTTTCTAGGTGCGTGGTGGATAACCTTACGATAATCGTAGAGTTGCATCAAGCCCGCGCAATAATCACAGCTGCACCAAATTTCGGCGTTGCGCTGTGAAAAACCTGAGCTGTACAATCCAGTTTATACCGCCAGTAACTATTTATCGCCCACAATATGCTTAGACTCACCAGATTACCTTGCACTACACTCACCAGAACCTTCGTCACGTCTTCTGCGGCCTGGAAGCAGAACTTGACCTTGTACACCAAGGACGGCTGCGGGTTGTGCGACAACGCCAAAAAGGTTTTGGAAGATGTGTTCGCAAACGGTAACGTTCAGAACCAGCAAGACGTAGAGTACGTCCAGGTGGATATCACCAAACCGGAAAACAAGGAATGGTGGGATGCTTACGTATGTATAGGATGCCGCCAGTAATGGCCTAGTTACGCTTCAGAGCGTACCTCAACGCTTTGGTACAAGCTGCTGCCTTTTCAGGACTTCCCGCTGATGAATACTAATCGCCTAGTGCTTTGATATTCCTGTCGTTCACATCAACAAGAAAGACCAGACAAAGCCAGTCAAGTTCATGCACTACTTGTTTGAGGATAAGATCGTGGAGGCTTTGAACAAGGATTAGCCAATTCTGCTAGGGTATTATGGTAAAGGTAATTTCTCTCGCTTGGCAAAACATTAAACCAGAAGCAAGGGCCAGATAATGCGATTTGTATATATTCCCCGCACCCACCTCTGTCGACCCCCAAAGTTTTCCCTGTACCTGACAGCGTAACATGGATATGTCCTTTATGGCACTACTACAATGTATATAGCTAGGGATAAAACACATGGATGTACTTATACCGTAAACGGCTACTTTGGGTATTGCGTAGCCAATAACTTAGTGCCGGCTGTCCATCTCTTGCGATTGGATGCAATGCTGAGGAGGAAGTTTATCCCTTTTGTTGCTGCCCAAGGGGGCAACTCCCCGTTGAAGCTCATACATGGATAATCCAACATCCTTAGGGGGTTTAGATATTTGCCCATTCCGGCACTTTGGTTTCAAAAACCCACAGCTCCTTTTCCCCTGCCTTTTTCTCCACGAGCACATACCTCCACGAGTGCAACCAGAGACACATATCATCCCTGTCCCCGTCTAGGTACAACTTTGTACCGCACTCCTCGCACTCCTTACCGCTCTGCATACTCTTGCTCCTGTCCCCGTAGTTTTCCACCGTCTCGTCACCGTAAATTGGGTCGTTCACGATCGGATGCCCCAATTCCTTCAAATGGATGCGGATCTGATGCATGCGACCGGTAATAGGCTTACACATCACCACTGATTGGTCGAGCTTTGCATTGTAAGTCACGCGTTTAAAATGGGTCTCCGCTTCCTGGGCCGCCCGGTCGAAGCCGTACTTGTTGTTGGTGGTAAAGATCGCACTTTGGTGGACGAAAAAGTCCTCGGAGTCTAGGAACTCCCCCCTGACCCGTGCAAAATACGTTTTATCCACCGAGTGTTCTTGGATAAGCTTTGAAAAGGCTGTAGCCCGTGCTGAGGTCTTTCCGAGAATGAGTACCCCAGAGGTGAGCTTGTCGAGGCGGTGTACGGGAAACACGTTGTGTAATTCGAGCTGTTGTTTGACAATTTCCGTCACGGTGTTGTAGAAATATCCACCCGTAGGATGCACAGGCACTCCCGACGGTTTGTTGATGATTAAAAGATCCTCATCCTCAAATACAACATCGAGCGAAAGCGTTTCTGACGGCGAGAGAGGAATAGGAGGTTCATGGAGATGGCAGATGTTCGTGAACATGTCCCCCTGGGCAATGGGAATGGTGGAAAGGGATTCGAAGTCGGTGTAAACGACGCTTTGCACTGGTTGCTTCCGGGACTTGACATTTCCCCGGATGAGGCTGATCTTTCCCTTATCGATGAGGGAGCGCTAGAGGAGGTTAGTGCCCGTCGGGGAAACCGGGGAAGAGAGTCGGCCTCGCCATGGTTGAGTGAGAGACAAGAAATATCCCATCATCGATTATCTATGTATTAACGAGTACTCCCGAGACACTACGAAAGGCTGCGATCTCAGGTAACCACTCTCCCTGAGTTGGAGCCTGTAGGTATATAAACCAGAGCTTATATATGCAAGCACAGCTCGTGGAAGATTGCCCGAACACTGTACTATCCTCTCCCCTTCCCTTTTATTCATAGGGCCAAGGAGTATGAGCCTACCAAGATTTCCACAACCAGAGGGCCGATCCAAAAACTCCACACTTGCTATCGATACGTACGGTGTAGGCTTGGGTATTGGGGGCTAATTCGCTGTCGAGGATGCTAACCACTGTTTTGCCAAGCCAGCGGCCTTTGACATTGATCTCGCGAGACACGTGGTGGGGTAAAACCTTTCGCATGCCATTTTCAAAGATGTAATTGAGGGTCATGGAGTATGTGGGACTGAATAGCGTGGGTTCATTCCAGAGATCGTCTTAGCATACCTCCGCATGTAATATATTTTTTCTTCTCTCCTGCAGTTTTCTAACATTGCGTAATTGTGCTTCTAGTGGATGCAGTAGCGCCGAGGAGAAAACTCGAAGGAAACCAGAAACCGTTGTGGCGATGAAATTAACAAGCTACGCGAAGGTCACTGGGCAGCTATTCGTTAAATTTATGTTAAAGTTTGAACAGCTTAACCCGGGGGTATCGCCTGAATTGGATATTTGGCGCCCATCACAATTAATGTTTATTTCCGCGGAATCCTGGCCATTAACCAGCAGTAACGTGAAATAGCTGTTCTGTCACGTGATACAATAAATAGCCTGTAGAGCCCATGATTCTATTCGTAGTAACTTCAGTAGGTTTAAATTACGACCAACAGCAGATATGCTCGAATTCAATTACCCTTTTAAAAGAATGGTGTGACCTAGTTTTTGGGATAAGAAATTGAAAACTTGCGAAAAACCAGTCCTTATAGGTTTGGTAAAGTTTACAACACGAAAATTTCCTTAGCCCAAGAGTAGTGTGGTATATCTAGTAGGTAATAGTGGATACTGTTAGCTAGCTAAAAGAGAATACATTTTATGTAAGATATCTACAAGAGAAGGGCAGTCGGTGGCCTTATATACTGAGGCGGATACGATACCAGGGTGTCCGCTTATCAGAAGTAAGGGGACAATGGACTCCGACTTCCGTCTAGTTAAATGGCACCTTTACTATAAGTAGGTTGGAAACGACTATATTCCGGTACTTCCTGCCCTCCTGAAAATAAGGCCTTAACTACGATCTGGTTTTGTTCTAAACTTTAACCAGCTAACTTCCACAAGCCCTCATGTCCAAGAAAACATATGCTAATAGTAAACTGGCCTCGAAAGTACAGCTATTACGATGCTACGGAGAGACAGTTGGGATATATCACTAAACATTGCAGCCTGGTTCTAAGCCCATCGTGAAAAAGGCTCACCGTTTATGCAGAACAATAACTGCGGAAAAAAGCGGCCTAACTTTCCGCCGTATCGGCGCAACCTCAGCCCACCACGCTAGCCTGGGACCTCAGCTATTTTACCTGTCACTATCCATCAAATCTGCCACTAGAAACCGTAATATCAGTAATAATAATAATACAAATCGTCAAAACGATACATCTATGAAAGAGTACTGCCGTAGCGTATAACTTGTTAGAAAGCCATACCTGCACATGTTGTCCTGCATGGCTTTGGTCGTGTGTGCACGCTGCTCAGGGTAAAAGCATTTAGGGAGAAGTTGTTAAACTCAACCTTTCCGTCATTCCTACAACTCCAGATACACACATTACATCAGCATGGAACGGCGCGTGTGGGTTAAGAAACACAACGGACATCCCACCTGCATCCGAGTCGCATCTGCGGACATCGTAGACGACCTCAAGTCGCGCGTGATGGAAAAGTACCCAACGTCCATTGCCCAGCAGTGCGACCCGGCCGACTTGGTGATACGCTTGGTTTACCCGCAATGGACCACTTCCACTAGCATGCTTAATACCGGACCTACATACAGACGGCCAGGGCAGCCATCTCAGGCTGTTTTAGCCGCCCATATCAAACGCGAAGCCACAACCTCGCCGCTCTCACCGGCCCCAAGCGCACTAAAAAAGCCTGTCTTCAGCTCTCTGGAACCCCCGGGCCTGACAGCGGTGCTTGAGCCGGACCAGGTGGTGGGCAAACTCCTCGATCACTACTTTCCGAACGGAATGGGCATGTCAGATGCGTTTCTCATCGAGTATCCGCAAAGTCTCGTGGTGGGCAATGCTTCGGGAAGTCAAGCCTCCCAGAACTTACAAGGTTTTCAGAGCCAGAGCTTTCAGACCCTGGGCTTTCCCAACCAGATCACACCCCGGCAGGCAAGCTTTCCGGGGCCTTCGCCGTGCCTGGAACACGGCTTAGTTTCGCCTAACCCGGTCTACCCGAACCTGACAATTCAGCAGATGCAGCAGTCGTTGAGTCCCGTGGCGGCACTGAACCCGCCGCCGATCCACCGCGCGCTGCTTTCGTCACCGCGCTCCGCATCTGTGGCTCCGAGCCAAACGCTTACGCGTCACCTGACCCTCCCAAACCAGAGCATACGGGGCGCAAATGCGCATACGCGTGCATTGTCGTCGGAATCGACTCCTAGCAAAGGTAGCACACCGGTGTTGTTATTGCCGCGCAACTTTACGCTCAGCGGGGCGTCCACGAGCCCGACTGAGGGCAAGAAACGGCCGGAAAAGCTGAGTCTACAGCCGCTTGCCGAAATCGTGACGCCCAGCGAAAAGTCTCCCTTGGATCTTCCAGCAAAGTTTCTCGGAGGCTTGGAAGACATCCAGCGTAACTCGCTACCGAACCTACTCTCAGACTCCAACCTGCTCCCGGGCTCTGGCCCACTACCGGCCTTGGATGTCGGGCTACCAGCATCCATAGACATCTCGCGGTTCCGGAACAGCTCGAATGAGCTTACGAAAAAGAAGTCCGCGAACAAGGGCAAAAAGCCGTCCACAACAGACAAGGTGCTTCCGCGGATCCGCGTGCTCATCGTGGAGGACAACAAGGTTAATATCCGCATCTTGTCGATGTTCATGCGACAGCGAAACATCAGCTACGCGCTTGCCAACAACGGACAGGAGGCAATTGACCGCTGGCGCGAGGGTGGATTCCACTTGGTGCTCATGGACATTCAGTTGCCGGTTATTTCCGGAATCGGTGCCACCATCGAGATCCGGCGCCTCGAGCGCATCAACAAGATTGGGGTTTTTGCGGAAAACGATGGCAACGAGGCTACGTTTCCTGTAAACATGGAGGATTTCTTACCAATCGAGCAGTTCCGCTCACCCGTGATTATCGTCGCCTTGACCGCGAGCACTATGGATCGAGACAAGACGGATGCGTTGGCTGCGGGCTGCAACGATTTCCTTACCAAGCCAGTCAAGCACGAGTGGCTACAAAACAAGATCATCGAGTGGGGGTGCATGCAGGCTTTGATTGACTTTGACTCCTGGAAGTTTTCCAGCAGAGACGAGGAGACCCAGCCGCCACTCCCATTACCGCATAGCTCAAAGGTTCGGAGCAGATAACGACCCACCCATGCGTTTTGATTGTAAAGCTCTGAGTTTTTCCGTTATTTCAGGTGAAAGTACAAGGGGTCTGCTTGGTATCCGGTGGAAATCTGTTGGGGAGCTTGAGAAAGGCCGCCTCTGGGATTTTGTGAGATAGAGCCCATCCCCTTGGAATTCTCCTGTTTCTGTTGCCGTATCCCATATCCCTCTATGGCTTGTTATGTGAGAAGTCTCTGTTGTCTACTGTTTTGGGGGGCTTGTGAGATAAACTTCACTCGCTTCTTCTGCTCTTGGAGTACTTTCTAGATATCCCACTTTTTTTTTCTCCCTGAAGGGGGTTTGGCAGATATATCGATCACTTTTCAGGTTCATCGTTATCTAATACACCACTCGTCTGTCCTTTTTTTCAGCCCAGACTTCTTCTGTTTGTTCTACTTTCAATTTGTTAGCCATGCGATTCACCCCATACGGTACTGGCTACTATCTTTACCTGTTGCAATGCTTTTATGTCCTTCGGAGTGTTTTAATTTTTTATCCTGGTTTTGGTAACACAGGTGTATTTAATGAATACCTGTCTAGTTTGACTTCATGTTTATTTACGCTGTGCGTTATTCTCTCATTTTAATAGATATTCCTAGTAAACATGAGACGATTGTGTAGGGAGGTTCGCCGCTCTTCAAGCTAGGCAGCGATAGTGCTTTTCGGGCAGATAACACACACGTGTTTTAGATTATTCCAGCACCATTGCATTTCTAGTATTCTGTTCTATAGGACCACCCTCAGTGGATCTATAAAAGTAACCCAATTGGACAGTGATGCGTTATTTACATCTCAGGCGATTGGATAAGCGTCCGATGCTGCGTTGATCGCCCCTGAATCTACCAGAATATACCTACCTGCAGCTTTGAACCGAACTTTATAGCCGCTATGAGTCACATAATTGGCCCACCACCTAAACAGTTCCATTCCATGATCAGGGGAATTGTACAGGGACGTGCTTTTCCGGTGCTTTCTTTCCGTTCATGAAACTGAGGTAACAGTTCCAGCCCAAGCTCACAGTACTGATGACAAAGAGTCGGTATTCCACCTTGACAAACCCAAAGTTGAACAACTGTATGGTGGGCCATACAGTCCAGGCAGTCGTCAAGGTCGGCCAGTAGTTGAGTCGCAACTTCTTCTTTGCTTCCTCGAAGGATTTATGCTCCAATAATGTCAACGCAGTGTAATAAATTGGCACAGAAATGACGGTCGGAAAGATGGCCTGATCGACAAAGACTCTGGAGATGGTATTCACCACGGCTGTGATCTTAGGGGTCGGTACGATACCTATGGTACGGAATGTCGAAGCAGGAACCTGGATCTTGTTTAACGTCCTAAACCACTTGTCAGCGATCGGCGCGAAGACGAAACCGCCGTATAGCATCGCACGGCCAAGTCTCGCATAGTTAAAGCTCAGGTTCCGTTCCTCTTCTGGTGATACAGACACAGACAGCGTGCCAGGAATGGGGAAATCACAGGCATCCTCAGGAGGGAATACTTTCTGGGCAATAACGTCACCCAAGCCGGACAACAGACCAGTGGTTATAATGTTTGTCACTAACGGTCTCTGCCTGAGGGAGTCTTTGTAAAAGGAAAAGAGCTTGGACATGGTAGGAGTGAGTACTAGTCCACCCTGGTTCTGCTAGTTGTTAGGGCTTGAACTTATCCCGAGGCTTCTCCTGGAGAAACATTTAACCAAAGTGTAACCATGATGGAAATCTCGAGACCTGCATGGACAGCATGCACGTGAAATTCTCATTTTGAAAAATCTCGGGCCGGTGTTCCCACCCAGGGCTACTGCACGGACATAAAGTCGGGGACTCTCAAGATACCGTACCATGCATTGACACTGAATTATCCAAACGCCCCAGCAGAAACAGAGATTTCTGCTGCCGTAGGTCCGGTTTTCAAGTTTGACGCATCATTGGGGGGGGGGGGATCAATATAGTTACAATTATCGACATCTAAAACAAGTCCCATTGGTATACACTTATATGTTTGTTAATACACGGTGTTCAGGAAAAAGAATTAGTGCAACATGGTTTATCTAAGCTCAGACGCTGGTATATTAGATAAGGATATCAGCAATATAACCCCCGTAGAAACGTCTTCTGGCCATTGGCTCGTTCCCAGGCGTTCCAGTTTTTGTCCCGAACAAAATTCACTCCTTTCAACCGACTTCATAGGAAACAAGCTTCAAAAAACCCATTAAATGCCGTTGTGTGTCGGTGATTACTCCATGACCGGTGGAAAGTGGACCGGGGTAGAATTCTCGGGTGTTTTTTTGTTGTTCATGAAACTGATGTAACAGTTCCACCCCAAGCTGACAATATTGACGACAATAAGTCGGTACTCTACTTTGACAAACCCAAAGTTGAACAACTGGATGGTCGGCCAAACAGTCCAATTGCTGAGCAAAGTCGGCCAGTAATTGAGTCTCAACTTTTCCTTGATGTCCTCCATGGACTTTTGCTCCAAAAGCGTCATTACCACGTAGTAGAATGGCACCGAAACCGGTGGGAAACATGCTTGGTCAATAAACACTCTGGCAACAGTATTCACAACGGTGATTGTCTTTGGTGTCGGTTTGATGCCAAGGGCGATAAGTTTGGATGTGGGAATCTTTACCTTGTTCAAGATCTTGTACCACTTGTCACCAATGGGCGCAAAGATAATCCCACCGTAGAACATCGATCGGCCTAGTCTCCCGTAGTCTAACACCGATTCGCGTGCCAACGCGGGTGAAAGCGAGGTTACCTGGGTGTCCGTTGCGGGAAGATCGGCTGGAAAAAGGGTCTGAGCCATCACATCCCCGATACCGAAAAGCAAAGCTGTGGAGATGACGTTGGTCAACAACGGCCTCTGTTTAAGAGAGTTGCTGTAGAGGGCAAAGAGTCGGGACATGGAATCAGGGAATGTGTTTCGAGTGGTCACTTACTCAGGCAGTAATTGGAATCCTGTGTTGTTTATATTGGTTCAGCGGTGTTTTCATGAATTTTCATTTCGGGAAGGGGATTCTTGTCTCAGATGAAGATCCCACCGTCTGGATCCGTATGAAGTACCAGGCATACCGTGCAGGAGGTTGTTGAAAGATACAAGCCGCGGATATTGATAACCGTCCGATATGTGTGCGGTACAGACCATGGTTTGAGTTTCATTGTAGAATAGTATACTACAATTGACCTCTTACGGGTATATTTAGCTAGTATTGTAATGTTTTTGTGCCTGGGGGCTTTAACTATTATATGAGACTGGTTTTACAGCATATATGGAGCACTGAGAAATTTCGAACTTTAGCCCTTGCGTTTCTAGTCGCGTGGTAGAATAGCGGCCCACTGTTTGATGGACGGTATATTATTTTTGCCGCTTCATAAACCCCATGGTTGAACTTGGGATTGTATCTTTGGAGTCCTACAGTTTTCACAGATGTGCTTCACATCACTAAAGGTTCTATATCTGAAAGATATTTAGGAGGTAACAGTTGAGGCTTCTGACCAGACACTAGTAATTAACCTGCACCAACAGCACAAGCGAGTGGTAGGCACACGCATGGATATCTCAGATCGTCTCTAGATTTTGAGCCGCTGCAAACCTTATCAAGGACAGTGGGCTGTCGCCACTAACTATTTAACCGACTGTTGCACAGAGTCCTTCAGTGGGCCTGCAAAGATTCTGTTACAGTGTAAACCTTTACGTCCACAGAGCCTTTTAGGATTAATAATATTACCGCTTCTACCCATACACATCAAAGCGTCCTGTCTCGTCTTTGCGCCAAGGTATCGCCGTTCAAGCTCTCTGTGTTAAAATTCACCTAGGTCTGGCCTCTATACCAATCTACAGCGTTAGCCGTTTGCAACGCCCAGAATCACCCTCTTGTTGCCTCATTAGCTCTCGTCCTTGCTTAACAGGTGCTTTGAACGTTAAGCCTTGAAAGTGTTTCGCAGTTTGATTCTGTCTCAACGTTAACTTGAAAGCGCCGCACAATCCCAAGTCATGTCCAAAAGGTCCGGAGAGACATTTCCCCCTTCCAAGAAGAAAAAAACTGATCTCACTAGCAAAACCGGCTGGCCGCCCTCGTTCGTGGAACTCGACAAGATCCACTTCCGGCTTAATTCGTATTTCACGTTCTTGTCCTCTCGAAAACATGTTATCACCACGTTTGATCTCCTCAAAAGCGCGCCAGAGGCCGTAATCGGCCGGTCTTTGACTCACCTAGACGTCTCCAAGATCGGGATCCTCATTCCCAACGACATTGTTTTCAAGTACGTCGACGAGAACCTGCTTCTTTTGGACCAGCCAAGCAGCACGGCGCAACCCGTGGATGTGTTCGAGCTCAAGCCAGTGGAGACGGAGGCCAAACAGTTGCTTGTGTTTGAGTTCATTGATGGTGACTTGAAAAAGTCGCGCACACAGCTGGACCTCCGGCTCGCGGAGATCCGGGTCCCCACATACACCCCCGAGTCGATGAAGGCATTGATTGCACGCCGGGACCAGAAGTTCGTCAAAGTCATCAACCAGTACCTCCTCTACTGCGAGCAGAAGCAGATCAACGACCCGATGCAGCACCTCACGATACGGGCAGAGCGGAAGTTGCCTAAGCCAAAGGTGTACGTCGATCCAATCCAGGAGATGCTCAGCAGCGTGAACAACAACGTTCTGGAAGACTCCACCCGGCCGTATATCAGCGACTTGCTCGAGACCCTCCAGCAGCAGGATTTTTACCATGGCCAGATGGTGCCGAACGGGCACTTTGTGACGGAGCCTAACCCGGCGATATACGAGCCGCTTTCATTCACACTTTCGCCCGAAATTTGTGCAGCACTCGCGAAGGTGAAGGGCATCGCAGAGTTCTACAGCCACCAGGCCGAGGCTATCAACGCGCTCCATGACGGAAAGAACGTGATAGTCTCAACATCCACATCGTCTGGGAAGTCCTTGATCTACCAGCTTCCCGTACTCTGTGAGTTAGAGACAAACCCGCATGCCACCGCAATGTACATCTTTCCCACCAAAGCATTGGCCCAGGATCAGAAGCGGTCGCTCAAGGAACTCGTAGGCTGTATGCCATCACTTGCGCACGTGGTCGTGGAGACCTACGACGGCGACACTGACAAGCTCAGCCGTGGCGGTATCCGCAACACCGCCCAGGTCATCTTCACCAACCCCGACATGCTCCACAACAGCATTCTTCCTAGCCACCAGTACTGGCGGCGCTTTCTCACGCACCTCCGTTATGTAGTGATTGACGAGTTGCACATGTACAAGGACCTGTTCGGGTCCAATGTAGCACTCATCATGCGCCGCCTTCGTCGCCTCTGTCACAGTCTCCAGAACTTCTCTGTCCAGTTTGTGTCGTGCTCCGCGACGCTCAAAAACCCTGTGCTCCACATGGCTGCAGTGTTTGGCGTGGACGCCACGGAGATTGTCCACATCAGCGAGGATGGCTCACCGTCGGGCGAGAAGCATCTCGTGGTGTGGAACCCGCCGCATATGAGTCCTAACGATCATCTCAGCGGACGCGTATCGTTTATCGCCGAGTCGGCCAAGGTGCTCGTGGAGCTCATCACTCACAATGTGAGGACGATCGCGTTTTGCGTGGTGCGCAAGGTGTGCGAGTTGCTCATGAAGGAGGTGCGGAACTTGCTCCGCCAAAAGGACCGTCTCGATTTAGTGAACCAGGTAATGTCGTACCGTGGGGGCTATTCGACATCGGACCGCCGCCAGATCGAGACGGAGATGTTCAAGGGGAACCTCAAGGCGGTGATCGCCACCAACGCGTTGGAGTTGGGGATTGACATCGGTGGGTTGGATGCTGCGTTGATCTGCGGATTCCCGCTCTCCACCGCCAAGTTCCGCCAGCAGAGCGGGCGAGCCGGACGGCGTAACCGAGACTCGTTGACCCTCGTGGTCGGTAGTGACGACCCCGTCAACCAGCACTATATGGCTCATCCCGCGGAGTTGATCACCCAGGAGTACCAGGACTTGGTCTTGGACTTTGACAACATGCTCGTGCTCGAGGGCCACGTCCAGTGCGGCGCTTTTGAGCTTCCGATCGATCTCGAGAGAGACTCTGCGTACTTTGGCGACAAGTTGGAGTATATCTGCTCCAGACGACTCAACAAGGACCACCACGGGTACCACTGCCACGGCCGGTTTCTCCCGTGGCCACCGAAACACGTGTCAATCCGAGCGATAGAGGAGGAGCATTATGCAGTGGTGGACATCACCAACGCGCGTAATGTGGTGATTGAGGAGATCGAGGCCTCCCGAACCAGTTTTACGTTGTACGAAGGTGGGATCTTCATCCACCAGGGCTACCCGTATCTCATTCGTGAGTTCAACACGGAAGACCGGTTTGCTAAGGTGGAGCGCGTGGATGTGGAGTGGCACACCAGTCACCGGAGCTACACGGACATCAACCCGATTGAAATAGAATTTATCCGGTCTCTCGGAGGGCCTAGCGACGTGCCCGTGTACTACGGCAAGATCCAGACAACTATTGTTGTCTTTGGCTTTTTCAAATTTGACAAACAGAAGCGGATTCTTGACGCGGTCGAGGTCCACTCGCCGCCAGTGGTTCTCGATTCCAAGGGTTTCTGGATCGATATTCCCCTCAGGGCATTGAACTTTATCCGAGACAAGACGCTTAACGTTGCGGGGGGTATCCACGCGGCCCAACACGCAATCATCAGCATGTTGCCGTTATTCATTGCGGGAGGCTCGTACGAAATTGGGACAGAGTGCAAGGCCCCAGAGAAGGAGTTTTCCAAGAAAGACCATGTCCGAAAGCGTCCCGCGCGCTTGGTCTTCCACGATGCCAAGGGTGGCAAGCACGGAACCGGGCTCTCCGCCAAGGCATTTGAGCATATCGACGAGATCTTGGACCAGGCCCTTAAGCGTGTGGAGGAGTGCCCGTGCGAAACCGGGTGTATTGAGTGTGTGGCGACGCCGTATTGCAAGGAGAACTCGCTTGTGTTATCGAAACTGGGGGCGCTCATCATCCTCTACGTAATTACCGGCCGGGAGTTTGACCTTGCCAGCATCCCTGATGGCCCCGAGGCGAACTTGCCCGACATTCCGTGCGAGACAATTGCACCGGTTGAGGGGCTTGTGAAGTTTTCCAAGGAAGTGGAAATCATCGATGCACATAAAGCCATGAATCCGTTGCGGATGGTGCCGAAATTAGAGGATATAGAGGTGTTGGGGTCCCCGAAGAATGACGAAGAGGGTGAAAGTTTGGAGGTGGGATTCTCCCTGACGGATATTGTTACTGTTAAGGTGGAAGCTGCCAATGAGGTTCCTAAACTGGATAGTGTGGCGGAGATACCTCAAGTAGTGATATCTGATGTAGTCCCTCTCGATTCGGCAAAGTCCGAAATGGAGATGAAGATTCCCGTGAAGGAGGAGGCTGAAGATGTGATTGTTGCCGATAATGAGGAAGACGATGAAGAGTGGATGCAAGATGACGATATCCTAGCCCTCCTTCGACAATAATTTTTCTGGTGGTGAGATCTTCTTGGGCCACACTAATTTTAAAGAGAATATGGTCAATGTTACTCCAAAATTATATATACTTAGCAGTTCTAAACAAAGTCGTCGCAACGTACGCATTGACCTGTGCTTAAATGACTCGGTTCAAAGGACTCAGTCTGTAAGGACCCCTTTGTCCAACATTAATAACTATAAATAGGGATCTAGCATTAGTGCCAAGAATCTATCATGAAATGCCGCCGCTATATCAACTGACCTTTAACCCTTCGGTTCATTGTAAGACTCACGCCACTTATACCTATGATATGCCCTTCCTGTTCAAACATAAATGTCGCGTATATTTGACAATGGGTTTAAATTACCCTCGTTTTTAGAACAGTCATTCATCTGATAGCCTCCCCTCCCATAAGCCAAAACTACACGGCGCTACCATATATCCCATTTATTCTAATTCTTCTTCAAGGTAAGCTTGCGGCCAATCATGGACCCTGTTCGTGTGAGCGACCGATTGACGTTGCCGATTGCGGCAATGCCCTTGTTCAATCCGAGAGACGAACTGCTCGACATGGAAGTCTCACGGAACGATTCCACAAAGTCATCGTCGCTCCTGGAGAAGTCGTCGCGACTGCCTGCGCGACCGGCGTAACTGCCATGCAGCTCGAGGTTCGCTCTGAGATCGGGGTTGTTGATGGGCGAGATCTTCCGAGTGAGCGCGTCGTGCTGGTCGTTGGCCACCGGCCTGGGTTTTCGCACCAAACACGCGCTCTGGGGTAAAATCCTTGTGCGCGCCAAACGGAAAACCTGCTTCACTGGCTTTAAATAGATGGAGGCGAGAGTTCCGATGTTCAACTCCAACTCCTCAAGGATTGCCACATCCAACTTGTCGCTATCAGTGGAGATCACTGGGAGCTTGTTCATCACGATCTGCTTGGCGTTGGCGTAGCTAGCGTCCTGTGGGAAGGACGATAACAATCGCCAGTAGAAGAAGCCCCTCTCGCGCAAGTCGGGGTTGTCAACCTCCTCGGTGGCAAGCTTGAGTCTTGCAATCAACAACGCCTCGGAATCCTTGCTCGGCAACTGAAGGAATACCTTGGTGACAGCGGTGAGAGTGATCAACTGGACGTCGATGGTGTCGGTGAGGAAGTCGCGTGTGACGCGGTCGAGGATGGTTACGGCACCGTCGATAGTGGCGCAGTACTGGCCGAGGATCCAGACGATGGCAGCGACGGCGTCTGGATCCGCTTCGGGTGCATGGTGGTTAACAAACGGGTTCGCATCGGACGGCAGTGCGGTAACGGCCAAATCGGTGTATTTGATGAAGGTCTGGATGGCGGAGTCAAATTCGCGTGGGTACTTGCGGAGCACGTTCTTGAAAACCACAACGGCCTCCTGGGTGATGTGGGGCAAGTCGACCGCGACCAAGTCCAAAATTAACTGCACGCACGCGTTGGCGCCACGCGGCAACTTGATGGCCAAATTTCCGATCGCACGGACGGCCTTGCGCGCCATGGTGACATCAACCTCGGTGGCATACTCCTCAAGCTCCTTTAATACGATCTTCAAGTTGTGCGCGTTCGCAAGGAGATAGATTATCTCGAGCTTGGTGTCCTTGACGTAGAGTGTGTCGTCATACTTGCAGAAGAACATCTTGACATCCAAGTCAAGAAGGTGCGGCTTTGAGAGCAAGACGAGAATCACGTTGCGCAAGGCCAAGAACTGGAGCTCCGGCTGTTTTGCGATGAGCGACACCATCGCGTTCCCCAAACGCTTGGGGAGCACTGGCATCGCATCGGTGATGTCCTCTACGTAGTTTGAGAGGTAAATAATACACTTGAGCGCGTTGAGCACGATTGCCGTATTGGCGTGCCGGAGGAGCGGCACCAACTTCTCCACCACGAAGAGCGCGTCGTCCGCGAGCTGCGGCACGTACGCCGTAAGCGCGCTAATGATGTAGCACTGCGACCACTCGTTGCAGCGGTGGAGCACTGTGAGCAAGTTGCGCGCGTGGCTGTCATTGACGACGAGCTTCATGGTGTTGTTCTTCTCGGTGATCTCGCTCAACGATGCGAGCGCAGATGCCACCACATGAGAGTTTTCGTCGTACAACCGGTCGTTGAGGAGGCCGATCAAGTTGTGGCGCGCTGCGAGCTTTGCGTCACAGTCATAGAGCTTAGAGATTGCAAAGCACGCCGTCTTCCGCACGAGCGGGTCTTCGTCCGAGATGAGGCCTCGGATCGGCTCCGCCAACAGCTCCGCCACCTGCTTCAGTGGAATGCCCGCGAGGCACCGAAGTATTAAGCTGCGCGCATACGCGTCACCCGTGCCAGTTAATTCACGGAGCATCGACGGTAAACACATAAGGGTCCCCTCAGGCCGCGCAGCGCCAAACGCCTCAAAGTACTTGTAGCACATCTTCTTGCAGGCGAGGTCGCTGGCATATGGCTCAGTAAGCACCGTGTCGACCACCTCTGGGAAGAGGTGCACCATGTCGGAGTTGTTCAAGTTGATGTTGGCGATAATCTTCTTCAAAATCTGTCTGCGCACCGTAAGCCGGTGCGTGCCGTTGGCCTTCTTGCTCTCCACGAGCGTCTCCAACTCGGTCTTGATTTCCGACGCTTTGAGCTGGCGGTGTTAGTACTGGCGGGGTGGGATGGTATATTACGTACCCTGGTGAAGCACTTTGCGTCGCTCATGATGTGTAGTTTATTAATCAGTTGCTGATCCGTTTGGAGCAAAACGCGCTGATAAGTTGGACAGAGCTGATCCAGTGCTTCGCGAAAAGAACTAAGGAATTTCGCGGATAATGTTTTCACGAGTACTGGTGTCTAAAACCTACGTGGTCTCGTACCAAATAGATGGCATAATGGCACCTTGACACACGCTACAGAAATTTTAATGCTTTAACCTCCGATCTATCACCGAGGCAGAAGCAAGGCTTCGGAAAAGGAAACAACTTCATGCTGTGTCTCGGCGACAGTACTTGGGGGTACGAGATACCCCGAAAAACAAACTAATCGGGTATCTTACGCGGGAGGGGACCAGTGGGTTAGGCAAAAAGAAATACATGCATATGTACATTTAGGCGTAGGAGTGCGATACAAGGTCAGCACGTTTGGCGGACCCAATGGAAATCCAGAAGGTCAAATAAGGTGCCAGACCGAAACGTCTCTAGTGAAAGGGATTTATTCCGACCTACTGTTGGGGCAGGTTCCTACTCGTGGGCGATTGCCGTTGCTTCTAGACGGTAGATTAAATAAGAGGCTGGTCGGTTCAGTCGCACTAAACCCAAGTAGGACAATGGGGTATCCTTCAGCCAAATTTGCGGTTAGCAATCACAAACGCATTTAAATTTCATAACAATTCGGTTTGTGTCACTTTTAAATTTCTTTTCGGGCGGCTCCTAACAATCTTTGTAGGGGGTTTCCCGGTGTGCCATATAGCAAGCATGTATTTGCTTATATCTGCTGCAAGGAAGAGGCAGACTCTAACCATAACGATACTCCGCCCAAAAGATTTTCAAAATCTTCAATGATATAAAAAAAAATCGAAATAATGGTTTAGAAAGGTATCAGCTAGTCTAGCCGGTTTTCAAGAACTAAGGGCTAATTTTGACGAGAGTGCTAAATTGTCGCCGGTACCTGTTATTGAGGTGGAATCAATTTGAATTCGAGTGAGCCGAAATTTTGTACTTTTAGCCCCGCGCCGTGTAATAACCGTTGCTATCCCATTACTAATACGGAATTGCGTCATGATATTTTAGGCTTGGACCTTATCCACGTCCATATGGCTACCTTGCCTGCTAGGTTTATCTAGCGTGATCCCGTTCGGTTGGAGAAAATTATTGGTCATTTGAGTGAATTTAATTATATTAAAGAATTATATAAGGGCAACCTGCCTAGATTAGTGAATTGAAAAAGAACCAAGCGGACTAAAGACCTACGCCAAGATGAGGGCAGCGGCAAGGGCAGCAGCGGCGTAACCACCATTCAACAAATTGGCGGCACCAGTCAAGGTGGAGACAGAGATGGAAGCGCTGGCAGAGCTGGCAGAGTTGGCTGGGCAGTCAGTGACACCGGATGCACAAGAGGTGATGGTGGCAAGGGTAGTGGATTCAAGGCTCTGAGTGACAACGGTGGAGTTGGAAGAGGAAGAGCCGGAAGAGGAAGAGCCGGAAGAGGAAGAGCCGGAAGAAGAAGAAGAGGAAGAGGAAGAAGAGATAGAACCAGAGCCAGGGGTAAAGTCTGGAACAGACTGGGCAGATGTGGAACCAACTTTAAGGGCCTTCAAGGCAACAGAGGTACCGTTGGTACACTGAGTAGTCTCAATGGCGAAGGCGGCGTTTGGACAAACATAGAAAGGGTCATCGCCGTGAGTGACGTAACCCTGGTAGATGGCAAAACCATCGGTACCTTTCTTACCCGTGGTGAGCTTCCCGTCCTTGATAACGATAAAAGACCCATCGCTCAACTTCAAGGTACCGTCGTCCTGGACCGCACCTTCCAAGCCGTTGCCTTGGACAATCTCAACGGTATCACCGTTAACACCAACAGTGGAATACTGGAAGTCAGAACCGGACTTGATGGTGATGATGTCGAAGTTTTGAGAAGCAGCGTTGGCAAAGGTAGCAAGACCCAAGGTGGCGAAAGAAGCAACAGCGGAGTACTTCATGTTAAAATATTAGCGAATGGGGGGAAAATACGATAAGAGACCAGAGTCCAAACACCAGAGCTCCGGGGGAACAACAACATTTATACCTGACCGGTGGCTGGGTGTTTAAGATACGCGTTTCTCGTCTAGCACTTGAAATTTGCTCCACGCTAACCGGAGTTATACCCTAGCCCACAGTTCTTTACCAAGGGTAAAGTATGGCCTGTCACGTTTATATATCCGAGATGGGGGCACTGCGTTGTCACGCGGTGCTAGCACCTGGAATTTCCTCATTAGGACGAGTGGCGGGATAAAATGATGCATGCTGCATTGCTGTACATGTGTCTCAAAGAGAAATGGAGAAAGGTTGTCGGGTTGTGCACGAACCCGGTGGGCCTGGCGGTATATTGTTACAGGGTTAGGTTGGGTGCGTTGAAATGTGCGTAGGGAATACGTAGGTAGTCATTCCATGTAGGAAAGGCGCTACTCCTGGATCACCATAGGTGAAGGGGATTGGTGGCTATTGTTATTGCAGCCTTGCATGTCACTGCCCCAGGGGAGAAATGCATCTACCTAGCTAATATCTCACACAGAAGCAAGCGTGCAAGCGTAGTTGTCCTTTCTAAATGGGCTCGCTGAACTTTAGTTGGGAAATGGACAGCCTAGAGCCGAATACGGAAGACACAGCCAAGGGAATAGGCAAAGCACTGAGCAGTGTGTGGAGTATCATGCGAGTCATACAACACTTCTATTGTATTGCCGTCGCGCCTTTTCCATGTATAAGCGAGCCACCATGTTAGGACATGTAAAACTAGCATCATAGAGACGTATCCATGGAACAAGCTTCCTTACAAATCCATGCACGGCATCCACCAGCTGTAGTGCACGCTGGTTATCTCAATGACTGGCGATTTTGTTTTGGATACACGAGGAGAATCGGAAGGCGGTAGAAATGCGGCGGAGATGGGGGTGCCCCTATACAACTGGAGACAATGCAGCCAGGGTAGGAAAACTATCGGCAAACGATCTCTCGATGCAACGAGGAAAACGCGTAGATGGAAGTAAATGTCAAAACATAAATATGCAATAATTGAGGAGGTTTTAAAAAAGCCAACTCAATAAAGAAACACGTTCACGATGGCTTCGGTTTTGGCGTGAGGCTCTGAACCTTCTGGTGTGTATGCCACATGTTGATCAAGCACTGTATATAGAGCCATGGGTACGCGTTTATCTGTTTTGTTCCGTCACTGATCTCAAGCGCGTCATAAAACCAAGTTTTAGTTAGTATGTACGAGTACCACCAGAATTTCAATTGAACCTCACTTTGTAGGAAATAATCTTGTGCTACACCTGATTTAACACACACACACACGTATAATGGCATTAAAAATAAGAAAGAAAAGGAGAAAAAATTCTAATAAAGAAAAAAAAAACACTCAGTTTTCAAACACAGTTCAAAAAAGTGCACACACTCTCTCACAGAATCGCCATCATCGATATCAGCCATAACGGTTGCTATTGAAGGTCCCCCCACACACTGAGGGAACAACCAACCGCAACCGCGGGAAACGAGATAAAAGACGGGAAACGAAAAGATTGGAAAGAAAGAGGATGGTAGTGGCACTCGAGGTTCGTCGCCGGTATTTAGTACGCCGGTGAAACTCAATGCAGCACATGTCCGTCTAGGCAGCCTTTACCCTTACTTGGAAACTTCGGCAGAGTATTGCTCGTGGGAGTAACCCTCAGCCTCTTCCTCCTCGTGCAAGTCAACGTCCAAATCACGAGCGATTCTTTCTTCGATGTTGGAGATATCAGCCATACCATAGAAGGCAATAGCCACAACACCCAATAACCCGGCAATACAGGAGAAGACCAATGCCACAATACCCCTGGCAGTGAAGCCAGCTGGTAATGGCTTTTGCTGGACGTTTTCACCGGTCAAATCCAAAAAGTTCTCAGAGTTACCAGCGGCATTACCGATGGTCTTGACGCCGGCCGCTTCGCAGTTAGCCAACCAGTTCTCACCCAAGGTTTCTTTCTCCTGGATCCCAGCAGGGTCTTCGATCAACGCAAGAGCCAACCCTTGGGCTAAATGCCACTCAATATGACAGTGGAAGAACCAGACACCTGGGTTGTTGGCCTTGAATCTTATGCGGAAAAAAGACTGGGCTCTGACGTACAAGACGTCTCTTCTCATTGGGAATTCTGGAGCATCATACTCTTCGGTTTCGTTCCAGGAGACCGGAGTCGGTTCCTCGCCGTAGTCTGGACCTCTTTCGATAACCTGGAAAGTGTGACCGTGTAAATGGAACGGATGCTTACCGGTATCCTGGTTGTTCAAGACAATTTCAACAACTTCATCCTTCTCCAAGACAAAGGCATGGGTGTTAGAGCCGTAGATAGCCGCATTGGTAGATAAGTTACCACTGCTCATGACGGTGGCCAATAATGGAACCTTTGGAGAAGCATAAGTGATGTTGTTGAAGAAAGCGTAGTTGACACCATTGCCCAAGTTGTCCATAATGACATCAACAGTAATACGGTAATCTGGTTCGTCCAAGATTTCCTCCTTGGTAACTGGCTGCAAGTAGAAATCATCGAGGAACTCCCACTCTGGGACGTCATAAGCACCTGGTAACTCGGCCTCTTCGTCGTACACAATCCAGTTGGTACCATTGACCACCAAGTCCTTTGGTTGGACATCCAACATGTCGAGATCGAACGCTTGCATGAACGCATAGTTCCTGGAGGTGTCGTTCTTCATAGTGACTAAGGCGGAGTATCTCTGGGCACTGGTGATGTAGATCATGTCGGTAACGTTCTTTTCCACATACACCCCATCAACTTCGATAACAGTGAACTCGTGGTCTTCCATCCACAAGTACTGGGAGACAAAGGCACCAACATTGACAATTCTCAACAAGTAAGTTTTACCCGGCTCAACCTTCCATGTCCCATTCCGGGTGTCATTCCACAACAAGTTTTGTGGAATTGGCTCGGCACCGGTCGGGTTGTAGAGGTTCAAGAAAGACTTCTTCAAGGTAAAGAAGTCGTCGTGGTACCATTCGGCAACGGTCAAAACAACCTCCTCATCGTATTCGTACGGAAAGTCATCTTCGTGAACAATAAGAGCACCCCTAAAGCCGTCACCGAACTGGCCGAGGGTGTGGGAGTGGTACCAGTAGGTACCGGACTGGTCTGGAATGGTAAAGTTGTAGGTCATGGACCCACCTGGGACAATAGGGCATTGGGTGATCATTTCAGGGCCATCCATCTGGTTGGTGCCGTTCTGGAACAAACCGTGGAAGTGTAAAGAGGTGTTCCAGTTACCCAAGCCGTTAGACAAGTGAACAATAAGACGGTCACCCTTGTTGACCTCGATGTTTGGCAAGGGCCAGGTGTTGTTCCAACCGACAGCCTGGCGTTCCTTGACACCATCTGGGTTGACAGTAACCCAGGTGGCTTCGTACCAGTACTCGTGGGTTTGGGGGGTGGCAGCAGACACTAAGGCTAAGACGTTGACCGCGAAGAGCGCGGTAACAACCTTGAATAGAGACAACATGTGGAGAAGCTAGCTAATTTCCGGTGTTGTATTCTTTTCGGTTCTGTTCAGGATTCTCTTTTAAGACTGTGTGCGGCAGTTTTTCGAAGAGATGGGAAAGGTTGACTTCTTTCGTAGAGTATAATCTTCAAAACGGGTGAGAAAAAAGTAGATGAAAGGAGCAGGCATAAAAAAAATGGGCGCGAGAGGGCCGTTTTATACATGTATGACGGTTACCAGCGGTCTATCATCCACTTTCCGATGGGATCGATAACCGCCGCCGGTGTGTAGTGAAAAAAAAAAATTAAGGGAAAAGTATGTCTCCAAAATGCCATACATATGCATGAAGTACCCTGCAGTCCTGTACGTGTGCTAACTCTGTTTAGCCCACTTCGAAAGAATTCCGGGCCACAACCGGTAGCACAGGTAGCCGCTTGTTAGCCAAGAATTCGGACAAAAGCTTCCAATTCAAGCTATCTGGGCTTGGGTCTCTAACTCCTCCAGGATACAAATGCTTATGAAACTACGGTCTCTTGGGTGGAAGGACTTGTCAGCAGACAAGACTTTAGTAGAAAATTGGTCAAGCGTCGTACGATTCGAGATGCAAAAGATAAAACGCCCCGTACGCAAGTTTATGGCCTCTAGAAGAGTGTAGGGCAGAATTATAGACTTTTGGTGCCCTTTGCGTGCGAGGTTAGATCTAACACTGTGTATTTCACTTTCTGCAGGAAATGTTCGAATGGGAACGATCACCCCCTACACCCTATATGTACTAGGGGCAAAAAGAAAATACAGCCTGTATGCTATATCACCGATCCCTATGATGATCATCCCATCAGCTATTTCGGGTGCCTTTTAAACCTCCAATTCCAATATCCCAAACAACCGGTTAATCTGAGGAAAACTGGTTGGTTCGAGGTAAAAATCGTACCATCCAACCCAGTGTCGTGGATATGTATTAGCGCGTCTAAAGTCTCGGCATCGCCATTTGGGAGACCTGGGCTGTCTATCTCCCTGCGTGACCGCAGAAATGTGCCAAGTCTTTTTTGGCCACTTGAAAACCTAAACAAGTTCGGTCAATCGTGCAGGAAAAAATTAATTGAACCTCGCTTTTATCGGGGTACATACGTCTTAGAGAACAGAAAACGTCACTGGTGTGAACACCGGGGAGGGTTGGGGCTCATCCAGAAAGAGACTGAACGAAAAGATTGTGAATTGATACCGATAGTGAATATCTGGGGTGTGCATGAAAACCGTTGCGGCTGAAAGTCTTAATTTGGCCAACTCAGAGGACCGGAAATCTATATAGGCTAGCAGAACTGTGTAATTTGCTCACTTCTCCCAAAGTACAGACCCTTTAGTTATTTTTAAACCATAGGCCATTAACGCACGGTGTAACTCTACCGCATATAGTCGTTGAGACCTGCCTTTGTTGATCGTTCATATTGCTTGCAAACCCAGACTAAACCCATCTTTTCTCTCGTGCATTAGAAATCAGCTCCAGTAGGTACGTGTAGACCAGGCTTATAGCTGTGGAATGAAGCTACAGGTAAAATTATCATGGATTGTACCCGTAATCCTTTACAATCTAGATCAATCATCATACAGCTTTGCTTTAAGTACCTGATACTGGCGTTTTTGCTATATAAGGTTTCGTTGATTGAGATCTAAATCGAAATTCAGCTGTGAACTCTGTCGGTTTCAATGTCAGCAAGTATCGATCTCACTTTGAAGTGTTTGTCGAAACCTCAACGTTGCTTTCTTCTTCTTCCTCCTCCTCCGCTAAATCAATGTTTAGCCCTTGGGCAGTTCTCGCCTCGATATCTGAAATGTCAGCCATACCATAAATCGCGATAGCAATAACCCCCAAAAATCCGGAGATACAAGAAAACACCAAGGCCACAATCCCCTTGGCGGTGAAGCCAGCTGGCAATGCTTTAAACTGGCGATTCTCGCCCGATAAATCAAGATAATCCACTTTATTAGCAGCCGCATTCCCCTCGGTTGGAATACTGGCAGCCTCACAAATAGACAACCAATTGTCACTCAAGGTTTGGTTTTCCTGGATCCCCAAAGGATCTTCGATCAAGACAAGAGCCAACCCTTGGAGCAAGTGCCATTCGATGTGACAATGGAAAAACCAAACCCCTGGGTTGTTGGCCTTAAACCTAATGCGGAAGTAGGATTGCGACCTGGCATAAAACACGTCTCTTCTCATCGGGTACTCAGGGGCATCATAGGGGGCACTTGGGTCCCAAGGCACGGGCACATCCGCGTTGAGATAGCTAGGTCCTCTTTCAATCGCTTGGAAGGTGTGGCCGTGTAAATGGAACGGATGCTTACCGGTATCCTGGTTGTTCAAGACAATTTCAACAATTTCATCCTTCGCTAAAACAAAGGAGTTGGTATTAGACCCGTATATAGCAGCATTCGTAGACAAATTACCGCTACTCATAACAGATGCCAACACCGGAAGCTTTGGTGAAGTAAACGAGATGTTGTTGAAGAAAGCGTAGTTGATACCATTTCCCAAGTTGTCCATAATGACGTCAACGGTAATCCGGTAATCAGGGTCCCCCAAGATTTCCTCCTTTTCAACCGGCTGCAAGTAAAAGTCATCAAGAATGTCATACGAATCCACTATGTACGGTCCGGGCATCTCAGCGTCCTCGTTGTACACAATCCAGTTGGTACCATTGACCACCAAGTCCTTTGGCTGGGTGTCTAACATAACGGTATCAATACCCTGCATAAACGCATAGTTCCTGGAGGTGTCGTTCTTCATGGTAATCAAGGCAGAGTACCTCTGGGCACTGGTGATGTAGATCATGTCGGTAACGTTCTTTTCAACGTACACCCCGTCCACCTCGACAACGGTGAAACTGTGATCCTCCATGTACAAGTACTGGGATACAAAGCCACCGACGTTGATGATTCTCAACAAGTACGTCTTCCCTGGTTCCACCTTCCATGTCCCGTTCCGGGTGTCATTCCACAACACGTTCTGTGGGATCGGCTCCGCCCCCGTCGGGTTGTAAAGGTTCAAAAACTTGGGTTTCAAGGTGAAGAAGTCGTCATGGTACCATTCGGAGATGGTCAAGACAAGTTCCTCATCATAATCGAAGGGGAGTGGCTTCGTGTCGTGGATAATAAACGCTCCCCTGAAACCATCGCCGTACTGGCCCGAGGTGTGTGAGTGGTACCAGTAGGTGCCCGCCTGGTTCGGGACCGTAAAGTTGTACACCATGGTATCACCGGGAACGATAGGACATTGGGTAATCATCTCTGGGCCATCCATCTGGTTGGTGCCGGTCTGGAACAAACCGTGGAAGTGCAAAGACGTGTTCCAGTTGCCCAAGCCGTTAGTCAAGTGGACGATAACACGATCTCCGGTGGTGACTTCGAGGTTTGGCAAGGGCCAGGTGTTGTTCCAGCCGACAACTTGGCGTTCTTTGACACCATCGGGATTGGCAGACACCCAGGTGACATTATAGTAGAATTCGTGGGTAGCTGCTGAGACCAAGGAGAAGAGATGACCCGCAAAGATAGCGGGGAGGAATTTTGCAAACAAAACCATAGTGTGGGATTACGCTTTAAGGTAAAGGTTGGTACCAGGAGTAGAGATACTGCAGTGCTAGGTAGTTTCAACCCTGTTATACGTGTAAGATGGGTTTAGTGAAACAGCGAGGGTATGCGGGTACTTTTATATCCACGAACGTTTTTTCTTACGACCCATCGGAGACATACACGCAAGGCTGACAGAATGCTTATTCAATTTGGAAGACGCATGCCCTAAATCATCATGCACTGTCGGCTCCTAGATCGAATCGATTATGTTTTTGGGAGCACGGCTGCAGCAGTAATGATAGGTATTGAGCGATTAAAATTTCGATGAGCGGTTAGGCACATGGTAATAACCTAATTTGTATAAGACACCCCGTGATCTCTGTGAGTTCGGTCTAATAACGTTAGTACGGGGGCTACGCCAATCAAAGTTTAATGTGACCCCCGTCGATATGAAAGTGGGGTTCTCATCAACTTAGCTCTCGTAAGCATGATTTTTTCCAACATGATCCGCCATGGTTGGTGGTCCTCAGACCGTTCAAGCACAAAGGTGCCAGCTTCCCCAGCATAGAGATAAGACCCCTCTTCATAAAAAGCTTGTTTTTTTTATAAAGAGTCACTTCTTGGCACTGGTTGGGACATTACCCTCGGACCAAAAACGAGGGTGATCGAACAGCAACCGTCATCGATACGCACCTCTAAATTCCGCATATGAAGCAACTTTAGATATGCCGTAGTTGTCCGAATGCAGACTAGTGCATGGTAGCGACGCACCCATCGTCTCCAGCTTCACCTGTGGGCTGCAATTTGTACAGCACCGTTTTTCTGTGCAGGGAATTACCGCCAGTTTCGCTGTTATCGGTGTACAAAGCCTACGGACATAACGGTAGCGTAGAGAGAAATTTACTGATCCCCGATTTGTCCTTGAGGATGAAAAACGGGCTCTTTGGCGAACCACAGATAAACGATTGGTCTGATTAGTCCAGATCTTTAGATTGGGAAAGATAAGCTTTAAGCAGGAACGGAAGTGCGCCCAGAATCCAAGGCACCAATATTGCTCGGTTATATTGCGCACATTGGCCGTTCAAGGAAAGACAACGAAGTTCCCCAGAATCTGGCGGGGACTGGACCCTGTTTAATGTGCTCAGCTTCCCAAATCCAGAAATTTTCTCGGATGGAGACTGGACCCTGTTTAGGCTACTAAGCATTCCAACTTCACGTGGACTCCCAGTATTTAACACCTAATGCCAAGGACGCTTACCGCACCAGAGAAAACGTGGGCTTCTGCCGTTGCTATAGCTACAGCTTCGTTAGCTACAATGTACATGTTTTCCCATTTAGATTTAAAGCAGTATAACTCCAACCTCGGATTGCCGTCCATTGGGACGTTCACTTTCTGTGGTGCATCAATGCTGGTGTCTGAACTGCTTTAGAGGGAAAACAACTGTTTCCCATCTTTCTGACAAATAACTAAATGCTTCAAGGTTTCCGCCGCCCCATTTTCCAAGCCATCGTTTAAACACTGGAATAGTTGTTTCCATTGGTACGAATCACGCGTAGGGCAATTATCATCGGCTAACCTCAACTCCACGTGTTTGAACTGAGAAAGCATGGTGATGAATCTGTACAAGTTGTGCAGAACGATTTCGTTTGGGTCTTCAATTACGACGGTCTCCTCGGCCGTAGACGCGATAATAGCAGCCTCCACGGGGTTGTGGGTTGGTTCAGGGGCAACAGCAGCAACGGGCGGTGGCTTGACAGGAAGCCTTAACACCTTCGAGGAGAGAAACCCAACGCCTGTAAACACAATCTCTTTGAGGTTCCGGTTTCGCTGACATAAGTGCTTAAGAAAGTTCCCAAACCTGTCGTAATTGATTAAGAACCCATCGTGGTCGATACAGCCCGTGCATCCCACTTTCCTAGGAGTATTACCCGCTACCTTTGCCGGTTGGTAGAAGAACCACGATCCTAAGTCAATATCCAAACATACTAATTCTTTGAAACTCGACACAATTACCAAGTCCTGGATCTGCTTGAGTCTGTAGAGTCTCAATGTGTGGCAGTTCTTGAAGTACTGATCGATGAGAGCAAACTTCGTGATCTTGATCATGCATGCCTCAAGAACCAACTCTTCGATCGGTGAGTAGTACTCATCAGTATTAGGTTTACTTCTGCCAGAGCCTGAGTACCTTCTGGAGATGGAAGTGGTAGGGAGTCCGACGCCGTTTCGAGGAGGGCTCATTATCGTTGGGACGGGAGAAATGGCGGACCCGGCACTGGAAGCTTGGATGGATTTCCGGAACGACAGCAAGATACTGGTCGACCTACTAACTGGTGACGGAGATCTGGTGGACGCTAGATTTTCGCTCTTAACTGTCTCTGACAAATTTCTCTCTTTCCGTCTTCCATCAATGGCAGCTCCTTCGTTCGAGCTGTGATGGTGGATATGGTCCTTGCACAAAACAATGGAAGTGTTGAACAACTGGTGCTCTTTGTTTACCAACGCCATGTTACTTTTTTTTACCAACGACTCGTTATCCAAAATCATCTGCTGCAAGGTAAGCTTTTTGACTACGCCAAACGGCCAGAGCAAGTTTCCCCTCATCGGGATATGCCAGCCAGTCTCCGAGGTGAGCGAAACGTCTGGAGAGGTAAGGAGAGTATCGAATTCCGGTTCATCGATGCCTGGGTTAGGGTTTACCGTCACGTCGGCCTTCTCTTGAACCAAGCGCGTTAAAAGGTTGTTGTTTTGGGAGAACTGGAACTTTGGGGTAATATCCTTCAAATTCACTCTCAACGGATTCCCCCCCTTTTTGTACTGATGGCACAACTTGGTAAGTTTTAAGAGCGACTCCACATACGGCTCGACAACCGTATCGTTGATATTCTCTAAGCTGTAGTTGTAACAGTTTCCAATATTCACCAGCGCGGGGCCCAGGCTATCTGTGGGTCTGGAAAACGTGATGGAAGCAATGTTCTTGATGAATTTAGGGGTCTTGAGAAGCGACTTGTAGCACTTGATCACTGCGGTTTGGTTTGGTAAGAAGATGTTTTTGTAAAGGAAGTTCTGGGTGACTTGCTGGTATAACTGCTGGCACGTAAGAGCGAGTAGAAGCCATGTACGACGATCGAGGTGGGAAACGACAAGCAGTATAATCTCCAGTGGTAGTCCGAGTAGGTGGAGTGGTGGGTACGTCGGGGTTGCGTTTTTCACTAACCGATTCCTTCTTCCGATCAACTGGAATCTTTTCATGGTATACGATATCTATTAAGTGTGGAGATTTCTCTGTGCAAGTGTGGCGCTAGCGTTTCTGGGTTATTGCCTTCCCCACTGTGCAAGCTTGGGTGAAAAAATTCGAAAATGAATGGTCTAAGATGTAGAGAAATAAGCTGCCGATACTAAATCTTTGAATAAAAGATGGAACTTCAGAGAGGATCCCAGTGTGTATATATCTAGCCAGGCACTCTTATCTACCAGCCGTGGAAAATCGGCATGCCATGCCTGAAAAGCGGGAGAAAAAAAATGTGCCACACGCCTGAGTCACGAAATCGGAAAGTAAGCAGACTAAGAGGGGATGAAAGAGGCTGGTGTAAGGATTATGGACGGTGCTCATAATCTGCGGTGTGGCTGCTTAAAGTTGAGCGAGGGTCATTGACGAGCTTAAGGCAGAACCGCCGTGCGAGCGGTTTTGCATGCTTAACTGTAAAACATTAGCCCCGGTTATACCTAAGCCTACTGACGTGATGCTAAACAGTTCCGCCATTCTGTAATGGTAGCTCATATACATAAGAGAATTCACGTGTAAACATACAATTTGTCTCTAATATAAGGAAATCCCAAATTAATAATACACATGAGGAAAGGCTGCAAAATTGCAAAAGAAATTAATCATATACTAAGTAAATTAGTAAACGAAACCCAAAATCTTACCGGAGACGTGCTTTCTTCTGGCTTCCTCGTGGTCCATAATACCAGCGGAGGTAGTCAAGATGACGAAACCGAACTGTCTGGCTGGCAACAAGTTAGCAGTCCACTTTTCAATGTCACTAATTCTGACGTTGAATCTTGGGGAGATGACACCACACTTGTTCAATCTACCGTTCAATTGAACGACGATCTTACCAGATCTGTGGTCATCGATGTATTCGAATTCACCAATGTAACCTAAATACTGAGTTAGTAAACAACCTTTTTCCGAGGAAAAGACTCCATATCACATTCTCAATCAATCTTCAATCACAAGTAGGGTCAGGCAGTGGCATGGGACAAGATGTGGAGGAAAAGTAAACGGTCCTGGCATCATTATTGACCAGCACCGTGTAAGAAGCGATTCCACAGACAAGCTATTCTGCCGGAAAATTAAAAGACAGTAAGGGACTGATAACACTCCCAGACTATGAAAAAGTCTGAAACCGATCAAACCATCCAGTTATCATTCCGGGGATCAAAAATAAAACAAAAAAATATATAATGATTGGCAATTGTTGGGGACGTAAGGGATGAGGGACTGGTACATACCATGCTTTTGCATGACGGACAAGAACTTGATGATGACCTTAGAGGAAGGTCTGATCATAACTTGACGCTTGCCGGTCTTTTCGGCGTTGTTAATGGCATTAAGAGCATCAGCTAAGACGGAGGTTCTGGTCATTTTGTAGTACTGCAAAACAGTTAGTACACCGCACCTAACATGAAATCATATACCTTCTTCACTTCAAAGGTTGATAGAAAAAAAAACTACCAGCCTTTCAAATGAAGAGATATGCAAAAGAAAGAATAGCCACATGAGTGTCCAGAGGAGGGAAATCAAAATACAAAGCCAGGAGAGAAGTTCAAAGATATTCGATCTTCTTCAACTATTTTGTACTCTGTCGGGATTCATGAGCTGTTAGTCTCTATACAACCTGTCAGCCATTCTTAGAATGGTGCATGGAGGTATATTCTGAAGTGGGGTATCAGGAAGGTCTCGATTAATAATATAGCTTACATTAGGTATGCGATGAACAAACATCGTATCAACTATTGTATGCAATACTCAAGGTTCAAGATTCCCACTTTCAGGAAATGATCAAAACAAAAAACGGGAGGGATGGAAACATGGGAGGGCCGGGCGAGTAAGAAAAAACTCTGTGGTATCAATTCTTTGTATAAGCTTTATACATACTGGAGTCGATGGTTAGAGTAAAGAACAGAGACAGGCGGTAAGAAAAGTAGAATTTATATACATGTCACGAAAATTGGTTGAGCTCTCCCGAGGATGAAAAATTTGCAGGCACCTAGAAGCGTATTAACCAGTCGTGCTGTCAGTTACTATCCCTAAGTGTTTATTTCAGTCCATGTACAGCTTGGAGAGTCCTGTGTTTAAGGTCCTGAGGTTTTATGTACAGGATTTATATCTTCCTTTCTGTAGGCTGACTAACGTGATTGGAGCTTTATTATGTCAAGGTAGACTTTGGTCTCGCAGTCCCAGTGTATGAGAAGCACACCATAACAGATTTGCAAGCAACCTATATGCCACCCATTAACTTCCCTAATACTTGGCATGGTTAAAGAATAAAAGAACGGTTAAAAGACCAGAAGTATTTGACGTTAGAAAATATTAGGCACATTCTGAAACAATTATCGTAGCTATGTCCGATAGCACGATGACGTAGCACCAAACCCTAATGGCTTAGGTATCTTATCTGTAGTTTATACCTATATTCATATCTCCGGTTAAACATATGCTAGGTACACGTGTACTGTTTTAAATGCATTTTAAAATTGCTGTGGAAAACCAGACGGTCTGGTCTAGGCCTGAGAAGTCCCACTTGCTGACGTCCAGGATTCCAATCTTAGATTGGTCCGGGCCAATTTTTGATACTAACCTTCGATAAATATTCCTGATAGCACCTAAATTTAAAGCTAATATACTCCGAGCTCCGAAAGGTTGCAGAGGGTAATTATCACCCACATGAGAAACCTTAATAAGCCATAATTCTAGTTCTCTCTAAGTGCGAGTTAATCTCCGCCACCAAATATACCGACGCACAAGCAACCCAGAGTTATTCCGGTATCTATCAACAATTAAGTTCCATTCAGGATCCAACGGTTATCTTTGTGTCCTGGATGGGCCACGGTGTTTGTAGGCCCCCAAGGTATATATGTACGAATCCATAATTCAGCTAAACCAAACCATGTCTATCAAGCCAGCCCCCTAGCGTAAAACTTGTGACCACAATGTAAGGCAGAGTGTGTTTTATGAAACCAGATCTAGAACTTCCCGCGTGTTTATCCGTTTTTCGCCAGCAAATTCGGTGTCCAGTCTATGAGGGGAGTATAATGTTACGTCACACCAACCCTGATGTGCTAAAACGGCAGCGGTGCTGGCTTCATAGCCGCCAGGGAGGGGAATGGCACGTGGATGTTTACCTTTCAGAGAGGGGTATTTGGGAGGCGCGCATACTTTGGCCGCACTGTCAAACACACCTCGTTACGAGCGAGAGAATCAGAATTCGCAGGCGCGGCTCAGGGAGGGGAATGGCAGAGTACAAAGCAGGGTATCTTACCCAAAAAAAAAAAAGACGTGTAGTGACAGCAAGATCACGGAGGATTTAATACCCATTGGCTACAGCATAGAAACAGAATGTATACCGAATTATTGACTGGTAGCAATGATACTATAAGTATTTCCCAGCGATACGTCAAAATGGAAAAAGAAACTGTGTCAGCGAATATTAGATAGGAGAAGTAATTCCGTGGCGTTGTTGGGCGATTATGCCCGAAGTGTGTACAGGACGGACAGCGCCGACCCTCTCATTAAGGTTCTGCAGCGTCTAGATTCTTCGGAGAGGTACCAACCGTAGCCACTGCCTACGCCATATTAACTTTTACGATAAACGAAATGCAAAATGTATGAGTCAATCCAACATATTTTGTATGGCGACACTGTCTGACAGGCTGAGGCTGTGATCTACGTAGGTTCAGTGCAATCACAACACGTAAACACACACGAGATGCTTGCCCACTTTCCACGCCACTCCCCTCCCTCGTATGATCGTACTTGCATTTTACTCACTAACGCAACTGAGGGGAAGCCTTACACAAATTCACTCACTTAGCTATTTGGTATACGATAGGTGTCTTATCACTCTCCAAATATATAAACCGCGCACATCCCCCCAGTTAAGCTGACACTTCTTTTCCTATTTCCATTGCGTCTTCAACAGAAACATATATAAACCATACTCTACGATAAGATACTCATCTAATCATTCACCGTTGACACTCGTCTTATATACTCTTATCCAGTCTAATACCGAATTAAGCTTACACATCGATTCGGCAATCACACATATACAATGGCAGCTTCCCCTCTCATGAATCTCTCTGTTTTTCCAGACGGCTTCTTCAACCCTTTTCACAGCATCGGCCAATTGGTTGTGACTGTACCTAGAGCCACAGCCATCCCAAACCACAAAGACTTTGATCTTCAAAGAGAGTTCAATGAGTCTAGAAGAGGCTCCACCTCGTCCATTTCCTCCATGGAAAGCGACGAGCCTGTTCATGTTCGCAAGGACAGAAACGTTAGGGAGTTCACCAAGGTTATGGGCTACTACGACTGCTTTCCATAAGCGATTCTAGCAGCATGGGTTCTTTCGTTTTCTTTTTTTTTTCTCGGTTTCTTTGGCTATTCTGGTTCTTTCACTATTTTTTTTTTCTATGGGGTCTCTCTTCTATAAAACATACAATAAATATATATAATAATTAAACTCTCTGTATCAGATACTAAACACTCCAAGATTTTAATTTGAGACCGCTAGACATGACGCGCCTGGGCTGAAATATTTCTCGCCGGAGATGGCCCGAGCTTATCCTACATACACGCCTTCGGCTATTAATATCCACATATCTCATCGATTCAACTTCTCTCACCAATATTATTCTATCTGACATCATTATTCACCCTGCCCTGTAATGAACTCAGAGGAAGTTACAAGGATTTTCCAAGCGGTCAAGCCGCATTGTATTGCCTTGTCACAATCAGTCTTCCCTCTGACACAGCCGATAAGTAACTCAGAAATAGAACCCGCCGTATCGCCCCTCCAGTTATCCCGAGACTTGGTAAGCTTACTTGATGCCTTCCAAAAGGCCGTTGAGGGTAGCGGCTCCTCTCCGGAATCTCCCATGAGGCTAACCACCCAGCTAGGCGATTACATATTTGTCCCCATCGCCCACTTGTTAAGCACCGAGTTGACCCAACTCGATGATCTCCTGACATCCTACGTCCTACAACTCCTCACCTTGTTGATTCGCCACTGTTGGGGGGCCACAGACTCGGGAATTCTCGTACCTTTAGCAAGACAATTGTTCCCGTTGATCGTGATCTTGACCGGCGGACCTCCGCCAGCCCCCGGTGCCAGCTCCAAGGAGGACGACGCCATCCAGACCAAGCTAATCCGCGATGAAAAAAGCGGAGAGCTCAAAGCCTCCGGAGTAGCGTGTTTGAGCGAACTATTCACTGCCCTTAACAGCCCCTCCGGCACCACGTTCCTAAACCATGAGGATTCCTCCCAGCCGCTACTACCCGTTGTTGGTCATGCCGCCACAGTCCTTTTGACCATAATGGCTACCTCAACGCATACTTCCCAGTTGGAATTGATGCTAAATTCCACAGCCTGTTTGCGTCTCTTGTACTTCCTGGTAATAGCCACCGGGGAAAACAGAAGGGGCGGCGACATGCTCTCGCTCGTGTTGCCAAAAACCGTCTCTGTAATAGCCAGGTTGATCACCACCAGTTCGATCAAATTGCACTACACGGCAGTGGAGAAGCTATTGGGTTTGTTGAAAGACTTGCTCGCGTTGGTGTTTGATGATGCCGTGTTTGAACGTCAAGCCGGTCCCAAACGCTTGGCTAGCTTGGACGAGTTGAGAGATACGCAGGATGTTTCCGTTATCGCTTTATCGCTTGACGAAACCACAGAGACCTCCAAGCCTTTTACAACCCCCAGGGACGAGATGTGGTTGAAGGGAAACTCGGATCGGATTCACAAAGTGTTGGCCACCGTGTTCAGACACTACCAGAAGTTGTTCAATGAACAGGAAGTACATATGCTCCAAAGTAGCGCCAAGTTCACAGTCATTTCCAAGGCATTGACGAGCCTCGTGGAGTCCATCTTCCAAAACAACTTCAGCTCGTTGAATGCCTGTATCGGCGAATCTATTGACATGTGGGTCTATCTCCGCTTGGCAACACATGAACTTGGACCGTCAGACTTTCTCCCTTCCAGCTTTATCCAATCCAGTGGTAAGACGACCCAGACCCGTGACATCATGTACACTAGATTAACCAACTTCTGGGTCCCTCAACTTTCAGTCCAGATCTTTCACTCCAACAGTGATAATTCGAGAGAAGTGAACGCCATGGACGTGATTGCCTTTTATTTGAAGTCGTTACAGGGCCTTATTTTTGCTGGAGCAGATAGAGACGATATCCGATACCAGGCAAGGCGGTTTAGCCTGGCTTTGGAAAATATCAGGTCGGTTGTGTTTGAAGAGTTAAGTAATCTGGTTCAGCAGTCTAACAGATCCTCAAAGAAGGCCGATACGCAAATAGTGACGACGGTCAAAGATTACTACCGGACGAACGAATTACTTGCGCTGCACCAAGAAACGGTCCTGACGGAGATGGAGGGTTCTACGACCCTTCCGATTTTCAATGCCATAGCGATGACTGAAAACAAGGAAGCGTCAATCAGACGACTACTAAATGTCATTGGTGGCTTAATTAAGAAAGCCACCATTGACAATGTAGATGGGGAGTGTGCCGAAGAGATCATGGGCTCGGTTATTGAATCCCTCGTGGTTGATGACAACGACCGAGGCCATACCAAGCAGAGCTTAGGGTTGTGGATGTTGAATCACCTAATGGATGGGATGGCTGAGCCAAGCAATGCCGAGCTTCAATTACAGCCCTTTGTGGACGATTTTCTTTGCTTTGACGAGGTGGATGAGCTGAGTAGTTATCTGGACTCCTCTCTTCTGCGAGCCTTGGACGACGCATTATACACAATCCTTGAAGTATCCATCTCTACTCTCGAAGATCTATCATTGCTGCAAAACACCAGTATGCCGATAGCAGGCTCATCCCTTGAGTCGCTGCTTTCCCAGTGCATAGCGCTTGAAGCCATTGCCAACGTGTGTCGCCATCTGGCTGTAGAGGAATTCAAACCTCACTTGATGAGCCTTTTATTCCCCGTCATCGATTGCTTGTCCCACTCGGACTCCTCCGTTCAGCGGCACGCTATGCATACATTACAGCGGATCGCTGCAAAATGCTACCCAGATGGCACTGTGGTGGATTTGATCGAAGACAATGCCGACTATTTGACGGATGCTATCAGTCTCAAATTATCGCTGACCGCGATCACCCCTTCCTTGTCGAAAATCCTCCTAGTTTTGATCAAGATTGGGAAGATGGACTTGATCAGCCATCTCAACGATTTGATTAACTCAATGTTTCTCTTGTTGGATATGTACCATGGCTATGCATTGCTCAGCGAGGGATTCTTCATGGTGTTCCAGGAGATTATTGACCAAGTCCATGAGAAATACCCCCTGGAAGCTGAAGGTGCAAGGGACGGTAGAGAGGAGCTGGAGCTGAAGCTGAAGCTTCATCGGCCTTGGGGTATCAAGAATATTGACGGGTTGATTGGTATGTTGGAGTACAAAGACCAGCAACTAGATGAGATTTTGAACCCTGATCAAGAGGAGTCTGGAAAGAAGTTTGCAAACCACCCAGGGAAGCCGTTCAAGGAGGCTTCGTCCCTTTCCGACGATAAGTTGCGCGAAGTAGATAGTGACGATGAGGAAGATGGCCTCGAATCCATGTGGAACCGAGAGGAAGCTGACGACACCGCGGGGGGTGGTTCTAACGAGGATGAAGAGTGGGACTCTCCCCTTCCCGAAAAGATCTACTACATGGTGCAACGTGTGTTTAACTACGGTATCCGTCTCCTTAACCACCCCTCGGTTAATTTGCAAAACCAAATCTTGACGATCTACAAATCGCTTATTCCTGTCCTTGCGACTTCCCCCCGGCGTTTATTACCAGTTCTTGCTGATTCGTGGCCCGTATTGTATGCCTCGTTCCAAGCAACTGATGACCTTCGCTTGATTGTGCCATTGTGCAATGCGTTTGAGCAAGTATTTCAACACGGTGGGTCCTTCATGGCCTCGAGGTTTGTTGCCTTGTGGCCCTTGATCAAACAGAAATCGGTCATCCAGCAGGTGTATTCTCGGATTAGTCTGATGCCGCTCCAACGTGAAACGGTACTGGGAACACCACACCAACTTGTGTTAAATATTCCAAACTACAACTTGAGAACATACGAGTGTATGGTAAAAGTCTTGGTGACGGGCTTACGAGAATGCGGACAGCAAGTTCCTGATCCTGTGGTGAACGAAATCATCCACTTGTGTATCCCGTGTATGGATAACAGCAATGGCACCAATCTTTCGGATGCGTCATTCGGGGAACTGTTTACCGAAACCGCTTGGTTTATCAGAACTAAAATATACGGTATGAACAATGCGGACCTATCGGTGAATGTTCCGCCGGATTTTGTCGGTGGCGGTTCTGGGAAGGTGTACCATTTCCAAGTACCTCTGTTTTAGACCATTGAAGATTTAATCGCATAAATAATGGTAAGATTGGTGTAGAATAACACTTTTACTGTGTTTAGCACATGCTGGAGCTCTGACGAAATGCTGCGGAATTTAGTTTACGCAAAACCTAGCAGTGTGAATGTAAAATAAAAAATCGTGCGGCCAATCTACATATCTTTAGTTTAATTTCTCTATTATTTTTTTAGTAACGGTATTTATGCAGAGGGTAGGTTGAAAGGCCTAGTACTGGTGGGTGTGGATTTCTGGCACGTGTTCAACCTTGACCAATGGTCTGTAAACTGGCTTCCACATCTGGGACTTGACCCATTCCAAACAACCTTCAAAGTCTCTTGGAACCGAAACCTTACCTTCGCTGTTTGGCTTGTCTTCCATCTCAACTCTGGCCGTACCCTCCTTCAAAGACTGCAAGATCACAGCGACAGCAACCTTGGAAGAAACCTCATCGATCTCCTCCAACGGTGGCAACAACCCATTCTTTGGGTTGGTCTTCTTTGGCGACAAAGCAGCCAACTGGTCAACGGCAGCAGACACCATGGTATCAGAAATGGTGGTACATCTGGACAATACGGCACCCAAACCGATACCTGGGAAGGTGAAGCAGTTGTTGTTTTCGGAAATGTAGTAGCCATTGACGGGGGCGAATGGAGAACCGGTAGCAATCAAAGCGTTGTCGTCGGTCCACTTCATAAGATCGGCGGGAATGGCTTCGTGCAACCTGGTTGGGTTAGACAATGGGAACACAATTGGCTGACGGTTGTGCTTGTACATCTCCTTGATAACTTGCTCGTTGAAGGCACCCGCTTGGGTAGAGCAACCAACAATGACGGTTGGCTTCACCTGTCTGACCACCTCAACCAAGTCGCTGGTGTCAACACCCTCCCAGGCCTCAGTGGCATCGGCGTAGGCCATCTGAGCCTCAGATGCCGCCTTGGTACCAGCCATGTTCTGCAAGATCAAACCGTTTCTGTCCATGCAGTGGATCTTAGCTCTGGCTTCTTCGACGGTTGCACCGTGGGTGACCATGTGGTTGACAATCTGGTCGGCAACACCCAAACCAGCGGAACCAGCACCGTAGATGAGCACCTCAGAGTCCAACAACTCGCGGTTAGAAAACTGCAAAGCGGCTGTCATTGAGGCCATAACAACGGCACCGGTACCCTGGATATCATCGTTGAAGCATGGGATCACGTTACGGTATCTCTGCAACAATGGTCTAGCGGTGGAGACACCGAAATCCTCAAAGTGCATCACCGCGTCGGGGAATCTCTTCTTGACGGCCTGGATGAACTTGTCAACGAACTGGTCGTACTCCTCGCCTCTAACTCTTGGGAACTTGTTACCCATGTACAAGTCATTGCTCAACATTTCCTGGTTGTTGGTACCGGCATCGAGAATGACCGGAACAACTCTGCCCGGGTGGATACCACCACAGAGGGTCATCAAGGCCAACTTGGAGATGGAGATTCTGATACCACCAACACCCTGGTCACCAATCCCCAAGATCCCTTCACCGTCGGAAACAACAATGTAGTCGACATCCTTGGCTTCGCCGAAGGCAGCTAATCTCTCCTCAATGGAGTCTGGTTCAGTAATAGACAAGAAACAGCCTTCCGGCTTTCTGAATCTATTAGAATAGGCAGCGATGGCGTCACCTTCGGTTGGGGTGTAGATGATTGGCAACAACTCCCTGATATTTCTTCTGACCAACTCGTAGAACAAAACCTTGTTCTGGACTCTCATGGAGGTACAGAAATCGTTCTTGGCCAACGGAGTCCTCAAGTACTGGAGCTGTTCATGGGCTCTGGCGACCTGTTCGTCCAAGGTATTCACTTTGGATGGTAACAACCCGACTAAGCCGAAGGCCTTTCTTTCCTCAAGCGTAAAGGCGGAGCCTTTGTTGAAAATGGGGGAGTTTAAGAGCTGGAATCCAGTCAAGTCACATTCGATCGGACCGTCAACGGATAATCTGGTGCTCCTTGGCTTTGGGGCGGAATACGCAGCTTCAGCACCCACTGGGGTCTTGATGGTGTGCGTGTGGATGTGGGTGATGGTTCTAGGTGGGGCAGAAGGATCATTCACCTTGATCTGCTCTGGGATCTTCTTGGCACCGCCTCTGGAAGAGGAAGTGGTGGAGACGGAAGAGTTATTTCTCACCTGGTTGAGTAACCTACCCGAGATGGCCGGTTTCAAGAGATTTTGACAATTTCTTGGTCTTGGAGTGAATCTCAACATTGTGTGTTACGTATGATAGCTGTGAAATAAGAAATCGACGGGGAGGATCGCGTAGTTTGCAGCGTAAAAAAGTAGCTAGGGGTGAAAAATGAGGGGAACCTTTTCAAGCTTTGATGCGTAATTGTGGTAGGTAGTATACCTTTGGGCGAATGTTTCAAAATAACAGCTCTATATTCAGTCACTAGATGGGGGGGTACAACAACCTCTTTATATAAATCACTTTTTTTTTTTTTTTCAGCTTCCCCTCTGCGACGGAGCCACGTCTTCCACTGTCGAAATCATTCATGTACTAGTCCAAAAAAACCGGGTACCCAACGCGCGTCTTACACGATCTGCATGGAAAATGCGGTCATGAAAAGGAGAATAGTAATAATGTTCCGGTACTGTGCATATTTTGGTCTAAACGCGGGCGTGTTAGAAGGGTAGCCTCTGAATAATCCCAGCCGCACCACTTTAGACAGAGAATGGCGGGAAAAGTCGGGTTGAGGTGGGAGATACAGACAGTTCTAGTCACGTGGAAGAAAATTCCTGCGCCTCTTTGCTCACGCGGAGATGCACAAGCAAAGTAACACCACTAGTAACCGTAGTGGTTAGCTGTTTTTCCGGTAGGATCATCCGTTGGTCTCAAGTCTGAATCATGGCTTACAACGTGCCAGGTATTTACAGGTCGTTTTTGTATTGACAATACTTCACTTCTAGGCTTTTTTAGGAACATTATCTACTTGGTCTTTTCGATGTTTGAGACGGAGGGTAGAGGCATACGCGGGGTGGTGAGTACTATTGCGGGTGAAGCGGCATTTAACGTGGAAATATGTGGAGTGAGGGGAGAAGACAGGAGAGGGGTACGCCAAATGCCAACATCAAAAACCCCGTGTAGCTGCTGCTCACGTGCACCTTGACAGCTTAGAGAGGGGAACCGCCCCGTTTCCATACCAGAGCATAATTATCATTTTTTAGCGAAAGTCTCTATCTATCCCTGTCAGCTTGACTCGTCGGATGAGGGATTCCCTGTCGTTAAAATTCTCGCAAAACCGCTTTTAAAGTTATGGTCACTAAAAGTTTTCCGATTTACTGTTTAGTGGATTGGCACTTGTTCCACACAAGGGCTACTATTAACAAGCCCAATGCTCAGCGTCGACCGTATATGGAATATCCGACATAAAAAGATGTTTGTATGGGTAAAATCGGGATGCCGTGAAAAGGTTTTCATGCATGATCGAGTGATTAAAATTTGATAACGTGATGGGAGGTGAAATTTCGAATATTTTTCGCCATCTTCCGTGCGGCACTTAATTCTTCCCTCCTCCGATTATCCAAAAAAAAGTTCATCCGGTAGTGTGCAGGAGTGCAGCTCATCTCCGGCACCGCTCTGTGTCAATAAGTGAAGGGTCTTTTCGGCAGGTCCACACATACCAAGGCCGTTGCCGGTAGTTACTGTTTGCACCTGAACACTCGCCACAAGCGTTCTTGCTCCATCCATATAGAAGATTTCAAGAGCATAATCAAAGAACAGAGAGAAGTTAGAATTATTGGGAGCATTAGATGTCATCCCTGTTATTGGTAGGGTAAAGTAGGCATCTTTGAAAGCGCGGGAAACATGTCTCCTGCAAATTACGTTGGGGAGGGTGCGAAAAATACTTATACATGTGCGTATGAAAATCTTCAGCGTACAATGCAGACATGATACTAGATGAGTATTGTAATTCGCTACCTATATATCGAATTACATCGTCGAAACGGTAATTCACATATCATTAGTTATAGATTTACAGATAAATATACTTCGGTGTTTATATGTATAGTTTCTATGACTTACTTGAAAGTTATGATTATGACATATACATGATATCACCGTAACTTATCTTATGGATCAACATTTTAAATATTAAAGGCATAAAATTGAATGACAACCGAGAAATATATGCATACCAACACTAAAACTCTGTAGAACTCTCAATTTCTGACTACACATGTATATAAATACGGCAGGCATATATATAAGTGTTATAACAATAACCATTAGTATAGCTAGTACAAGTGAATTTTCCAAGAGTACTGGACGTGGCGGTGGGTGGTAAATTTGTAACGAATTTTTAGAGCTAGCAGGGTGACTTGAATAAAACAATTTTGATATATAACAGGAACAATGGAGGTAATTATGTACAAGCGAATAATCCAAAATATACACAGGAACTGAGAACCCAGAGAGGAAAACAGGAAAAAAAGTAGAGAAAAGAAAGGAACCTTAAGTGAAGCGACGATACGAAGTTGCCAAAGCCACCACTTGGTTAACCCAGGAGTGCAGAACAGCAATTTCCATTAGTCGTATTCTTAGTGTACAGTTACTTTTTTCAGGTGAAAACACAGTTGTTTTAGCCCTTAAAAGTCATCATCGCGGGAAGACTTGCGGTTTCTGGAAAAACCACGGTCCTTATTGAAACCACCTTCCCTTGGAGCACCTCCGTCTCTGAAGGAAACACGATCCTTGTTAAAACCACCATCTCTGAAGGAACCACGATCCTTGTTGAAACCACCATCTCTGAAGCCACCTCCTCTCTTGAAGCCATCTTTAGACTTGTAGGACGGGGCATCATCGGAGCCAAAGTTGTCAAACTCGAACTTTCTGCCACCCTTTTTGTTGGCACCGTCATATCTGTCAGATCTCTGGGCACCACCATCGCCGTTGTACCGACGACCCATTGGGGAGCGCTGGGCACTGCCTCTGAGGTTATAGGAGTTGCCTTTGTTGTTACCACGCTTCTGGAGGTTTCTCATTTGCATCAAGACGGCTTGTGGAATTCTTGGGGAGCCCTCGAGGCCCATCTTGGTCCATTGCTCACTCAATGTCTCCATCATGGCGTTGGCATCCAAACGATAATTCTGGATCAAGGAGAAGTAAAAGCCGTAAGAGGCGGAGATCATACCACGACATTCATCGTTCAACTCATAGTCCTTAGCGTTGAAGTTGGTGATCATTTCCTGCAAGGCAACGTTCGGCTGGCTTTCGATTCTGTTCTCGAACTTAATCTTAACCCGGGCCAAGGCATCGACATACTTTAACTCGGCGTCAGCCAAGAAGGTAACGGCGGCACCACTCTTACCAGCTCTGGCAGTTCTACCGATTCGGTGGACGTAGTTGGCGGTCTCGGAGGCCATGGAGACCTGGATAACGTGGGTGACGTCTGGGAAATCCAACCCTCTGGCACCAACATCGGAGGTCACCAAGATGGTTTTGGAGAGGTTCTTGAATCTCTTGACAGCTTTGTCTCTACCGGTCTGGGACATCTTACCGTGGTAACCGATACAGGAGAAACGCAAGTTTTCTTCTCTCAAGACCATGTGCAAGATGTTACGGTAGTAGTCGACACCCTTGACGGTTGGTAAGAAGATGATTGGCTTGAATGTATTTGGATTTTCGGCAATCTGCTGGAGGACAAAGTTAAAGGAGGCAATCATGGATTCGTACATGCCCTCGGAGGTGACCAAAGTCTGTTTGATCAACTCGTGGGTTTCCGGTTCGTTGGTGTCGACGGTGTTGATGTAGGTGAATTCCTTACCCATAAGGTCCTGGGCAAAGTTGGTAACGGTCTTATCAATAGTGGCTGAGAATAACAAGGTACGAATGCTTTGTTCTTCGGTATTGATGGAGGTCAAGATCTTGTCAATTTGCAACAAATCATCTTTGAAACCAATATCCAATAACCTATCAGCTTCATCCAAAACCTTGTACTGCAAACCCGCGAAAGCTCTGCGTACAGAAGGCTCACTCAACATGTCGATCAATCTGCCAGGGGTGGCGACAATCATGCTCGGTGGTTGCCACGAGTTGAAGTGGCTGAGCTGCTTGCCTCTCGAGTCACCACCAACCAAGGCTTCAATCTTTAAGGTCTTCTTCAACAACGGAGAGTTCATCTTGACCTTGTTAAACTCTTCTCTGATCTGGAAAGCCAAATCTCTGGTTGGGGCAATGATCAATGAGTGGACACCGGTGATGGCCTTCCTGTCTCTTGGATCCTTGTCCTTGAGCATCTTGAACTGCTGGTTCAACAATGGGATACCGAAGGCCAAGGTCTTACCGGTACCGGTCTTGGCTCTGGCCACCACACCCTGCTTGTTTTCCAAAATTGGTCTCACGGTCTTCTGCTGGACTGGAGTCAAAGTATTGAAGCCACATCTCTTAAGAGCATCAATGAGGTGGGTATCGATCAAACCGTCCTTACCCAAGGAGCCGATAGAGTAGTCTTCGACATCAACCGGAGCAACTGGCTCGGCCTCAGCCGCCGGCTTAGTTTCAAGAGGAGTGGATGGGACAGTCTCTTCAACTGGTTTAGACTCGATTGAGGTAGTTGGGATCGCCTTTTCTGGGATCGAGGAGTTGTATCTGGCGGTGGCGACAAGCTTATTTGGGGCTATTGGAAACCTTAAGGATCTCGAACCGGTTGACCCTAAAAGACCACAAAGTACCTTCTGCATGTTGCGTTATATGTAATTTGTTTAAGGGATACGGAAACAAATTAAGCCAGGATAACGTTTATTTAACGCCTCTATTTAGTATGAAAAAGTTTTTCAGAGTTTGAATGTACAGGAAAAAAAAAAAACGAAAAAGCAAAAATGCTTGGAAGACGAGCCGCACGGGAGCCGCAGTATACGATGTAGCCTCCTGGTTGTATTTATAGGATGAATGAAGTTTGATATTTCCATTGGTAATTTGGGGTACCTTTGCTGGAAGCTGAATAATTAGGATTGATAATTTGGTTATTTTTCGTATGTCAATTTTGGAATTTATCGGTACTCAAGAAATTCACCCTGTTGTGTTGGGTCAAACGTCAAAGTATTACCACATTGGCGGTAAGGCAGGCGGGGGTCTATTTCTACTGGTGTTTTTGATTCCAACCCGTACTTATTATACTAGCTTTAAAGCGTAGTACCACATTATGGGCAACTATCCAGACAAGGTGGACGATATCGAAGATTTTGGCGCGGTCTCAGCAGCTATGGGGTGGGCCTTAAGATACCTTCTCTTTTCCTCTTGGAGCTGAGCCTTCAGCGAGAGAAAGGTGGACGGCGGGAAATGTAGCTTATCGCCGAACGTCCTCTTGAGGAACCACTTCAACCGAGAGCTAGTGAAAATCGACGCAGTCAACAAATCCGACGCCGCACCCATGGTAAGCGTGCTCATCTCGTCGCTGATGGCGGTGTTGACTTCCTCCTGCGTCGGGCTGTAGCCGCCTTCAAACTTAAGCCTACTCACAATCTTCTTGAGTCGCATTTCGATGGACGTGATCTGCTTCGGAGTAGGGGCCCTCTGGCGCCATTGCATGCCAAAGAAGCTGCTGGCGCCCATTTCGTGCTTTAAGATCTCGTCTAGAGGTTTGTCGAAGAGGACCATGCGGTAGTGGAACTTGGCCCCTGTTGGGGCATGGCGCGGAATCTCCCGCACCTCCGTTAAATAGTATCTGTTTTTCCAGGCACCGTCCACTTTAAAGTCCTCTCGCTGCAACCGGAAGTACCGTCCAGTCTTTCCGATCGAACGCACCCACGAATCGAGGTTGACCCGCACCCAGTGGTTCCTCGACTGGCGGATGAGCTCCTCGTCCGAGCTGTTGTTCTTATTGGCCGCCAGCATGAAGGAGGCAAACCCCTCAAACGTTTCCATCTTCACCTTGTTTAGTGCTAGCGCCGCCAACTCCGTCTTCTCGCGCTCCATCACAGCGAGTTCAACCATCTCGGCCATCGTCATGTCTGTCACTGATGCCGATGGATCTAAGCCAGCAAGCGTGGGGACGGAGATGAGCCCATTTCCGTTGACCCCGACAAAGTCTACTACATGGCAGAAGCTCTTCCCTTCGTGCAAGCGTAAGCCGCGGCCGATGATTTGGAGGAGGAGCGGTTTGGATTTGGTAGGCCGTGCAAGAAAGATGGAGTCGATGTTAGGAATATCTGTCCCCTCGGTGAACACGCCACAGTTGAGCAATACCGGAATTTTACCCGCCTTGAAGTCCTGCACTATCTCGCCGCGGTACTGCGACTTTGTCTTGCCCGTCACGTATTGCGCGTTGATACCCTTGCTCTGGAAGGTGTGAAAGAGCGATTGGACGTGCGCCACATCCACGCAGAAGATCAAAGTCGACCGCAACCGGTTCTTGACAGCTAGGTGCATGTATGTCTTGAGGATGAGCTCGTTCGTTGCATCGGTGTTCATGTGCTTCGCAAGACTCGAAATGAGGTAGTCTTTTGACTTGCCAACTTTGACTTGGGACATGTCGGCCGCGGCATTAGTAACAGTGGTGAACTTTGCGTCACAGAGCCAGTTGTTGTCAATCATTTCCATGACATCGCGGCGGAAGACGATCTCGTCAAACACTCCCTGTAAGCTCATTCCGTCGTTGCGCTCAATGGTGGCCGAGAAGCCCACTACCGCCACAGGCGAGTTGCTCAGGTTTGCTTGGAAGTGACTGAGGATGCGTTCATACGACTTGGATGAAGCGTGGTGACATTCGTCGATGATGATCATTTTATAGTCTCGCGGGTTGTACAGCGCCAACCGGTCGTTCTTCAACGTCCATACTGAGGCCACGGTGATATCAGCCGTGTGGGTCGACTTCAGCGCCCCCATGTCAATTTCAACCTTGCTATCGGGGATGCTCAGCTGGCAGTGCTTGGCGGCCTGGACGGCTAGCTCCTTGCGGTGCACAAGCACCAACGTTTTGTGTCCATAGCCCTTACTTGGCACCACTTGCGAGATAAGGTGGGAAAAAATGACTGTTTTACCACCCCCAGTGGCTAACGAAACCGCAATGCGCCGCTTACCCGTGCCCAAGGCTCCAAGGCAATCGTCGATACACTGTTCCTGGTAATCGCGTAGCGCGAGCTTTTGGAATCGCGCCAGGACTAGCGAGAAGTATCTCGATAGGGGGCGATTTGTACGGCATATGAATGAAGGTAGACAACGCATATAACCCAACATTTGAAGGGATCTATCGGGTTAAAGGCTCATAAGGGTGTGTATCAGCAGAGAGGCCCACCAATAAAGTACCTTTTATGCGATAGATCATGTTTGGTAGTCCTGCATGTACGCGCTATATAGAGTTTCATTGTCACGTAGGCTAGTAGACCTACCAAAGAACCTTACATAGGTTGGAAGACCACTTTAAAACCCCAGTCAGGGTACCTCAATAGAAACATGACAAACAACTCATGACACTCTTAGTAGTTATGAAATTTGAAATAACCGCGCCATATCTCATGGATGGGAAGAGCGCCTGTTTCACATGCCCCAGCATTGTCTTAATGAAGAACCAAACAGGTTACGAAAAAAAAAACACCCATCTTCTTTCCTTTATCCTTATATTCGAAGATTGACTTACTAGCTTAAAGTCTAGTAAGTCGATTCGTCCTTTAAACGACAGCCTACCTCTGCACAATATCTTTTCTTCAAACTCACGTGACTGTAGCAACACGTGACCATACTGTATACGCAATATCAGAGACAGGCGAAAGCAACGTGTCTCTCCACTCGTGTTTTGATTCAATCCTCACCCGCCATGAGACTCTTGCCGTTCATCTTAACGTTGGCTTGCTGGCTACACTATGTCTCTGCAGATGAGGCCGAAAATGCGTCGAACCACACAAACAACTGGGCTATCATCGTGTCAACGTCGCGGTTTTGGTTCAACTACCGCCACATGGCGAACGCGCTCAGCATGTACCGCACAGTGAAGCGCTTGGGGATCCCAGACTCGCAGATCATTCTCATGCTTTCCGATGATGTTGCGTGCAACCCCAGAAACGCCTTCCCCGGTGCTGTCTTCAACAACGCCGACAGACAGTTAGACTTGTACGGTGACGCCATCGAGGTGGACTACAGAGGCTACGAAGTGACGGTGGAGAACTTTGTCAGATTGTTGACTGACCGATGGGGCCCCGAGCACCCGAAGTCCAAGCGTTTGTTGACAGACGAGCGGTCCAACATTTTCATCTATTTGACCGGCCACGGGGGCAACGAGTTCTTGAAGTTCCAGGATGCGGAGGAGATCAGCTCCTACGATATTGCGCACGCGTTTGAGCAGATGCACGAGAAGAGGCGCTACAACGAGATCTTCTTTATGATCGACACGTGTCAGGCCAACACGATGTACTCGCGCTTCTACTCGCCAAACATTTTGGCTGTGGGGTCGTCCGCCTACGAGGAGTCCTCGTACTCCCACCACTCGGACACGGATATCGGGGTGGCTGTCATCGACCGCTTCACTTACTTCAACCTTGAGTTTTTGGAAAAAATCGAGAAGAACTCCTCCCAGACGATGTCGGACTTGTTTGCTTTGTACACATTTGAAAACATGCACTCCAATGCGGGGATTAGCACCGACGCCTTCCCGCGCAACCTTTCCGAAGTGAAGATAACTGACTTTTTTGGCAATGTCCAGACTGTCGCAAAGGATGAATCGCAAGATGACATCTTGTACATGCTCAACCACGACGAGAGCGGCACCTACATCGGTCAGTCAGAAACCGTCACGCCCAGAGCTATTCATAGTGGCACGGCTGTGATCAACGCCGAGTTGGCCGCGTCCAAGCTCTCGAGCAGCAACACCGCCGTGAGTCTTTTATCATTGGCCGGCTTTACTGCCATCTGGTACTTTGCCAGCTACAAGTTGAAGTTGTAAAAAAAAAAAACGTGGTTTAAATAATAAATGGATTATGCGAGATTACTCTCATTTGCGAGACTGCTTTCGGAATAGTTACGAATAAAATACACCAGATATAGAAGGAAGAGTTGACCATGCCATAGCAAGCATGCTGACTCGTATAGGTGTTTTTAGCTCCCCTTAAGACAGAGATTCATTAATTATACACGCAAAATCCCGGGCTGCAATACCAGGTTTGTAAATGGAGAGTTGCAAATACGTCATATTACCGGTAATTGTGTCAAAATCTCCCCTCAAAAAAGATGGTAGCTACTTGTACACGTTAACCACACCCGAACGATCCACTGAGATGATCAACTCAGTCGGCCGCAATATAACCCCTATTCCGGTAATCACATCCCGATGCGCTCTGAGAATACTGAGCTGGTCCTTGCTGACGATACTAACCGGGGTCTTCGCCACGGACCTCCGACCTTGGGATTCCCGTTCGTTTGTCGTGACTCTAAGCGACACGCTGACCTGGTTACTGGTGACTCGCATGTCGCCACCAATATGTTTGGAGCCGGACGGATCACTGGCGTTCCAGCATGTGACAGTTGTGGTACCTGTGAGCACAAACGACGTCTTGGTAGCCCCATCTCGTGCCTCAACAAGACAGAGTGACGTGTTGCTTTTGTCTCCCTCTAGGCTCAAAGAACCCAAAGCATCCACAGACGAGTAGTCGAAACACTTGACGGGGTCAATTTCCACCACGTTGTACAGCGCTTCGCCGCTAGTAAAGGCTTCACCGCTGGTGAAGACCTCGCGGCACTGGAGTCGGTTTATATCCCAGATAGTGGCCTCGGGTGCCCCAGTACCACCCACAAGCGTCACATACCTACCCTTGCGGCGGTCAACGGTGAAGTCGCGTGCACACGGCATGAGCTTCCGGATAGGAAAGCCCTGGGGGAACCTCCAGCATTTGGCGAGCGTTTCGAAGCGCAAGTCCCACAAACTGAGCACGCCTTTGGCGGTCCCAAGTAAGATCCACGTCTTCCGAGGATCGACACAGAAGGCAGTGGTGTTGCCAAAGGTGAGGGGGTTCGTGAAAGTCCATTCGATCTCCATGGTGATGGCGTTCAACCCACAGACCTTGCCATTCTGCATCGCAAGCACTAGCAATGGTTTCTTGGAGACAAGAAACTCCATACCAACCACGGGCGAGTCCTCTGGCTGCTTGTACCGCCGGATGACCGCGACGCGGAACGCGCGTGGGGCACTGTCCTGCTCGACACGGAAGATCACGATATCGCCCGAGGCCGTGGCGGCCGCGAAAACGTCGCGGCCGTCGAGGAAGCAAAGCCAGCGCACGGGCGAGTCGAGGAAGATGGAAAATGACGACCGTCCCGTGATGTTGCGCTCGAGGAACGCCGCGTCCCAGATCTTGATGTATCCATCGTCGCTGCCCGTGACAAAATAGCTCTGGTCGCCGCTGACGGCCACGACATTGACCGTAGATATGTGCTCCGTGAGGTGTGCCACCAATGTGCCCTTCGGCGACCACTTGACATTGGTGGCATGGCTGACCCCGGTACGGGTGGACCCAAACTCAGGAAACTCGTCGAGAGTGGGGACGAAGCTGATCTTGGCCAAATACTTGGTGATATGGGCATTCTTTCCACTGTACGTGTGTACGACTGTGGGTGGCGATATGCTTTTGGGGCGATGCCCCCGCTGGACGTTCGCCGACCGGCTGAGACTACCGTAGACTAACTCCTGGTTCATCTGGGAGACCGGAGCCGACAAGACGGAGCCAAGCACGAGCGAGCCCCCACTCTTCACAATGGCACGCTGGCGCTCGGGCTTGAGCTCGTAAACGAGCTTCGACTCGCTGGAGAGGCTGACGGACGACTCGGAGAGATCAAGCGAAAAGGACGAACGGTACACTTCCGGTTCAAACTGGTCCGCCGAATGAGTCTCGAAAAAGACATTTCGCGGGAGAATGCCCATACTCTGGATGTCAATGGTGCCAACCGGGTTATCCGACGGGAGACTCAACCGCGCAACCTTGTATACATAGTCCTTCAACCTAACCACCTTCCAGAGGTCTTCCTCACGCATCCCCGACGTCTTCAAGCGCTCTACCCAGGTTTTGTCCTCCTGGGACAACGGAATGTCCCTGTTTTTGGGCGCGCTGCCGGGCTCCAGTCCGTCCCAGAACAACGTCTTCTTCGTCTTCAATGACCACGACAAGGCGAGATTGTAGACCGCACGTGACAAGGGTCTCTGGCAGCACGGATACAACGTGTTCCAATCGAACGTGGTTACGTCGTGCTCCAAGTATGGCCGGATGAGCGGGTAGAGGAAGCAGTAAACATCTGCCGCGTCCGCATTGCGCGCAACCGTGACCGCTAACGCCAATGCGGCCTGGCGGATCCACTCGTTGGGGTGTAACACCAAGCGGAAACAGCTGCTGACTAAGCCCCACCGTTCGCGCACCATGCCCAATGCGACAAAACGCGCGAACGCCTGGATCGCACGCACCACCACCAACTCCTCGAGATCGATCAACGCCTGCACGAGCAACGGGAGGATGTACTGCTCGAGGCTGACAACGCCGGTGTAGATGGCGATACCAACGATGCTCTCGACGAAACATACCCGCAACTGCGGGTTCTTGTCGTTCAAGTAGGTGATGAGGTGGCTCAAGACAATGTCGTTTGTCTTGTCCTTACCGAAGAACTCACAAAGCGGGAGAATGTTGCGGAGCAAGGCTATCTTGACCCCCGCGTCGCTGTCTGTCAATACGCGCACGGCCAAGTTACCAAACTCGTCCACAAGCGTGTCGTACGAAAGACTGGACTCGGAAACACCGTTCTCAGACTCAGGGTCCGCCTCAACCAAAACATTTGCCTGTAGCACGCGCGCCAGGTGGTAGAAGCGCTTCGCAGCGACCGAGAGGTGCGGCAAGCACGCGGCGAACACCATCCTCACGTACTTGTCCGAGCGGTTCCAGAAGGAGACTAGGCGAGGGAGAATGTACTCAGGGAAGATCTGCACGTTTGTGGGCGTGATGGTTGCAACGGTGAGGAGGAGCTGGGTGAGCGCGCGTAACGCCGCGGCTTGGACGTCTATGCACGCGTCATCGAGAAGCGCCATGAGGTACGGAAGGCATCGGTCGAGCTTTGCCTCATCGTGCACGTGCTCACCGAGAGCTATCACCAAGTCGCAGCCCTGGCGTCGGAACGCCGCGTGACTGGTATTGCGGATGGAGGTGAAGATGACACTCAAATAGAGTAGTGCTGCCTCGCCCGCATTAGCGGGCCGGTTCGTGGGGAGGCGTTCAAGGGGAATAGCGGGCAAGCGAACTGGCAGATCCGTGCTGCCGCGCAAGTTTGTATTTGCGCGTGGCGTATACACCGCCACCCCCGGCATCTTCAACTTCACTGGGATCGCCGTATTCGTAAACTCCATCTCCACTGCGTTCTCCCCCACCTTTTCTCTTTCTCCGCCCAACCCCAAACAATACGCAATCTTGTCATAATCCAGAAACATTTTTTCAATCCTGTAGTCGCACTCCTCCATGCCGCGTTGTGCGCCATCCGACAAGCTTTTGAGATACTCGTAGGTGAAGGAAGCGAAGTGAGTAGGAAACGCGCGTGCACTCAAGTATTGTTCTGCCGAGAGTCGCTCACTCGGCTCGCGACTGATCATGCTCCGCACTAAGCTTCGGATATCGTCGTCTTCAATGTCCAACGGCGGTACGTATTCCCCTCGCCGGTACTTGTAGAGCTGGGCTAAGGTGAAGGTTGGGGCACCGTCCTGGAACAACTCCGCGATGACGCACCCGAGACTGAACACGTCCATCGCTTCGGTAACCCCCCCAACCTTGCCCATTGCCTCGTCTGGCGCAAAGAAGCGTTCGGGCGCGACGTAGCACGCACGCCGCTGCGATGTGTCGAAGAAGAAGGAGAATAAGCTTGGGTCATCCTCCGGAAGATATGCTGGCTTGAACGGCGCAAAGTCTGTGAGCAATGCCCAGTTCCATGTGGTTACCAATACATTTTCCGTCTTGATATCGCCGTGCACCGCGCCGCGGGTGTGGCACGCGTATAGCGCGCGGAGTAACTGGTACGCGATCCACTTTTTCTCGATCGTCTCTAAAAATGGCCGTGTACTCAAACGGTCATAGAGATTAGTACGGCAGTACTGGCGGATCAAATAGGCCGCACGTGGCGTGTCGATAACGGCCGCGTACGGAACGACACTCGCGATGCCCAGCAAGCGTGCGCACTGGTCCGTGAGTTGTTTGACCCAGTCCAGCAAACTGGCACCATTCTGTTTGACCAAAACCTTCACCACAACGCTGCCCGAGGCGTCCAACGCCTTGACTGTCTTCAAAAACCGCGCGTTGCCAAGCAGCTTCACGTACTGCACATCCTCCAACGCCTCCACGTAGGACGAGATGGCAATGCCCGGCGCTGCTGGAGCGAGCAAAGACGAATTGATCCCCATTAGATGATTATAGGGTAGATGGGAGTGGTGTAGAAGTGTGTTGGGGAAGAAAGAAACACAGACGGAAAAATACGTTAATGTTCTTATCGGCGTCTCCGCAAAATCAAAATCGCGAAAAATATCGGGCCGAGCAGGGAATTGAACCCTGGGCCACTCACACCCAAAGCGAGTATCATACCACTAGACCACACGGCCGATATATGTGAGACAAGTGTTAGGACAATGATAGAACAAAGATGTAGATGTACGTTTAACCCCCGCAAGCTTGGTTGGGTATCACATATAGAATCTACGGTAGTATCGATCAAGGAGGGGTGAGAACTGAACTACGATCAATGAAGTTGAATGTTATAGCATATCTAGGAGATAAATACCTCAATCAACGGCAGGAACTCCAGGGTTATCATCATCCGTAGAATCACATAGAGGTCTACATGGCTTACGTACAAAATAATAAAAACCTACGTTGAATTGCAAAAATTAGCGTTGTGTATATTAATCAATAAAGTACGGTTGTATAGCTACGAGCGCACAAGCTTCGCTAGAAAGGAAGGGCAAATCCTCACTGTCCGAAGTTTCATGGTCCTTCAGACACGTGCAACCGTTAACACATAATGTGGTTTTATAAATCTAAAATTTCTTCATTTCGTCCACCACCAACTTATTAAACGCCTCTACATTATCGAGATAAATGTGGTGGCCGCAGTCGGGAACTTCCACGACCGTGCTCTGGTGGCCCGTCTGCTCATTGATCAATTTGCTGCACAACTCGCCGCCGTGGACATCCATCCAGTCATCTTTTCCGTAGACCCAGGTGTAATCGCAGTTGATGACATCACGCCTCTCCGCCATCTTCTGGGAAAGTCGCTCTAGCAACGGAAATCTGGGGTTGGCACCGGCTGCCAACACGTAATTGAGAATATATTCCCCTGAACCCTTGGCATTGAAGATCCCGTACGTGTATTTGTGCAACTTCTGCTTCTCAAACAAGCTCGCAAGCTTGGAGAAGCGTCGGTAGGTCCACCCACTGACAAAGAGCGAGCCGAGCGGACCGGTTTTGCGCACCAATACAAAGGGCGAGATGTTTTTGTTCCACAAGTAGTCAAACCAAGCCGGAACCGGTTTCGGCGTACGGTGCTTGATGATCCCGGCCGGTGACACCATCATGAGCTTCTTGAACCGTTTGGGGTAGGCCATGCAGTAAGTTGCGGACAAATAGGCTCCCAAGGAATGTGAGCAGCACAAGATATTTTCGGGATTCGTCAAGCCACGCTGGACACGCCACTGCTCAAACGAGTCGTGAAACCAACTCTCGGTGATCTCCAACTGCTGGCTCTGGTCCTCGACTTTGGGATAGTGAAATTCCGGTCTCGACGAGCACCCGTACCCCAAAAGGTCAATCGCGTGGACCACCCATGGCTTCAGGCCAGCCTCAAACCCGCTGGACAAACCCTCAAAGTTCTTTAAGAAAAATCCCAAGCCCGCGCCGTAGCCGTGCACCACGACCAAGTGATTCAAGTCTGCGAAATCAGCCTCCGTTTTGCCCGGGGGGTAGATGCAGAACTCGTTAATGTAGTCGGTGGCCCTTGGAGCGCTAATTCCGTACACCGGAACCAGCAATACCTTGGCGACGCGCCCGGTAGCATCCATCTCTGGATAGAAAGGCAACGTCGAGAGCAACTCATCCTGAAACCGTAAAACCTGGTGGCGGTCCTTATAGTCTCTGACGGATTCGGCTACGGAAAGCGGAAACGAGTTTGACAAGAGCTTTGAGAACGGCACCCCCGTCGGTTGGGTGGGCCTTTTGTAGTGCGATGACGAAATCTGGTCGTCTCTGACGTTAAAGACTTCGTTTCTAATGGCGTCCCCGAAACTGCTTTCCCTCCATTTTCTGGCGAGCTGTGGGAGTTGCCCGGAGATTTTTCCCAACTGGCTCAAGATACCGCCGAGATTGTTAAACGGGGCCGAGGAGGAGTTGCATAGTTTGGTGTATGTGTGGAAGGTTCGCGTGGGTCTCCAGTTCATGGTGTGTGTATGCCTTTTTAGAGCGGTATAACAGCCATCCAAAAGGATGAGACGAGATGCGATGCTTTACGGGTTCAGGTAACAATAGGTGTGTCCCAGAGTGGTGAAAATGTAAACAGTGCCTAAAATAAGAAAAAGATCGATGCCAGTGGAATTAAAGATGTCTGTGCAGGTTGAATGAGTTTCTTTTTTTTGGTTTCCCCAGCAAACGTGACCTAGGAAAGTGCAGGGGATGTCATGCGTTAGGACTGAGTGTTGGGACTGAGTGTTAGGTGAGATCTAATTTCTTTGTGATATGGCACCTGGGACAGCCCCAGGTAGGGCGAACTCTGACTGACCTTATTTAGTGAGGTAGCTACGGAATAGATATCAGTGTACACCTACCCCCCGATACACTAACAAAATGCGAGTTAACGGACGGGACCATAGATCCTGACAAGACTGTAATCGAAGCGCCGATACCAATCCTTTAAACTATTTAAGCTAATCGAGAATTGCCATCTATAACCAACACTGTGTCAGCCTCAGGAAAATACTGATAATGACCCCGCTACTCCATTATTATAGATGATTAGATTAATTATATAAAAAAGGAACAAAAACTAGTTACGTGCGTACAACGCATCTACTTCCGTCTGAACGCTCTCCAATATCTTCTTTCTCTGCAACTTTTGGGCAGAAGTGACAAAGCCGTTCTGTGGGGTCCACTCTTCATCGACCAACACAATCCCGACGAGTAACTCAATCCCAACCAAGGCCTGAGACTTACCGGTCTTCAACAAAGAGTCGGTGACGGCCTTAGACAACTTTTGGTTCGCGCACAACTCGTGCATTTCGACAGACGTCACGTCGCTGTACAACTTCAAGTCAGTGGCCAACTGGCGGATGGCCGGCTCGTTTGGAACCACAATCCCCATTGGCTTAGAGTGGTTGGCGTCGGCGTAGCAGCAGATGTTGATGACATTGGTGTTGGAACGGTAGATGGACTCCAACTTCTCCAACGCAATGTACTCACCGTTCAAGGTTTTGACCAAGTTCTTCTTTCTGTCGACGAGCTTCAAGTACCCGTTTGCAGTCCACTCACCGATATCACCGGTGCAGAACCAGCCCTCGGAGTTGAAGGCCTTACCGGTCTCCTCCGGGTTCTTGTAGTACTCCTCGGTGACGGCCTTACCTCTGATTAAGACCTCACCCTGGTTGTTCTTGGCGAAGTAGCCCGCCTCGGCGACATCGATCAACTTGACGGTGATGGAACCGGTGACGGCACCGGCCACACCCTGCACAAAGTGCGCCGGATCGACCAAGGTGGTATTAGCACAGGTTTCGGTTAACCCATATCCGAGAAGCATCGGACAGATCAAGGTGGAGATGAACTTCTGGGTGTCGGCGGAGATTGGGGATCCACCGTTCATGGTCAATCTTAATCTCCCACCGGTTGCCAGCTTCACCTTCTTGAAGATGATGTTGTCAATGATGCCGGTACCTGGGATTCCTTTCGCGGTCATCGCGTTCTTGGTCTTGTAGGCCCCCCAGAATACTTTCTGGGCATAGCCTGGTTGCTTGGCCACCTGGGCCAAGATCCCCTTCTTGACGGACTCCCAGACAGCGGCTACACCCACCATCATGGTTGGTTTCAACACCTTCATGTCACCCTCGCAGTTGCGCAAGGAGGCGTCTGTCAAGGTCTTGACGGTAGCATAACCCAAAACGGCACCCCAGTAGAAGGTCACCAACTCAAACACCATCTCAAAGATGTGTGCTAACGGAAGGAAGGCAATCACGGTGTCGTCGCAGGTTACATTCTTGTTATCCACGATTCCGGAAAGGCCGGCAATACCAGCAATGATATTCTCGTGCTTCAACACCACACCCTTTGGCGCACCGGTGGAACCAGAGGTGTACATGATACAGGCCAAGTCTTCCGGCTTTGGTGGGTTGGTCGGGATAGAGTCGCCGGCGTCACGCCCCAACTGAATAACTTCGTCGAACGACATAATAACCAACTTCGGGTTCACCTCTTTGAGCTTGGCCACGGCATCTGCGGCGTCCTTGTACATCTTTCCACCGTGTCTCTTGTCGGACTCGAGGATCGGCTCGGAGTGAATGATATATCTGATTGCCAGACATTTCTTGACCGGGTTGATCAAGGTACCCAAGAGCGCATTGTCAGTGAACACACCGACGGAGCCGGTCTGCTCCAAGGAATGGATCAAGCCGGCCTCGCCCAAGGTGTCGTAAGCGGTGACCACAGGGATACCCTGGGTCTGCGCCGCGAGGAAGGAGGACATCCACTTGTAGGAGGTCCCAGCGTAGATGTGGAAGCGTTCGGCCTGGTTTGGCTGTAAACCCAACTTGATCAACCCCTTCCCGTAGTTGTGGTAGAGCGAGCGGAACTCATTGAAGGTGATGTACTTGTACGGAGTCAACTCGTAGTACAACCAATCCTTGTCAACCTGGACCTTCTCGCCGTCCACGATCTTGGTAATTTTTTTGGTTTCGACGTGCACGTCAATCAAGTCTCTGTAGCCGATGGCGTTGTTGTTGCCATGCGTCGCCATCGCCTCGTCTGCGAATTCAAACACGGTGCGCGATTTGTAGCCGGGTGGAAGGGTTATCGGGGCATCCTTATACTTATAGTATCTTCTTGGAGCAGTCTCACCTGGCTGGGCTTCGCCCACAGGCACTGTAACTTGGAAAACCATGTTTAATTAGAAAGGGGAGGAGAGAGAGGAGGGGGGGCAAAGAGGGATTGGGAAAAAGTGGCGGGCCCCTGTTTATATACGTGCAGCAAACAGAATTCGTTGTTGGGACGCCTTGGGCAGGGCGTGCGTGGACTAAAGCTTGGATCGGCGCCGGGGTCAAAGGGGCGGTTCTGAGCAGAGGCTAAGATTAGTGTATGCAGATTGTTTCTCATGTGCAAGAGACAATAGATGTACACTGCGAAGCGAGTCGTAAGACCCAGGCCTGAGGTGGAACAGGGTTCAGGTGATTCTCTTATACATAGCTTTCTAAGTGCCCGGTAGGTGCCCGTTGGACCGTCGTGACATGAATTTTGTGGCATGTAGGAGGGCTAAGGCCTTGGGCCATGAGGGGAAGCAAAATAAACTTTTGGTTATGACTAAATTCTCATTTCTGTCTGCTTAAGGACAGAAGAGAGTCAAAACGTGAATTTCCGGAATGACGAGCCTCGTCATTACAGCCTACAGATTAAGGTTGGAGCTTTAGCTTTCCGACATGTGACATGCCAAGTACGAGTAAAATTTCCGCCAGGTCGTGCGACAGTGTGAAGGTTTTACAACCTCTGTTAAATTGGGCTTAGCCATGACAAGTGATTGCGTGGTGTCGGGGCAAAACCGATACCTTTACTAGATGTCAATTCTCTGCTAAACGTAGATCATCAGCAAAAGGCCTCAATTGCCAAGAGCCCCTCAAGTACCGGGTTAAATTTGCATGTGAAAAGGCGGTGCCTTTTTGCCCCTATAGCTCGTCTCGCATGGTCTAATTCACAAAGAATACAGGTGGCTGCCAGACGACGATCCTAAAGGGCAGATCTGAGGTGGCCGTACAGATTATGAGCCCTCAGTTCACGCCCATGCTTGATACGACAAGGATGTATGCAGACAGCTGCGGGGTAATGGCGGAGAGCCCCACAGCGCTTGGCAGCGTTTGGTCAACACGGCTTAGACACCAAGAGGGATAAAACCCTCATCCAGGAAGAAACACCGAGATATGCTAACCTTATGTTTTTTGATATGGCAATTAGATTCTGGAGTGAAAATTCCGTGCACGAATGCAGGCCCAAGGGCTGGTATAGCATTTGGAGCACCCACGGACACAAGTTGTCATGGTTAGACAAGGCGAGGATTTGGAAGTTGGCTGCAGTGTTTGTTTAGTTGATTGGATCATATGTCCCGTTCTAGCGTTATTTGAGCTAACATTGTGCTGGACTGAATTTAGACCACCGCATCAGCTGAGAGATTTTTTGTCGGTAAAATTCCACAGGGTTTAATACGACCATTGTAAGCTCATGTTCGTATTTCCAGATCTCGAGATGGCGATCGCCTATATTCCCTAGGCGATCGCCGATCTACATCACTCCAGCAGCGCAGCTATCGTAGAAACGCCCAGCCTCTGTCCAATTTCCAACTTCCCATAAGTATGAAAGAGAAAACTAGAAGATTCAGAAATATAAAGAACCCTGAAAAAGTCTGAAAGTGAGAGATTACGCTAGCCAGGCTCAGACTGCATGTTGTGGGTATACGGCTACGAAGCCTTTAGCTCTAAAAGTCGTCTCTATACCAAAAGTAACGTGATTTAAAGAAAATGATGAACCTCGTCAGGAGGCAACTATCGTTCTCTGGAAAAGTACACCAGAAAGAAATAAAGCTAACCTAGTTATTCAATCTCGCATACCCTGATTGAACCTTCAATATATCTTTATACTTCCATCACACACATACACACCATGACCTGGCTCAACTTTAAGGAGGAGCAAACCGACGCTCCAAATCGTTCTGCTCGTAAGCAGTGCTGGGAATCCCGTGATTTATTCTTTGCCTGCTTGGACAAATCCAAGATTGAAAACTCTTTAGCGCCAGGTGCTGATAAGCAAGTTGCTTCCGCTTGTGCGAAACCGTTAAAGGCGTTTGAGAGAGACTGTGCTTCCAGCTGGGTCAAGTATTTCCAGGAAAAGAGATACGTAGACATCAAGAAAGAAAGAATGATACAGGATATGAAGTCTAAGGGGATCGAGGTTCCATTTGGGAAATAAGCAGACCGGATGAATCTAATGGAGAAGCTGTACCCTAGTTGGAACTTGTATATATCTAGCTTATCCCACCTGTTGATATATGAAAAATGAAGGAATTTTTGACCAGTCACTCGTAGAATGCTAAATGCAAGCTCCGGTATTTCAACCCTTAGTGATGCTGAGGGACTGAACCTCCCTACGACTGTGATGCTACAGAAAGTCTAACCATGCAATATCAAATTATGCTGCAAAATATTTTACAGAAAAAGAAAGCAGCCGTATAACCCACCCAGAAAGTAATCAAAAAAAAAAGTCGAACGGAAGTGTAGTGAACCAGAACGCAGATGCAGTGATGTAGTGCCATGTAAGCGAGAGACAAACAGAGGAAACCTCTACTCGGCCATGACTAGGTTGTCCATGTTGATCAAACTGAATCTTGGCTTGGTGTTTCTCATTGCCGGCTGGTTCTCTTTTTCATCCTCCTCATCCAAGTCATTGGAGCCCCTCATATACACCGAAGAGCGCTGCAACGTGTATTCCTTTAACTTGTAGTTCATACTAGCCTTATTGACACTCTGGGACAACCTCAACGGACGGCACTTGAACCCCTCACCTTGCACTGGTGGCTGTTGCACCGAGACTTCTTGTTCGTTGTAGATGGCAACCGCCGGGGCAGAGACGGGAGCCACTGGCTTCACAGGGACGGGGGCATCTTCAGGGATGTTGGTTAAGTTGTTACAGGAGGCTGCACCGTTCATTTGGGTGAAGACAGACAGTCTGGAGGACGAAATCAGAGCCGAGGAGTAGAGGCTATTCTTAGAGTTGGAGGCCGTCAAGGACGGAGCGGAGGCCATCGAGTTGGTCGAGGTAGACAAGTTCATTCTCCGTTGTGAGGCCGACTTGGTGATTCTCTGCAGTGGAATAGCTTGCTGGCTGAATTGCCGGGCAAGCGAGTTCATAGAGCCGCGGACCGAGGACGCAATGCTGCTACTGGCGGACGAAGAATTGGACATCGCATAAGACTGTCTCTGACTCAACATCATCTGGTCTCTTTGGGCTCTAATCTTTTCCTTGATAGGCGCCAAGAACGGTTGTAAGACGTTGATCAAGTCAATCTCATCGATGTTCAAAGACCAGTTCAAATGGGCGATAATTTCGCGTTCACATTCATTCACCTCTAACTGGGTCAACAACCCATCGGTGTATTTCTGCCAGTGCTTGTTCAACGGCGAGGAGTCGTTCAAGTTCTTGGCGGCAATAATGAGACACCCAAGGAAAATGCGGTGACGGGAGGTTTCGATACCGTAGACGTTGGCAGGCAACACGGCTCTTAACCTCACCAAGTACACCAACGAGGACATCAAGGTGGGCGTTTGGACGTTTGAGTAGTGAATCAAGTTGTTGATGAAGTTTGTGAGGGAGATAGGCGAGGTGCGGCTAGGTGGAGTGAACTTAAACTCATCCCTCTTTCTCAGCGGACTGTTGGAGATTGTGGCCGGAGGGGTGGTGGGTGGAGAAGGGTAGCTGTTAGCTGAGGGAGTATAGGTCTGAGCTTTCACTTTGATGATGGACTCGGTGGTTGCAACCAAGTAGTGTACCATCTCGTGGCTGACAGGTTGTCTGACGAATTTCTTCAAGGCAGCGCGATCTGTGGAACTCATAGTGAAATTAAGTAAATATTGGGATTGTGTATGGCAGGACAGGAAGCAACAGCACGTAGGAATAGTGGGAAAGAGCTATATATGAGGAAAGAGTCGTTTAAGGTCTATACTTGAATTAACTAGACTGAGGCTGGGGTGATGGAGCATATAAATAAATAACGAGATGAAAAAAAAAAGAGATTGCTTCTTGGACTAGACCGTAACCCTTGGAGCATTGCACGATGGATGCTTCGGATTTCCAACATCCTGGTAGATACAAATGCGGGATTGTATGCTGGTCGGGCCCGTAGTAAGTGATCTAACCGCTCAGGAATCTGTAAGGTGGTTCACCCTGTTTTTCTCATAGTAAACTGCTGCAGAGTAGAGACGGGAGGAGGTCGCAGGAGCCAAACTTGCATTATAGATGCAGGTCATTGCACAAGTCATCGCGTTTTACGCGAATTTTCTCATAGTAACTTGGGCTGAAACGCGTGCTGTGCGCGACGCGTCATGTAAGAAAACCTGCAGGGGGATGGTTGCATACCAACCGCCAGTTCGCTACATAATCGGATAGGTACGCACTGACTAATATAACACCCATCCGTGCATTCGTTTAGCGGTAAGCGTTTACAATCTTATTGATCCGCGCAGCATGTACCGGTAAATGTCCCAGCTCGGAAATTACCAGCAGATTCTTGCGTCCCCCGTCCTTTGGAAGTGATTGTTCCCCCCTCAATTAACATGCAGATAGTCTGCGTTCTGTGAGGTTTCACGTTAAAACACACAGTTCCACATGGCCTGGGGCTATTTATAGGCCCTAAAACACTGCACTGTCCTCAAGCATTCAGACCCAGGTTATAACAGGCCGAATAAACAGTAAGTGTTACTGGGGGCCGCACTGTCGAATGCGGCGAAGCTCGAAACCTAAAGATAGGGTGGATGATCGGCGACTCCAGTTGCTGGTATAGAGTTTGCATTTAGGTTTGTACATCAGGTGGATTGTTATCTTTGCCTCAGGTTCCTGGTTTATTGGAATTTTACTCTCCTCACGTGGCAGTTCATCTTGCATACACTCCCCTGTAAGGGAACTAAAACCTTAACTTATTGTTTGCGACGCGGGTTGCAACCTCTCTCAGTCAAAATTTAACCCCTTTAGGAAATATTTTGCCCATCGGCATACTCTTGGCACCTCAATATATCTTGATTGGGACAAAATGAAACATAAGGGTCGTAATGCACAAATGTCTCGCTCATCCTGGGAGTTTAGCAAACCACTACCTCGGACCAAACCAGGGGAGGATACAACACAGATGTAAGATCATGTTATATCGCAATAGACTATATTTCGGACCCATGAAACATTAACAAAAGCGTTGGAAACATGTCCCAATTGGGAAGTTAATTAGCCCTTTCTCGTGCTCTCACGGCCGAATCTAGTAATCATGGTAGAAAAATCAAGACCCGTACCCGGGTACTTCCACCCGTCCTGACCGTTGAATGCGTCTAATACAACCTCTCGAGTGTACGTGGGAACCATCATCTACAATTAACTTTAATGCAACCCGACAGAAAGATATAGGCTATGCTAATCAATATACGTACGATCTAAAACCTTGATGGACATTATAAACAAACTTTGCCAAGTGTAGACCATATTTCTATTCAGAATATACTAAATCAGGTCCCCCATTGACACCGTACCATGGACATCCCTTCTTCCTTTCATACCGATATGATATACTACTGACACCTATAGGATTGTATTTTATTTAAATAGTTTAATTTAAACGCATCTAAAGAGCGCTGTCTGGGTAGTAGAAGAACGCCAAGGCGATAATGAGGTAGGTGCACAACAACATGGCGCCTTCCAACCAGTTGGACTCACCGTCCAAGATGACAATATTGGAGATGAAAACAGACATGAACAAAACTGCGGTCTCGAAGGTGCTAAAGTACAAGGACATTGGAACATCGACGGCCCAACCGACCAAAACCATGAACGGAGTGACAAACAAAGCGATCTGCAACGAGGAGCCGATGGCAACGCCGATAGACAAGTCCATCTTGTCCTTGACCGCCACCACAACGGCGGTGACATGTTCAGCCGCATTACCAACGATGGGGATCACAATAAGACCAATGAAGGTCTTGGAAAGGCCACTGTTTGCCACGAGATCGTCGATGGAGCCAACCAAGAAGTCAGCAGCAAAAGACACAACGATGGTGGTCAAGAACAAAACAATCAACGAAGCGATAAGAGACAAGTGCTCGCTCTCCTCAGAAGCGTCGGCTTCGTCAGTTGGCAACTGCACGCCCCTGGTTTGCTGGGCAATTTCGGTGATTGTGTTGTCTAGCTCGGTGTTTTGCTGCTCAAAGATCGACTTGTGGGTCCCCAACTGGAAAATTAAGAACAAGACGTACACCACCAACAAGATAATAGAGGTCCCTCTGGACAAAGCCAAGACTTGGTCGTCGGACGTCCCCGGAACCGGGAATTCCAAGGTGCTTATGAGGGAGCGATCAAGTAAACCCTTACCCGGCTGTGGGGTTGGCAAGGAAGCGTGGAAGGCAGCGGGGATCAATAAACCAGCGGTGGCCAAAGCCATCAAAGAGGACATGGTCTGGGCGGCGGTTTGGTTGAAGACCTGCTGCAAACGGTTGTACCCACCAGCAATGAAACAGCAGCCCAAAACCAACAAGGAGTTAGACAAGATACTCCCCAACATCGAGGCCTGCACGATTCTGACCTGGTTTTGTCTGAGAGCAATGATGGAGACAATCAATTCGACGGCGTTACCAAAGGTGGCGTTCAACAACCCACCGAGGGTTTGACCTACGTGTTCTGCCAATTCCTCAGTGGCAAACGCAAGTACCGAGGCCAACGGGATGATTCCAACGAAGTTGACCCAGAAAACAAGGTTGGACGACCAGCCCAAGTTGCCGGCGACGAGACCAACGGGAACAACAGCAAGGAGGAAGGTGATAGGGGAGGACGTAAACGTCAACTTGACCGACTTAACGGTCTGAGACACCACGGTAGAAGCCATATTGTAAAATAGTGACAATAAGGAGGAAAAGAGCAAGAACTTGCAGCAAACGTTGAATAAATATTGGTTGTGATTGCGGAGAGGAACTAGCTGTAGCACCCGTACCGCAGGTTCCCGAAAACTTTGGAGAACATGCATTAAGGCCCTCGTTTCAGGTACGATTGCTCGCTACGGTGACCGATCTCACCCAAATCGTTGCCGCCTGCATAATTATCCTGATTGGGACACACCCTGTCAAAATGAAAATATAAAGAAAACGAGGCTGTGTACAGCGACATACTTAAAATGCAGGATAGCTTGACTGAAGGTATCAAGCTTTAGCGGAGATTACCAAGCCAGACAGGTTGATTAGAGCTCACCAGTAAAACGAATATCAAATGTGTTATGCATTAGATATACATGGGAGGTGAGAGACACCGGGGCTACGTAGTTTCTCCGAGATGCGCGCGCAGTGATAAAATTTCCAGCTTCAGGGGCCAACACAATTCCGCTGACTGGCTATACTGTTGCAGTTACACGATAACCTTCGGTGCAGGAGTTTCACGGAAAACCCCAGTTGTCCCAAGACAAAACGGACTGCGACTTTTTTTTTTTATTGTTGCCAAATAGCTAAACACCTGTACGTTAGAATCTGACCGTAAAGAAATTTCAACCGGTGTACACACCAGAGTTTCTTCTTTAGCATCAGCAGCTTATCAGAGGGGTGCTTGAAGCTCCCGCTATATTTGGCCTCGCATATAGTACACGCTAATCTGAACATCTGGTTAACAAAAATTGATTAAAGAAAGAGTAGAAAGAAATATGAAACATAAACCACGAAATTTTGCGACAAAGGTGGATCTCACACCCACCAGCTCTACGCTCCACCTAACTATAGAGATCATCATCCTCATCGTTAGCACCGAAAGCAGCGCCAGAAGCGTCACCCTCAGCACCAGCAGCAGGGCCGTCGGCAGTACCGTCTGGGAACTTAAAGTTGGTGAACTGACCTCTAGAGGCTTGCAACTGCTGGGCGTACGCCTCGTAACGCCTCAAATCGGCATCGGAAACAGAACGCTTAGCGGTCTTCATAGCCTCCTCGAAGTGGCTCTTGGTGATGTATGGAACTGGATCCTCCTCTTCCTCAACAGGAGCCTCCATTTCAACGTCCTCGACTTTGACACCGGCCTCCTCCTGGGCCGCCTTTTCAGCCGCCTTCTTCTCCTTTTCGAGGTCGGAACGGATCTGGTATTCAATGGAGTCCTTAATGGCGAACTTGGCAGCTCTTTGCACAATATAGGACAAATCGGCACCGGAGAAACCATTGGTGTTCTTGGCAATCTCGTGCAAGGTCAAGCCTGGCTCTAACGGAGTCTTGCGCAATTGTGCTTCCAAGATAGACAATCTGGCCTTCTCGTCTGGCAATGGCACATAGATCAACTGATCAAGACGTCCTGGTCTCAACAATGCTGGATCAATCTGGTCTGGTCTGTTGGTAGCACCGATGACGAAAACGTTCTTCTTGGCGTTCATACCGTCCATTTCGGTCAACAACTGGTTCACCACACGGTCGGTGGCACCAGAGTCGCCCGGAGAGGCACCACGGGCCTTGGCAATGGAGTCCAACTCATCCAAGAACACAACAGTCGGGGCCGCAGCTCTGGCCTTGTCGAAGATGTCTCTGACGTTAGATTCAGACTCACCAACCCACATACTCAATAATTCCGGACCCTTAACGGAGATGAAGTTAGCGGAAACCTCGGTGGCGACAGCCTTGGCGAGCAACGTCTTACCGGTACCGGGTGGACCGAAGAACAACACCCCCTTTGATGGAGAAAGCCCGAACTTGGCGTACTTCTCTGGGTGTAAAACCGGGTATTCAACCGTCTCACGCAACTCATCTTTGATTTTGTCAAGACCACCGATGTCGTCCCAAGTGACATTAACACTTTCGACAACGGTTTCACGCAAGGCGGACGGGTTGGAGGTACCAAGGGCGAACCGGAAGTTTTCCATGGTGACCCCAAGGGAGTCCAAGATTTCAGCATCGATGGTTTCCTCTTCGAGGTCAATAAGATCCATCTTTTCACGGATCTGTTGCATAGCAGCTTCGGAACACAAGGAGGCAATATCGGCACCGACATAACCATGGGTCTCAGCGGCGATGGATTCTAAATCGACACCGTCAGCAAGTTTCATGTTCTTGGTGTGGATGCGCAACACCTCGAGACGACCGATAGCATCCGGGATACCAATGTCTACCTCTCTGTCGAAACGACCAAAACGTCTTAAGGCCGGGTCAATGGAGTTTGGTCTGTTAGTGGCAGCAATGACGACAACGTTGGATCTCGCCTTCATACCGTCCATGAGGGTCAACAACTGGGAGACCACACGTCTCTCGACTTCACCGTTGGTCTTGTCACGCTTAGGGGCGATGGAGTCGATTTCGTCGATAAAGATGATAGCCGGGGAGTTTTTCTCGGCTTCCTCGAACGCCTTACGGAGGTTGGATTCAGACTCACCGGCCATCTTGGACATGATTTCTGGACCGTTGATGAGGAAGAAAAACGCACCGGTCTCGTTGGCAACGGCACGGGCCATAAGGGTTTTACCGGTCCCGGGTGGACCGTACATCAAAATCCCCTTTGGTGGCTTGATACCAATGGACTTGAAAAGTTGTGGATGTCTCAATGGCAATTCGACCAACTCACGGATCTGAGCCATCTGCTTTCTGCAGCCACCAATGTCGTCGTAACCAACATCGGCGAGGTTGTTTTCCTCGTCTTCACGGTTGATTGGTTCGCCTTCGCAGTGGATAATGGTGTCCTGGGCAACAATGGCGTACTCCTCAGGTTCAACGTCAACAACCTTGAATTCAACCTGTCTCATACCACCTCTGACGATGAATAGATCGCCCTTTCTAACGGGTCTATAGGCCTCCACGAAGTATGGCTTCAAGTAAACATCGAAGAGAGAACCGGTAAGGCCCTCAACGGTGTCGGCAATAGGAAGCACCGAGATTCTGGAGGCGTACTTGATGTCTGGACATGGGTGCACGGTGATGATATCACCGAGGCGTACACGCAAGTTGTTACGGACAACACGGTTGACGCGGGCAATTCCGTCTTCCAAATCGTCATCGGCAAGGACAATAAGGACAGTGTCCTTTCTCTTCTTACCCTTGACGAGGACAGTGTCACCACGGAAGAGCTGGAGGAGCTCCATGGTGTTGGAGGACATGGAAATGATGGAATTGTCGTCGTTGACGGCATCGTCGACGATTAAGGCTAAAGAGGTTAGTACACAACTAGGGATATGAAAGATAGGCGAGCGGGAATAAACGAGAAATAGTGAATATTGAAGGGGCCACTGCCGTTTAATCACGGAATGCTATCAGGTATGAACCATTTGCTGGATATCTTAACGTTCAACCAAGAATGGCAGCTGTACACCCAAGAGATGTCCTTGAGTTCACGCCAGTCCATTGACCAAAAAGCATTGAAAATATCTTACACCACTTTTTCAGTTCCTCCTCGAACCAAGAAATAATACATACCATTGTCCTTCTTCTTTCTTCTCAAAATGGCGGTGGCGGTACCATCGTCTTGCTTGATATCAGAGCCAGAGGCATCTAAAAGCGGCTTCTTTTCATCAACCATGGTACTCAAATAGGGATTGTGTATACGTCTGAAAGAAAAACCAAGTTATTGTAAGATAAACTGGGTAATCTGTTTGCTGTAAAAGGTAGCTTTTAATGCTCAATCGCTAGATCGCTTTTGAATGACAACGCCAAAGTTGGCCCCCCGATTGAGATTTGACGTCGCCAGTTTCGCACACGCCCGCCGCGATTAGTGCTGGCCTTAAAGATCAGTGGCGAAAAAGACAGACCTTGCTGCGGGTAACAATCCCTAATCAGTGAGGGAGGAGCAGCTAGGTGCAGGATGACACCCTTCTATCGTCTTCCATGGAGTTCCAAACCAGAGCCAGAGCTTAGGTCGTGTAAAGGCGTCATCTAGTTTGACCAATTGTGGTACAATATCAGTAACCATCTAATCTAAATAAATATATAGGACAAATATTATGGTGCGACGGGTTGATGCTCGCGGAAGGATTTACGGGCAGTCTCTGCCCGCCGTTATACGGGTGGAATGTTTCAATTATATTTAGAGGTTAACGTGTCTAGAGACCGAAGCCCATACCACCTGGTTTGAATACTGGCCATGACCTAAGTGGCTACCCGGGCCATATACTAAATGGCGCTGGGGAAGCCCGTTAAACTCATACCAAGACCGCATAGGTCTGGGCTAAAGTTCAGGATAATGATTACACCCGGTCATCTGTCGCTAATTTCGCACCTTGGTGGTTCTTTAACAGGCCCCTCGGGGGTTTCGTTTCGCCTGTCCCATCTATACATAAGGACCTTCTTTCCGGATACATGGTCTACGGTAACCGATTATGGCGGCCGCCGTTATCCCAATCGTCGTTTAGTATCATCTGTATACGTCATACCCTAATGTCATTCGACTCTATCAGACCCCGTCATGAAGATTAATCTACACGTTTTCAACTGGTGAAGGTTATAACCATATATCAAACATACTAGCTATAATCTCAGAGGTTCTGCAGATGTCAGTAACATGCTGTCTGGCGGAACGTTTCGTTTGATCGGTATTTAAAGTCCAGTTGGATTACTTACTGACTTGTTGTTCAAGAGCAGCGGTTAATTCCTTGTGCAAAGCCCCTAATTTTTCAAAGTCAGTCTCCTGAGCTGGCCATTCGACCCCCAAACCGGTAGCAGCGTCGACCTTTGGAATCATGTGGAAGTGAACATGGTCGACTTCCTGATGGGCGATTCTCCCATTATTCTGCAAAATGTTGTAGCCAATGCCACCTGGACCCTCAATGGCAACGCCGGCGGCAATGGCGAGCTTCTTAGCAACAGGCAACAAGTCAGCAAGGTACTCATCTGGGATATCGTGCAATTTGGCGCCGTGGTACTTTGGAATCACCAAGGCATGGCCCTTGGAAGTTGGCTGGATATCGAGGAAAGAATAGGTCAATGGGGTTTCAATGAGCTTGAAAGAGGGGATATCACCTAGAGCGGGTGTTAGTTTTTCTGAGGTAAGGAGTATGGCTTGTGAAATGCTTCAACGACGTACCCTTGATAATCTTGCAGAAAATACAGGCGGCGTTATGGGCAGCGGACATCTTGGAAATGGTTGAGCAATGTGTGGTGGGATAAATCGAGCTTGGTAAAAAGGCTGGAGCTGACTAAAAAGTATGGCTTGTGGGGGTGGTCTCGCTGGGCTTACGGTCCAGTGGGACATAGCTGCCTAGTGAAAATTAAGGTTCAAAAGGGGTGCTTACATAAGCGAAAGAGTCAAAGTGTGGGGGAGCACAACAGAAAAGTTAGGTGTGTTTTTTTTTATTATTTCTGATGGAGAATAAATATTGAATCATTTCATGTTGCTTGGATAACACAGATCTGAGTAAGCCATGAGAAAGTTTGGAAACTACCTGCACCAGATGACTCGGTGGTGACACGATAAATTGAATGGCGAGGTTAACCTCGACCATGAAGCCCTCTTTAGATACCACTGTTTATTCATCCTTTTTTAAATTCCAACAGACCCTCTTATGGAACTGACGGCCACGCTGAGGAACCACTGGAAACTCTGTGCGCCGAATGGGAAATAGCTCATTGTGTAGTAGATGACCGCTAAGACCTCCATGATCCCACTCAACAAAGTCAAAATGGAGGACTTCACCACCACGGCAAAGTAAATGGTGGAAATCACGGATCCAAAGAAGATCACCGTGAAGGGTAACCTATCCTTGGAAATCAAATGCTGGATGTAGTTCACCGGCCCCTGTAGAGCCCCAAAGGACACGACAAAGAGCAACGATCCCAATGACCACAATAATCCAAACTTTCTCGGCTTTAAGGCCAAGACTGGGAAGAGGAAAAACCCGAGGAGGAAACAAGCAGCAGACCCCAAGAGACAACAGGAAAAGACCAACAACTTTTCGAACCGGGAGAGTTGGAACCACTCCGGTTCCTGGGCTGGTGCCTCACTGCCATCTCCATTATAGAGTGGCAATCTCGAGTACATATCATTAGCACCAGAGCTGACTTTGCTGGTGAAGCTGGAAAACATGCCTCCGATACCACCGTTTTCTTGGGCGGTCTCACTGGAAGGTGGGTTGGCCGAACTCCATCTCGCAAACTGGTTTCGGAAGTTTCTCTCAGTTTCACTACTCATATTGCGATTTGTTTTTATGCGGTAAACGGGTGTTTAATGTTGTGCTTAGAGGCACGAAGATGCCAGTTGACATTTAGAGAAATAATACAACCGCATGAATGCAGGAGAGTTGCCACGCAGCTTCGCCTCATTGTGAGCTGAGCCCAAGCGGCTCAGCTTTACGCATCGGTTCGACATACAGAGTCGTGTGCCTTCACTAATCTGATAGAGCGAATGCGGATTACTTTCAGTCTATACTTCAGATGCAATAAAATACTCTTGGTATCACAGCACTATTATTTACCGATATATCGAGAACTTAGAATCTTTGTCTAAATTTTTTCTGCATGGAGTAGATTTTCATTCAGACAGCGACGGGACCTTACTAAGACGTATAGTCAACATGCTTTTACACTATCTTTGGTGTGTAAACCACCATATAGCAGGCCAAACCTAAGGATTTTTCGGATACATTGGTCCCTGAAAGCCCCCCGCGAAATCTTGGGGGAAGCATAGATATAGCCTATTTCGATCGATTTTATTTTCATACAGTGTAATATCCAAAGTTTGAGTAAACGTACAAGGTCTTGCCTAGAAGTTGCTGCTGTGTCCTGTGAATTGCGGTTGAATGTCCCAACTTTGTTCAGTGGGGAACAAATTCGCATTCAAGCCGTCCGGCGATACCAAACACCTTTGAAGGTCTTCATTTGAATATAGGGGAATTACTGAAAAGCAAGCTGGAAAAGAAACTATCCCATTATCCCTACCGATCTGTCGTTTTTGGTGTACAAGCCCAGTGAGGCAGGTGAGAATGCCACATGCAAATGTAACGCTCAACCTCCATGTACAACGGAAGATCTGGGGAATCTGGTCAGTTACTACCTGTAATACCAAAACATAATTGAATAAGCTTTGAGAAAAGTTATTTAGAAAGGAAACCCCGCCTGGCCGGACCATAGTTTCCTTGACCCGGTGAGATCACATGCAGATGCTGGAGGCACCCAGGTCTGCACCAGGATCAATGGCGTTCGACTCTTGTAGGTTTAGCCTTCGACAGAATGAAGCGAACTTCGTGTTCTCTGCCTGAGAAATACAGGGGAATTATCCTAGAAGGGTGCCTGCCAACCAGAAGGGGATAATTTCCTCTGGTGAATGCTAGCTAAATGTCTATAGCGAGACAGGATAGTACCAAAAGACCTTTGCACATGGTGTCGCGGTCGTAACGACATGCCTGTAGCTTTTCCTCAATATGCAGAAATTAAATCGTAGGCCGCATTACTAGAGTTAGGTCCGGCCATATATCAAGGAGCGACCAAGGGCCGAAGAAGGTTTGGTGAGATTGATGCAAGTATCTGCAGGGCCTGCATGCAATTTAAAAAGCAGCGGACTAAACAATTCCCACCCACACAGCATCGAAATTGCCGCAATAGGAAAGTTAATTGAAGACTGTGGAAGCTCGTGCATATTTATGCAACCTTATGACGCACGTGTAAACCTGACAATGCAACGCGACAATTAGGCCGAATAGATGGGCGAGACCTAATCTCGTGTCTTGCTCTATCTGGCGATTCATCTGGGCGCGTAAATTTTATGCAGCCACTTTATTTCGGACGTGGAGTCTCCAGTAGTTTTTACTGAAAACCCCTCTATTGAATAGCTCTAGACGCATGAAAATACGAATAGACTAAGCAAGGCCAATGTTTTCCTTTCCCCTGTTTTCTGTCTTTGCATAGCCGGTTTAGTTACATCCCTTAAAGATTTTTGTAGCTCTTCACAACCTGATGGCTAGTCCCACGCGAGTGCCACCCCCTTCTAACGGTAACCAAGCTCACACCGTAACGTGTGGGCGTACATGTTGCAGGGATAGTAAAACGGCAGCTGGTCCAGATGTGCCGCATGGTTTCACCATCTGCCTGTACCCCCCCCTTGCTACTGCATTGGGCGAACTGATGCACGAGGGCATATCCGTCAAGAAATTTCCGACTTCTCGCACCATGATAGCTCCATATATTTAGTTGCAAAACCGCTTCTTTTTTTTAAATAATTTTCAGCATATATTATTCCAACCTTTTCTTAAGCCCATTGCCTATTTACTGCTGTAAGGTACTGAACATCACTAGCTTTTTCCCAGATAGAACTATAAAAATGTCCGCCATCGCAAAAGTTCCCGCTTCGGTTGTGCCAGCTCTCCCAAGCCCAAATCTTCTTGCACGCTCGGAGTTTCCTTCAAGCGCCCCCAGTTCTACAGTCTCTAGTAGCGCCACGGCCTTTAAGCGTTACTCCAACCGAAGCTCCAGAACGTCTGCCCACATTTACCCAGAAATTATGACTGCAAACCCCTATCTTTACACAAATAACCCGGAGGGACCTCTTGCAAACTACAAGGAGTACGCATCAACCCAAGACGTCTCAACGGAATACTTTCCCTCCCCCAAAACACCTAGGAAGTCGATGGAACCCGGTGAAGCCGCCATTTTAGGCAAGGCCCCTAGACGGCAGTCTTATCGAGGCCGTGCTACCAAGGGTGCCGCGAGCTCCCCCGACAGTACGCTCAGCTCCGTCTTCAGTAACGAGAGAGATTCGTATCGCTTGTCACACAGTAATACAGTTCTGCCTACGGACGTGAAACATAGTGTGTTGACAGAGCGTGCGAGGGAGAAGCGCGTGAGCATGAGCATACCTGAAATGGAATTTGGCGCGGTGTTAAGCCCAGATGTGCCCTGGGAGCGGGTCAATCGAGCCAGTGTGCACGCTTCTCCAAAACAGATCAGACGTCTTGAAGATACCATGAAAGACTTGAAAGTCTCCACGCCAGACAATACTCTGAAGCCGTACTCCTTGGACCAAATCATCCCCGAAAAGCGCCCACTTTCCGCGTCGAAGGAAAAGAGCTCCATCTTTTCGTTCAACAGATTGAAGAAGGCGGTATTGAAGAAAAAGCCTGCCGGCATTTCCAAGGATATGATTTCCGGTCCGTGTGAACTCACCAGCAGCACAATTCCAGACGTGACAATGAGCCAGCCGAGGTCCGTGTCCGCAATGACGGGCGAGATAGTGGTTCCTGCTGCGTATATGCAGATCAACCACCTTCTTGACGATTACTACCGTCGCGAACAAGATGAAGAGGAAGAGAAGCCAGAGCCACCGTTGGTTGTACCAAGTACCAACTACACTCACTCTAAACCCGCGCTTAAGGGCTACTCATCAAATCAAACAGCCAGCACCTTGACGCTAGACCAGACGTTACAGAAGAGCTTCCGGAGCAGATCCCAGGCAAATAACACCTACTCCCGTCGCAGTAACCAGAAAACATCAGGAACGCACACGCAAGCTCAGATACAGCTCTCTCCAGCCCACAGAGACATTTTGGACATGGTGGATAGACAGCCTGTGAGTATGGGCCACTCCAGGAGCCAGTCAAGCTACACATATTTCTGAATTCACTGGGATAGACCAGACCGGTCAATTGGAAACGGCTTTACCCGCGTGTGATAGGTTCTAGGGGGATTGATAAGCCAGAGCACGTCTTGCTCTGCGAAGGGCGGAGGATAGACCAGGGCTTTTTGAAGTTCCTAGGGAGCCGAGCTATAGATCTCAATCTGTATTATTTGAGATGGACTATTACGAAACCACACTGTTGTGGTATTCCCAAAACATGCACGGTTTCAAATCAACTTGTAGATAGGTACTCTGCCCTAAGCGCTCCCCTTTTCCGTTTTAGCCAGAAACTTTGATAATATATAAGCTTAAAACTTATTATTCCTGTACTTTGTGAGCCATCAGTAACCTCTAAGGATGTATAAATGCGCCCGCTTACTTCCGCCTGCATATGCAGAGACGCCTCAATGGAAGATGGCGAGGCGGAACCGAAGCCGAACATCTGATGATTGGACTCACGTTAAACTCCTCGTCTATGCATGGAACAGTTCCAGGAACATATGGCCCTATAGGGAACCTTTAGGCTAGTTTGGGCAAAGAATAGAGTCGAAACTTGGTATATGCCTCATACAGAAGCTGGATCTTTGACTGCAAGCTGAGCTATTTACTCTACATGTAAATCATTTTCGCGTTTCAGTCACCAGATTGTTTCCGGACCCGATCCGAGCAGGATAGCAATATTCCCTAGAGCAGTCTAAAACGTACTAGGTAAAAATATTGTTATTTCGGCAAAATATTTTTCGCTAAATGTTGGCAACCCCCACTTTGTCGAATCATGTGTAGCGCAGTTTGAAGTATCCTGCATGGTTTGAAGCATCTGGTACAACGTCCCTGACGCTGCTCCGGCCAAGGATGACGCATGCCTCTCCTTGCACAAGTCTTGACAACACAAAAAGTGGCAGAGAACTCATTGCTCACTAGTATACATTTGTAAATAATTAGAATTACAGAAAGCAATGTCCAGATCAGCTGTTAAACAGATCAGAGGTATCATCTTTGATATGGACGGCACCTTGTGCTTACCTCAGGTACGTACATAACGCTCAAATCGCACATTCCCTTGACCAGCTCCTAACACTTATTTAGGCGTGGATGTACGGTATGTACATGTATTTTTGCACTTCCAGTTTCATACTAACACTGCTAGAGGAATTTAGAACCACGCTAGGCTTGGCGCCCGATTCCAAGACAGACATCTTACATCACATCGCAGCTCTTTCGCCGGCAGAGCAGGAGCAGGCGCACCACAAGATCGAGGCAGTGGAAGTGAAGGCCATGACCCAGATGCAGCCACAACCAGGTTTATCCGATATTATGGCCTATATCACCAAGAATAATCTTCCACGGGCCATCGTCACGAGAAATAAGATGGTCCCTGTCAATCACCTCATGTCGCAGTTTATGGAATCGCACCATGTGTTTGATCCGATCATCACGCGGGACTTTCTTCCGACAAAGCCAGATCCGGCACCTTTGTTACATGTGATCCACGAGAGATGGGCCGAGAGGATTGACCCTGAAGATGTCATGATGGTGGGCGATTCGATCGATGACATGCAGGCTGGGGCTAGTGCGGGGTGTGTCACGGTGTTGGTGGCGCACGAGAAGAACGGGTACTTAAGAGACAGAGACATAGTGGACTACGTGGTGAAGGATTTGGGAGAGATTGTCGGGTTGCTTGAATCAGGGGTGACTAGCAAGGTTAGATGAAGGGGATATGGCTCGTAATTTGGTTCTAGAAAGGTCTGCAGCTGAACTGTGCCATACTCTAATACAGAAGTGTCCATAATAGGGATTATTCAGCACTATATTGTTCACGGTATGGTGTATGTAATTGAGACATTTGTACGCAAAATTTTGGATGAGTAGATTTATCTTCAGAGATGCCCGCGTCAGGGTATTTGGTAGGTCTGAGCTCTGATGGTATCTAGATTGAAGTACCTAGTTTGTTATGTTTCCGCTTTAGGGTTAGCACATGGGTTGCCAGTATAGACTTTAGGACAAAAATTAAGCGCCGAGCCAGATAATCACCCCGGCTAGCCGGTAAAATGGTTTAGAATTTGGACAAATTAGAGAGCGTTAGCGTGGTATGTGTCTGCTACGGTTTGGGCACAGCACAAAGGAAGCGCCCTTCGACTGTAACATCCCAAGTATATCATGAACCAAACTAGAAATACCATTCACTTCACAATTGGTTTAAAATCGCTAATACCCTGAAGTCACCATTGAGCTTTTCCTCCTGCGTCTGAACTGTGGTATGGACATGCTCACGCCCAACAATTCTGTGATTCTAATGTTTTGGATTCTCGGCAAACTTATGCAATCAACTATAGAGATCCTTAGGCCTTGACGAAAGAAGTGTTGTCTTTTCAGTCCCCATCGCCACGCAACCGCCAATAGCTGCGTGGAAGCCTGGTGGTGGACCCATTGAGCTATGAGATGCGCGGACCACCGCTCAATTCCTTCACTGTTAATAATTATTCATGCTGCTATCTTCTCCCGAGTTTCGATGTAAAGCAAAACCCATAAACCCGGTATGTATTTATATTTAAACTGCAATGATTTGCTTAATCCATAGGGTACAGCCCCAGGTTGATAACAGTCCCTTGTTGCACTGTGTCGTGCCCCTACCACGCTTGGCACAGGCGCTATCGGGATTGATAGCATGTCCAGCCGCTTACCTATACCTCCACCTGGCCAAACTGTTCTAACGCACCTTTATAATCCACTCAAAACTCCATGACCTCCGCCGTGCCTTACAACCCCGACGACTTTGACGTTAACAACCCGTTGGGCGACGATTTCGATAATAACCCGTTGGGCGCCGATTTCAGCAACAACCCGCTGGGCGCTGATGTTGCCGCCATGCCCCCCGCGTTGGACTGGGGCACGGAAATTACATTTGAGACGCCCGATGACACGGTCGATGTTCCAATCGACGAGCCAGCTGAAGCCTCGACGATTATCCCGGGCCACACCATCACAGCGATCGTTTCCGACGAGGAGCTCCACCGCTTGCTCCCTGAACGGTTCCACGCGCAAAAGTCGCAGGCGAAAATTACTGTCAAAATCAGCACGATCGACTTTTCCAAGCGTGAAAACCCGATCGTAACCCTCGACTTCACTCTTGAACACTTGCCGGGCTACCGCAAGGCAGCGTACAAGGACGTGCGGCGTTCGTACGCGGCGCTCGGCAAGTTCCAAAAGTACCTCGAGATAGCCAATTTGGAGGTGTTTGTGCCCAGCGTGCCGCCTGCGGTCACGAGCTACCCTACAGGCGAGCAGGAACAGACAAAGGTGCGGAGAGATCTCCAGAACTGGTTGGACTACGTGACGGGGAACCCAGTGGTGATACGGGACGATGAGTTTGTGCACTTTATCGAGAGCGATTTTGACTACACGGTGATCAACGCACACCATAAGGCGGCGGTTGCAACGGGCTTGAAGCGCAAGACGTTGAAGCAATTGCAGCCACCGTACGACTCGTTCACGGAGTTGGCAGAGTTCCGGCCGTTTGTGAAATCAGTTTACCAGACCGCCACCAAGCTCACCAAGCAGATGGAGCGAATTGGGAGGTTAGATCGACTCCACAGTGTGGCGCTCGCGGACTTTGGCGCCGCGTTCCAGCCGCTCGCAGAGGCCGAGGCTGGCCGTGCGCGTGCGGTGAGCCACCCGGGCATGGTGCGCATGTGGCAGAAGGTGGCCAAGACACTTGCGGCGAACGCTGACTTGCTTCTTGCACAGTCGGCAGTGGAGCTTGCCACCTTAGGCGATGAGTTCCGCATCGTGGCCAGCGATGCTTACATCGTCAAGGAGTGCTTGACAAACCGGCACTTGGTGATGCGCGAGCTCATCCAGGCCCAGGATTCCACCAAGAGTAGCCACACGCGCGTGGTGAAGATTAAAAACCGCTCTGTGATCGACCCACTCAAGGTGGATGAGGCCATCAAGGCGTTGGAGTTTGCCACACAGATCGAGAAGAACTTGACGCTCCAGGTCAAGCGCATCAGCGGCGAGATGATTATTGAACGTGGCGAGATCATGGCGCGCATGGAGACAAGACTTAACAGTGCCGTGACCAGCTACACGTTGGCAAAGATCGAGACCGCGCGCAAGACGTTGCGCAACTTGGAGCAGATCCGGGGCGATATTAGGGCTGTTGACGAACGCGGCGGCTTGTCGCGCTTGGGGAGGGACCATTTGCCCGCCAGGGGTGAGTGTGGGGCTGCATCACAGTCAAACAAGGGCGATAGCTGGTCTAACAGGACCACCAGAGCGATTGACGTGGTTAAAAACAGGAGCGATGAGCAGGAAATGGAGCCCGAGGAGCCCCAAGGTCCGGCCTTCGATGCCCGCAGTGCCGCTGCGTTACTCGGAAGCTGCACGTTTTAAAATTACCGAAAAAGACCAATGAAAAAGGTAAAGAAAGGGGTACATGAATGTGTAGTGCGGTGCGATTATTGCTCGGTAAGCTAATAATCGCACCATATATCCCTCTACCTAGATGGACCGGTTGGTAAAATAAGCTCACTGACATGTTCATGATGGGTAAATAAGTGACACAGACCTCACTGCAGCTTACAATGGTGTAGGTTTACAATCATATCTAAAGACGACTCTTGCAATTTGTCAAAAGCCCATAACTGGCCCAAGTCTTGGTTGAATGTGCGTGGGTTTAATTTGACGCATAATTATGGCTTTCATTTGATGTAGGCTGTCAGGATAATAATCCCAGACTTGAGTTGGCTATGAGGTTTTGACGAATTGTATGAGCTATTTTTAGATGAGATTGTAAACCTACATTATTGTTATTATTACTTTGATATGCTCCGATACAGTTATTCACAGACTGACCAGCGAGGTTTTAACTAATGTTAGTATTTACCGAGGACACTATTCTTGCTGGTTATATAGCTCAAACCTATTCAGGCTAAATTCAGAGAGAAACAACTATGCTATAGGATTGTCATTGGCAAAAAATGTAAAACCGCTACAGTTGCACTGGTTTTCCTTTAGATAAGACCTCTGGAAGGCTCAAAAAACAAAACTCGATTCAGAAGATGTTACAAGGACTATTCTTCCAGCAAGTTTAAAGTAAACTAAATTATTCCATTCTGCGGCAGTGATTTGTGGTGATTGGACTGCCTCGACAGATCTGAAAGTGATCCGAAAGTGATCCGAAAGTGATCTGAAAGTGATCCGAGCATCGGAGGATAATACCCGTTTATCTAGAGAGTGGATCTACATAAACAGAAACTTCCGTAGATGCTACAGTCCCCCAAGGCTCTTGGAAAGACCATCCCAATACAAGTATTTTTAATATTGTAACGTAATTGAATAACCCTGAATTCCAATCGTATATTTCTGTTTATCAGTGCCGGGTTTCAATTGCAGTTAACGTATAGAACTTTCTCAAATTGTGTCATCGCGCCGCAATTCTCAAGATTTTGACAGGGTAAAGCTGTCTTAAGCGCAGCCTCTAGCACTTGTCGCCACCTTTACATGTCCCCTCTAATCCCCAGCTTATCCCTGTACCCCGGTAGACGATCATAATCTTAAAATAACGTGAAACGCTCCACTAAAGATGCAGACCACCCGAACTATTCAATATACTCCCGGGCACTCACATATATGAACTAACAGCACCCCTCTATAACCCATTCAATGTCTGAGTAACAAAAATATGCTCTCCCCCCGAAACCTCTCTCGATTTTAGTTGTACCAGTGTCTCAGACGCATATCGTGTAAATTGCGTCTGGGTGTTCTGTCTGACACCGCGCGGACCACCCGGAACCGGCTGCAGGCTGGGGTACGCCGGAATACCCGTTGAGCAACCGTCAGTGCAGCATGGGGTAGCGCAGCCAAAGAAGATACTTAATCCTTTCCAAACCCCGAAAAAAGCACTCCTAGCAACGTCCTGTAAAGCATAAACCCTACTATTGCTCAAGCGGACCACCAGCTGTGACATCGTGCCCTCAAAAGTCCCGCACCTATCGTTCCACCTCTCGGAAAGAACCGTGGGGCGAACTCCGAGAGCCTAGCTACCGTCCACGGAATAGTTCCCTCCACCCTGGCCACCGCATATTCCAAATACTGGTTATGCGCCCTGTACCGCTGTTCCTCGGTGCCCCGATAGAAATTTCAATAGAGCAGTCCGGGGAGGAGGCGTCTCTAGCTAAAATGTGTAAGCCCAACCATTGTAGCTTTCTTAATTACCTCTTTCCCCCACACTATCCTCTCTATACGGAAGCTATCATCTCTCTAGCTATCCCCAATCTTGTCGGAAGCCATCTCTCTGCCTTCGGTACTACAACTTTGTTGAAGGCGTCTCACTAACATTCATCGCTAGCCGCCAACACTCTAACCGCCAACACGCGTGTCCCCAAGCAAACTCGAGAATTCAACATCCCTCCCTTAATCACATTTTTTATTCCGGTATCGCCACGCGTTTGCCCCTACAAAGTAATCTTTAGGTCTATCTGAGTCCACCACTGATACCTGTATCTTCTGCAGCTTCACCAACACAACACATGACTGGTTTGAAAGAAGACCCATCCTTCAGCGACTTCACATCGTTCGGGTTCACGTCGCTAAACGTCGTGCCGTCACGCCAACAACACCAGGAGTTTGCCGCGAGCCACAGGGCACCGCCGTCAGACGATTTCTTGAGCCTCAACGATGCGCAGCTCGAGCACATCCCTACGCCGGATGTCGTAAAAGAGGAGGTGCCGTTCGCAGATTTTAACCTAGACGGTTTCCAGCACAACTCCAGCAACCAGCTCATTGACGATTTGGAGGCGTTGACGTTTCCCAACCAGGGCTTTTACGGCAACACCCCCGCCCCCGAAACGTCCTCTACTACGTTCAGTCCAATGTCCGCGGATATCAACCCTTTTGCAAAACCCCACAACGGTAGTGTCAGCCACACCCCATACTTCAACGACCCCGTGTCGCGAAACGTTTCGCTTTCGAATCAAGGATTTCAGCCCCCGGGGCAGCTATACTCGAGCTATAACGAGGTGAGCCCTAACGCTGGTCCGCTCGGAAGAACCATGTCCATTTCCTATAACAACCCCTCGCAGTTTGCCAGTCCGCCGGTAAATTCGCCGTATGGCAACGACGGAAGCCTCACCGAGTACGGCTCATCGTTTGGCTCCTATGACGCCAGTTCGTTGAGGTCGCCTCCGACCTCCTCCTCCTACCTCTCTGGATCCTTCTCTACCGTCCGATCCCCGCGGCAGAGTATCGTGTCGCTTGGCTCTCCGCCGTCTGTGCCAAATCTGAACCACGGAAGCGTCTCGGGGCCTACTCACCCCAAGCAACTTCTTTCCAAGGATGACAAGCTCAAACGCCGCAGAGAGTTTCACAACGCGGTCGAGCGCAGAAGGCGTGACTTGATCAAGGAGAAGATCCGTGAGCTCGGGAACATGGTGCCACCGTCGTTGGTGTTGAAGAACAGCGGCGAAACCGCCAGCCCTCCACCGGTGGCCACCACTGGCTCTAGCCGGGACCGAGACAGTAAACCCAACAAGTCGATTATCTTGAACAAGGCCGTGGACTATGTCAGCCATTTAATGATCACCTTGGAAAGACAGAAGAATGGCTTGGAAAATATGCAGGACCGCTTGTCCCAGTTGGAGCAGATGCCGGACATTGATGTGAATAATGCCTTGTTCATGCCCCCGAAGCCGTACTCGACCGAAACTCATATGTCTCACAGCTCGCTGATGTATTCGGATAATAGCTATTCGTTGGGGGCGGGGCACCAGCAGCCGCATTCCCAGCCTCCACCCCAGTTTTCGCCAAACTTTGATGACATTTTGGGAAAAGGGGGTGACGACTATGAGCAGCAGTACATGCCAAGTATCCAGTCGCAACTGACGGTGAATTTGCAGTCGGAGAACCAAAGACTAGCAGCGCGAGCGGCAGTGGCAAACGCCAAGTTGCTCCAGAGAACGGATTCGGCATTTAGCATTGGGGGCACGAATAGGCGAACAACATCTGCGGGACTGCAGCTGGCTGGAAATGGGTACTTCAACCCAGATGATTTCTTTCCGGAGATTAAGGTCGAGAATGGCGGGCCTATGCGTGCGTTTGAGAATGAGGGTGACGAATTTTGGGGGGTTGACGGTAAGTTGGGGTTTTAAAGATCCGAAATACACCCCAGATTCGTTCCAGGGGAGGCCGACCTGTTTTCCCAGACTCTGCTACTGGATGCACCGAGAAATATTTTGGCTATTGACTATTTGAAGGGCCTCCCAACCGGCGTGCGGGGAGGTTGGATAGTTGACTACGGGTTGTGCACATTTTGAGATCTGTGGTGCCCACTTGAGGCGTAGCCATTTGTGAATTATTCCTATAGGCACACACTTTTTTTTCTTCCCTTGAGCCGTTTCCACTTCCAGTTTGTACTCTGGCGAGCTTTGCCTGCTCGTCGCATCTCCGTCCTATATTTATTTCCCAATGTCTGGTGCTGTATTTGACCTTTTTTGTACACCCTCTACGACGTCACGTTATTTTCTTTTTATTAGCTGTTTGATTTCAACTTCATCGCCCCGGCGAGGGTTTCGTTTTTCATGCGAATATAGACTTTGGAGTTTCCCCGCACAGTCCTGGTTGTCTTGTGTTTTGGGTAAAGTTTAATATATTTCTTAATAAATCTGAGTAAAGATGGAGAAAAAAAAAGATTAAAGTCTTGAAGAATCCTGGTGTAAAAGCAAACCGGGACTGATATTTTATCAGTCTTGGCCATCCAGCAAGGTATAGTGGGAATCTCTGTAAGCCTATAACCCTGTTGGGATTTGAATAGGTGGTAAAATGCGAAAAAGCACCAAGCCAAAAAAACCCTAGTGTATTAATGGAGATCTGCTACCTGTAACCTCTGCCCCCGCTTGAGGTTTTACTCCCATAAGGTCGCGCGCAGTCCTGGTTTATGCACTTCCCTTACTGAGCTCTGCGGCCCATCTGCGACTATAGCTGCGACCCGCGACCTGCGTTACATAAACAACATTTGCAAAACACATCTCTTCCCCGCCATGCCTAAAGACAAAGATTACTTAATTGTTCGCTCGAAGAACGCCAAGGGCTATGACTACTCCACAAGTGTGGTCCTTCCCGAACAGCCGGTGCTCCCGGCGTACGTGTCGGACAAAATGCTGGACCACGCAGATTACCAGCAGTTGTTTGAGGACGTGGAGGGCGAAAAAAAGATCTCAAGCATGGGGGTGTTGCTTGGCGGTCGTAGCTTTAAGTTCAACTCGTTCCAGTTGCCGTCGTACATGTCGCGGACGAAAGGTACGAGAGACGACTCCAAGATGTTCCTTCTCGCGAGTGACTTGGCGCCAATTCTCAACTACCGTGACGCGCACCACTTGTTCAAAAAGAACAAGCAGTTGAACAAGATCTTGACCGAGGCGCGTGACAACGATTTTTTGTTGCGTGAGAAGCTCATATCGCCAAAAATTGTTGGCAAGCGCTTGAGCGCAGTGACTGCGCGCTCCGTTTACTTGGTGTTTGGCGCGCGCGTCATCATCGACGGGGTGCGCATCCGTGACGACTACTGGGAGTCCGAGTTTAAGAAGCAGGGGTTCACCGAAAAGAGCCCGGTGGACACACGCAAAACGGCGGACGAAATCGCACACAGTGTATTGCAGAAGGCGCTTCAGGCCGCTAATGCGAAGTCCGCAAGCATTGGGAATACACCGACGCAGAGTGCGGCAAATCCCGGCTCGAACCTCCACAACAATCAGTCGTTCCAGCTACAGAACGGTGAGTTGTCCTTAGCACAGTTGTTTCCCTTGGCTGAAAACCCGAAATTTGTCAACTTACAGCCGGATGAGCGCGCTCAGTACTTGGAGACCCAGCAGCACACACTTGTTTACCCCGGACAGGGCTTCATCAACAGCTTTGAGGTTAACTCATTGTTGAAGGTGCCACAGTACATGGCTGATTCCAGCGCTAAGGACGTGAAGAAGAACAGCACCATGGGGCTTAGTTCAGCCGCGCTCTCCGCGGCATCAAACGTGTTCCTGGCGATTTCAAACGAGTTTGTCAAGATTCCCGTTTCGGAGAAATACGCATCCAAGGGTTACGCCGAAAAAGTGGAGACAGCGCACTACGAACGTCCGCGGTATGCGGTTAACGGGTTGCCTTACTTCAATCCGGCGATTAAGACGTACGTGAAGGCCATTCCCGAGGAGAAGCTCGCGGTGATCGAGTTGCAGCACTCCACGTTACACTTGAACAAGTTGATGCAGTACAACCGCAGGTTGCGCAACAAGTCGTGGCACAAGTACTATCGTCAGAAGGCTGGCTCGGCTGAGGTGAAACAGGATGAGTTCCTGGAGGCGCGTTACGAGGGAGAAACCACCGTGGAAGTGGTCAAGACGCAGAAGCGGATGAACGGTAATGCCTTGGGCCGGTGTAACATCAAGCGGGTCAGGCCAATTTACGAGCCGGAACCGGAGAGAGTGCGTGTGACGGCACCAGTTATGCCTCAGAACGGGTTCCCTCTCCGTCATCCCCATGCTGGGGTGCAGTTTCCCGGACACGGCCATCCCCACGGTCATCCGGGACAGAATGGCCACCCGGGACCGACTGGGCATCCAGGACCGCATGGGCATCCGAATGCCGTCTATCGCTAAGGACGAATATAGTTTTATGTAATTTGAATTCAACGAGAATATTGATAAGGCTTGTTTGGGTGTTGTAATTGAGTCTGAGGCTATGTCTAGGCCATGTCTAGAGCTAATTCATATGGGTAAGGTGATCTATACAAATAGCGGATCTATTTATAATACAGAGGGCATTAACCATATTTGACTGAGCTCAAACCTGCAATACCGACTTATAATCCTGAAAATTTCAATTCGAATTTTGTAAAGGAGTCTCTGAAGTTAAAAAAATTGTCTGAACTATAGTCCAGTTATTTACAAATATTTTACCTTTCGTTCGTGTACCAGAATTTGTTCTTTCGCCTGAAGGAGCGATGATCTTGACCCGTTACTATCAGCTACGGAAGTGATACGATTGAGTAGATATAAAGCTATCTGAAAAGTTATCTACCAACTGACAGTTATTCGGAGTTCTGCTGCCCAGCATTCAGCCGTTCAGTTGGTAGATCGGCTGTCTTGCTCTATGAGTTAGGTCGATATCTATATACTGTGGTATATCTAGTAGATAATATTGGATACTGTTAGCTAGCTAAAAGAGAATACTTTCTATGTAAGATATCTCCGTGAGAAGGATAGTTGGTGGCCTTATATACTGAGGCGGATACAATGCCAGGGTGTCCGCTTATCGGAGGTAAGGAGACAATGGACTCCGACTTCAGTCTAGTTAAATGGCACCTTTACTAAATATACATAGTTTTAACCAATTTGTCTATATTCTAGATCCATAGCTGAGGAAACGAAGACGAAATACGGTGCTTCGAAAATGAGGACTAAATACAGTGTTTCATAAATGAGGACGAAATATGGTGCCTCGATCAAAGAATAATATACCAAGGCACAGCATGTGAAGGGCTAGAAACCACCATACCTTCGTTTTCTATTTACCAAACTCTAGCCCTCTAAATGCTCAGTGAGAATTGATCTCTTAGACTTCGTTAGCGAATGAAGAAATCACCCGTGCGGGTAATGTATTTGACCCCCTTGTATGGTTTGATGCCTTCGCCCCCACCGAGAGTGCTCGCAATCTTCAATGACTCGACCTTGATCCCAGAGGGGATGGAACCAATGGTGGAATACTGCAACCGGATATAGGTAGGAGAGAGAGGTTCCGATACACCGGATAGTGAGTCAGTCACGGAACGGATGTCAAACCCGTTTCTTTCAGATCCACTATCGTCGTAGTGCTCCTCGTTGCTCCCATCGCTCGACACAATTTTGCCTCGCAAAATCGGCGTGGCTCCAACCAAAAGGTTCTTATGGAAAACCCACTCGGCTCGGCCGTTACCCTTGTACTGAAAGTCGCCGTGCGTCACTCTTATACCCTTAATCGTGGAAACCTTTTCCTGGAACACCTCGCAGTTTACTTCGAGCTTCAAGTTTTCCACGTACTTGGAGTTAAGCTTGTTGGGCACGCCTCTCAAATCTGACTTCATGTTAGAGGAGGCGTTGACCTTCGAGATGAGGCGAAGCTCAAATTCGTTCTTATCCTTGCCCAAACCAGTCTGATAGTCTATATCCATGACCCCGGTGTACTTACTCCATAGCTTTTTGGGCACTGGCGCCTCGTCTAGATGGATGGAGTAATTCATGATGGTGGATTTTCCGTCCGGCGGTATAAAACTCAAATACCCTGGATTCTGCTGCCACCTCTCTACGTTGATGCATTGGTGGAAGGCAGGCGCTGGGAGGTCAAAGTTGTTCAAGTTGAGCAGTAGCTGCAAGGTGGGCACACCGGTTAGATGACAGGTGAGGTTAATCTTACCATCGATGTTGGCCAACGTGGGTACGAGCTTTTTGGAGCCAGAGCCGGAGGAAGAGTAGAAAGCGCTTCCGATAATTCCCGGGGGTTTAGGGGTAACTTTACTAGTGTTGATGGGGGTCAATACCACATTCAACGTTTCAATCAAGTCAACAAATAACTCGTTTTTGGTGTGCTTCACATTCGACCGGCGCCACGGAATGGCATCCTTCTGGACTGCTGACGGCACGGAAGGGAAGCTTGGAGTGCTATTAGTTAAGTTCGCAGTGGCGGACGAGATCAACTTGTTGGCCGACGAACTGAAGTTTGCAGTTTGGGCCAAGAGATTGCTCAAGAAATTTTTGAACGGTACCACTTCGCGGAGCTTGTTGAAGTTGGTGACAAAGGGATAGCCATCCTCAATCATTTCGTTCAACAAGAGCGTCAAGGTGTCGTAATTGCTGACAATTTTTGACTGCACCAAAGGAGCGCCAAAATAGTCCTCAAACACTTCGATCAAACGCGTGATAAACACAAACGGAAGGGCGGGGTTGAAACAGTCCCTTTCGACCTCCGAATTCGGTCTTTGGGAGCTGCACAAGACATAAAAATGTAAACCATTGTACGTATGCTGCGACAAGGCCAAGTTTTTGTCCAAGGGAATGGCTGGACGGACAAGGTCGCATTGTTCTGTGTCGTAGTCATCGGAGTCTTTGGTAAATTGTGCCAACGATTGTTTCTCGACCTTGGTTTTCTTGTGGATAATGGCATCAAACGGGGGAATCTGAGGATTAATCAAATGCTCGTATATCAAAGTACTAGAGGTGTTAGTTAGCGTTTGGAGGCAAGCTCGTTTAGCACTTACTCAACGGAGTCTGCTATATAGACCGCTTCAATTAGTCCCATAGTCTTGGTGTTTTGTGGTACCTAAAGAATGCTTGTCCTAATCTGGCATTGGGAGTTATGTCTTATCTGGTCAGAATTGTAAGCTTCTCTTGGCTGTTCGAGATTGAATCGAGCGCACGCGTCCTAGTTGCGCACGACCCGGGGTGGATCTTCGCCTCGTCATAGCCTTCGAATCCTTAACAATAGGGATGGGCTAAACTACAGTGCTGGAAAACTGAACTAAAGACTCCATGAACTTTCTAAAGATGCCGTCACTTTTAATCAGCGTTTGTATACCGTTTTCGTGGTCATTTCTGGGTAGAGTATCTATGTGTAGTGCAACGATAACATCGAAGTTAGTGCATAGATCGCACGTCTACTTCTGACAACTACAAGCTCCAAGACTTTCCTCTACGCCGAGAATAACCACAAAGACTGACGTGGAATTTTGAAGCCAACATGTTGGGGATACGTAAACGATTGGGGTTGTGTCTCCGCCACGTGGTGGAACGGTGCAGGGATTAGGCGCAGGTCTGACTACGGTCCTGATAAATCTCAGTGATTAAAGGCTGTATTTTCACTACCACAATTACATCTTTCCGGTTTTTTTCAACCAGTTCTGGTGTAACGTATTAGTGGATATCCGCTGAGTTAGTTTAAAGGGGAGAAATATAAAAATAACTGTCTTCAGCCAGATTTGGACTGACGATCTCATTACTAGTGAGATGCTTTACCAACTTGGCAATAGAGGCGAGGAATACACAAAAACGTCTGGCGTGCAACATTCGAAGCCAATATTCAACCGTTCTGTTCTCTTAAAATAGACAGCTGAATCTAAGATGGCTAGGCTGGAATATATCCGTATTCTATCGAGTCTGTATGGCATAACTTTGTGTTTTTCCCGTTCCGCTTGTGACGTCACCTGAAGCAATCTCAGCTCTGTGGTAAGTCTCGGCACCTGCATGTTGATAAACCCCACACTGTTTTCTCGAGCGTTAGACGGAGGTTGTTGCAAGGCAGCTAGACTAAGCTTTAGTGTCGAATGACCTTCTTAATATTTATAAATAGGCAGTTCAACTGTGTAAAGACCAAGGGGTGGCTTTTATAACAAAACAGCAGTTACACTCTGTCCTTTGCTCAATCATATAACCAAAAAAAAGCACTCTTTATCTTTAATCCAGAGTTGACATTGACCTGTCAGGAGCTCAAGCCTGCAAGTAGCAATCATCTAGCATACATCCCCCAATAACCACATGCTACGATGATCGTGGTTGAAATTGACTTATTCTACATACTGCTTCTCTTCTTCGTGATATGCCTCTACTTTTATTTCAATGCCGATAAGGGCCGGTTTAAAGAGAAGGAGTTCTCCCTCGATATAGCTGACGCTAATGAGTCCACAATTTGGGATGAGGGTGATTACGGACAAACGGTGAATCGAAACGAAACCATTACAATAACCTCTCGGGAGATGGAGAAGCTATTTGAAAAATGGGTGAGCACCAGGGGAAAGTATTACGAGAATCTCACCAAGGAGGGCCATCCTCCTCATTCTGGGCTCCTCAACCTTTCTCCCGATTGTTTTACCCATATATTGTTCTACTTGAACCAGGAGGATTTGTTGAACTTGAGTGTGACCTGTAAACCCTTGTACCACCAGGTCTTGGGAAAGTTGTACTCGAACATTCATGTCCATGACTATGATAACCGGATAAGTCGCCTAAAGTCTCTATACGCATCTGTTTCAAAATCTAAACTGGCCTCGAGAACTGTGCATGGTTCAATCCTAAACCCGAGATCGGAAGTTCTCAAACAAGGGCTTCCGATTCTCTTTCAAGGGTTGGCGTACAACTGGACCCTCATTTCTCCCCAGGGGTTTGAAAGGTTGGCCAACAACTACCACTTGCACAGCCAAAAGGTGAAATTTATACACATTGAATACGAGTTCTATTCCGCACCGTTTCTTGTCAAGATTTACCGAAACTTTCCCCATTCCATGATTAGATTTCCCAACATAAGCGCGCCGTTTGAGGGCGATACCAAGCCGCTTCCGTTGGACCATTACTACAATAAAGTTTTTGTCAATTTTCGCAGAAAAGCCCTATGGAATCGATTAGAGTTTTTGTCATTCAACGAATCGGCCATGCTTTCATTCGGGAGATTTAGCTCAGACGGACACCTCATAGGAGCAGACTGGGACTCGATACCCGATCTTCCCCCAAACTTGAAGCGCATCGAGCTTTACGCTATAAAGAGGTACCCTATGTCGGAGATTTTTTGCAAGTGGGGGGCCCAGCTTAGCGTGGTTAAATATCTTGGAGTTATTGGTAACCCCATGGATATTCTCGGTCAAATGGTTGACTCAGGAGGGATCACTTTCATTCGTTTGGATCATATTTTGATGAAGTTCACCGACTCGCCAAGAAACATGGACTTTAGTGCTCTCACTCTGGTCATTCATGCATTGGCGGCGCCCTGCCTTTCAAGAATCCGCAAACTTGACTTCATTTACGACTCTACGTATCAGAAGAGTGACGCCGATTTTCTCTTGGTGGATAACCACAATAATTTTATTGACGTTGAGACTTCAGAATATTTGAACTCGATCGATCAGTTCTTGTTATTTTTAGGTGAATGTTGCGTCTCCCTCGACCTGGTATCGATCTTTAGCCACGACAGACGAAGAAATCGGCAATTCAAGCACGTTTTGCCTAATTTCAACCTGTTTCTCTTACGCTTACCGGAAAACCAACTCACTGTTTTGCAACTACTCATTGGATGCGAGTTTAGTCTTGCCAATTTTTGGACGGGTGTGCAACACCACTCCCAGTCATTAAAAACAATATCGTGGAACGGAAATCTCGGTCGGCAGTTGCTTTTTGGGAATGAAATCTTGAGCCAAACCTCAGGCTCCTCGTTGGATCATCTTGCCCTTGACATGACCAATGGTGATTTATTGACATCGCGATTTATCAAGCCCAACCCGGTAGAGAACCTTGTGGAAAAAATATTTGTTCAGGAAATGAAGATGTTGGCAAAGTCTCGTGGGAGCCTAAATAACACCCTTGACTCGATTCTCACCCGGGGAACCCTGCAGCTAGGATGCAATCACGAGGAGTTGCTATCAGCTAACATCATTGGGGATTCATGGACTCTGGTGCTTCAACACCCACTGTCGTTTCCCAATTTACTGTATATCGTCACCAATGGTATTCATCTTGTGGTTTACAGCGAGTTTGATTCTGTGAGGAGAGTAGTGTCGGTTTACGACCCCGAGTTTTCCGATGAGATGGTGGAGCATCTACATACCCTTGGGAGCCAGGATAAAGGCGCGGTATCCCTTGATTCACTTGTAGGGGGTTCCAGTTTCCTAGATTTGGTTTTCTCGGTCAAGCAAGATGTTAAGGAAGAGTTGGTGATGATGCAAAAGATCTATGTGATCTTGAAGGAATTAGGAGTCAAGGCTAATTAGCCTTGACGGGTTTACGATGAGCAAGGCTGGATACTTTAAAAAAAATGGCGGATAAAAGATTACGGTGGTATTAGCCTGGTAGAATTTTAACCAATTAGTCTCACATGTCCTTTGCTGAAATCTACGTTTAAATATATATGTATATGTATTAAGCTATGTTTTGGTGAGAGACAAATCCGATGCCAGACCTAGATTTAGTTCTTGACCCACAAGTCCATGAAGGAAGAGACATCCTGGGCGTCCAAGTTCTTGTCATAAGAGGCTTCCAAAATCTTTTTGACCTGGGCTGGCTCAAAGTGCTGGTTCAAGTTGGCCTCGAACTTCTTGTAAATCAATGGCTTGCCCTCCTCTCTTCTCTTTCTGTGCCCAACTGGGTAGTCAATAGACTCGCTGAAGACCTCACCATTGGTTAATTCAACGTCCAAGGAGTTGCCGATGTATCTCTTGTCAGCAGCGTAGTAGTCAGCGGTGAACTCCTTGTTTTCCTGGCACTCCATCTTTTCTCTCAAGGCATCGATCTCTGGGTTAGAGGCAATGGCGTCGGAGTAGTCATCAGCGGTCAAACGACCGTGGATCAATGGAATGGCCACCATATATTGGATACAGTGGTCGCGGTCGGCGTAGTTGTGCAATGGGCCCTTCTTGTCGATGATTCGCATACCGGCATCCTGGGTGGAGATAGTGACCTTCTTGATATCCTTGAAGGACTTGCCAGCCTTGGCCAACTTCTCGTGAACCTTCAAGGCACACTCGACAGCAGACTGGGCGTGGAACTCGGCTGGGTACGAGATCTTGAACAAGACGTTCTCCATGACGTAGGCACCAAAGTCCTGGTTCAATTCGAAGGGCTTACCCTTGAACAAGACGTCATAGAAACCCCAGGTCTTGGCAGTCAAGGCGGATGGCATACCGGTTTCACCGTTCTTAACGTGGTAGACCAAGTTAACGGCACGGTAACAGGCGTCACCAGCGGCCCAGGACTTGCGCGACATGGTGTTTGGCGCGTGTCTGTAGGTTCTCAAAGAGGATCCATCGATAAAGGCGTGGGACAAGGCATCGATGGTCTGCTGCTCGGAAAGCCCCAACATCTGGGAAACAACGGCGGTGGTGGCAACCTTGACCAACAAGACGTGGTCAAGACCGACCTTGTTGTAGGAGTTTTCCAACGCCAAAATCCCCTGGATTTCGTGGGCCTTGATCATATACTCCAAAACCTCGCCAACGGTAAACTTCTGGCCGTCGGCACCGTTGGTGGACTTGTGCAAGCGGGTCAAGTGGTCGGCCACAGCGAGGATACCACCCAAGTTATCGGACGGGTGGCCCCATTCGGCCGCCAACCAACAGTCGTTGTAGTCCAACCATCTGATAATGGTACCAATGGCAAAGGCACCTCTGATAGGGTCGTGTTCGATATCGGTACCAAAGACTCTAGTAGCGTTAGGAACCTTGGTGCCCGGGACAACCGGCTGGATCAAGGCGGTACAGTTTGGGTACTTCAAGGCGGCAATCCCGCAGCCCAAAGTGTCCAAGAAACACAAACGGGCTGTATCCTTGGCAAGGGTGGAGTCCACCTTGTAGTTGTGGATGTAGGAAGCGATGGACTTCAACACGGCGTCAGATTCAGGACGAGCGTTGTCATTCATGATGGCAGCAGCGCCAGAGTGGGCAGTGGTGGAAGACATGAAGGTTCTCTTGAGGGTTTGAGAGCTTTGAGTGGAGATTTTCTTCAACATGGTGGGATGTGCGGGGCTGCAGGGGTATTTATAGTGGAAAGAGGAGCGTGAAAAATGAAAAACTAATCGGGGAGCGAATCGTTTTTATAGCCCAGGGAGAGAAGATCGGAGAGGATCGGAGATGGTCAGGGAGAGAGGAGTAAGTCAACATTACGGCGTGTACATACTCTGGAACTTTAATACTGCAAGGCCGAGCCTACAGTGATGTTACCCGAAGCACTTGTGGCCTAAAGTGGGAAATTATTTAGCGTGGTCACTAGTCGGTTAGTTGTGGGATCCTGTATCATACTTTTTCTACCGTAAGTGTCATGTGCCAGAGGGGCATGTGTGGGGTAACAGCTCTCCGAGCTCGGCCACGAAATCCGTGCATGGGTTCACGTGCATCAATCACCGAGTTACTCCCCCCATCTGTAAAGAAGTCAACTTTATCGTTTTATTTCCAACGTGCACCCTTTGTATTGATTTACGTTTAGGCAGTACTCTGAGAGTAATCATCACTGTAGAAAGTCTGGTATCCACTTGTTGCCACCCCCGGAAAAGCGGGGTGCTGATTTCCGAGGACCGGCTGTCGTCCGAAACAGCCTCATCCGATCGCCGAGATCCATACACAAAATCCCAACCAGTGCGACGAGAAACTACATAGCAAGATATACAAAGGAGAGATTAAGACAGTGTAGGGTCACAAGGTTTTTAATGAGGCACGAATATTGAACGTTTTGCTAGAAGTTGAGCAAAGGTTTTATACCAGAGTATGCTCCGATTTACGTACAGCCCTGGTCTCACCTAATCAGACTTCTACTCAACCTCGGTTTAGCTCAATCTCGGTGTACCTATTCGGTAGATCTCACCTAACTTTGAACCATAACTTCAGGGATTTATATTATAAGTACCCCAATATCGGAAACGAATTTAAAGTACAAGATTGGGGCACCGGTATGAAAGCGGGGTATGGACTGCGTGGGTGCGAAATCTTTTTTATTATTGTAAGCATAAGCACACCAACTCATAGAATGATGGAGGGGCGAATCTGGCGGGGTATACTTCTGTCAAAATCCACCTGACCTTCAGAGGTCCTGCGTGCACGCAGCTGCACGTCCCCCGCGCTTCCTACCCCAATCCTCCGAACGAGTCATAGTACCAACCAATACTATTGCCAATCGAACAACAAATAGCGGAGATAGAGATACTGCCGTTACATGTGCTTTTTACGGTGGGTGAAAATCAACTAGGAACCTTACTTGGTCATTCCTAAATTCCATTCCCTCCTCGCAGAAAACTGCATACGAATTAGAGTTTGTGACCTTCCCCTACGCGCAGTGCAGGAAGCAAGTTTCCTAGTTAGTTCCAGAGCCGTAAGGTGCTAGCCGTAACATGGCAGTAGGCGGGGCGAGTGACTCGTATACCAGCGGTTATGGAGGCTCTACACTACCCCTCCCACACTCTTCGTCACTATATGGCCTAAATTGGCTTTCTGTAGCTTCGAGACTCGTCTCAAGCGGCAATATCCCCTCCTGCGATATATAAACCCAATTGGATCTCTTTTCGCTTCCGACCCCCTTTTCGTCACATCACCACATTAACATGCTCTCGACATCTAGATTATCCACTCTCACAAAGCAGTCGCTTATGCGCAAGTCTGCCAGCTTCGTCAAAGCCTACTCCTCCTCTCCCGACTTGAAGGCCACCTTGGAGTCGGTAATCCCAGCGCGCAAGGAGGCCTTCTTGAAGGTCAAGAAGGAACTCAGCGACAAAAAGCTTGGGGATATCACCGTCGGTTCCGTCATCGGCGGTATGAGGGGTAACAAGTCCTTGTACTGGCAGTCTTCGGTATTGGACGCCAATGAGGGGATCAGATTCCACAACCACACCATTGCTGAGACTCAGGAGTTTTTGCCAAAGTCCAAGCACGAGCTTTCAGGCAAGGATGCCGGATTGTCAGAATTCTTGCCGGAATCCATGTTCTGGTACTTGCTCACCGGCGAAAAGCCAACCCAGGAGCAGATCGACAACTTCAGTGTGGAGTTGGCCGAAAAGGGTGACTTACCGCCATACATCTTGCAGATTTTGGACAACTTGCCAGCAACCTTGCATCCAATGTCGCAGTTGTCCATCGCCATCACCGCCTTGAACCATGAATCCACCTTTGCCAAGGCCTACCAAAGAGGTATTCCAAAGTCCGAGTACTGGCAGTACACCTTCGACGATTCCATCAACTTGATCGCCAAGTTGCCAGCTTTGGTCGGGAAAATCTACCAGAACACCTACCACGCCGGTAAGGTCGGTAAGGGCGAGTTCTTGGGTGCCATCAACAAGGACCGTGACTGGTCGTACAACATGGCTTCTTTGCTTGGCTTGAACAACTCCGCCGACTCCGTCAACATCAACGGCATGTCGAATGACCGCTCCAAGGACTTTGTCAACTTGATCAGACTCTACTGCGCGCTCCACGGTGACCACGAAGGCGGTAACGTGTCTGCCCACGCCACCCACTTGGTTGGTTCCGCCCTTTCCGACCCATACTTGTCGTATTCGGCCGGTATCCAGGGTCTTGCTGGCCCATTGCACGGCTTGGCGGCGCAGGAGGTGGTCCGTTTCGTCACCACCATGTACGAATCCCTTGGCTCGCCAAAGGCCACCGAGTTCAAGAGCTCCAAGATCCAGGAGTACTTGTGGTCTATCTTGAACAGCGGCAGAGTCATCCCAGGCTATGGGCACGCTGTTTTGCGTAAGCCAGATCCAAGATTCACCGCCATGTTGAAATTCGGTCTCGCCAGAGAGTCCATCGCCGAGGACCCGCTTTTCCAGTTGGTCCACAAGTTATCTCAGGTCGCGCCGGGGGTATTGACCGAGCACGGAAAGACCAAGAATCCATTCCCGAACGTTGACTCCGGCAGTGGGGTTCTTTTCTATCACTACGGTGTCAAGGAGACCTTGTTCTTCACCGTTATCTTCGGCGCCTCCAGGGCGTTGGGTCCGTTGAACCAGTTGGTATGGGACAGAATCTTGGGTCTTCCGATTGAAAGACCAAAGTCTGTTGACTTGGCCGGCTTAATGGCATAGGGAGTACGGGCGGGACCTTTCTCCAAAACTTTTATTTCTCGATATCCGCATGATCTCATGCACTTGCGCACATTAATAGATTCTTTCGAATTAAACTCGTAAATGAAACACTAGTAATAATGCCGACTGTCTTAACACCCTAACTTTAAAGAGTCAACCTCAAGGACGTGCACATCAGCCGCTGCGATTTAAGTATTATAAATTTCAAGTATATAAAACATTCTGCTTATCTAGAACTGGTTTTCGGTGGAATCCTTGCCGGTGGAGCTGGTCTGGGAGGAACCGCTCTGAACACAGGCCTGCAAGCTGTCCATGTAGTTGGCGCCTGACCACTTCTGGTGGGTTAAGACATCGCAACCAGAGGCCTTCTCTGGAGTCTGGACAAGGTCGACGTAGGCCTTCATGCCTTGGGTCTTGAAAGCGGTGGACAACTGGTGGGAGGTGAGCGCATTGGAGTGCAAGCCCGCGAGCGACACCAACTGGAGTACAAACCCGCTCTTGGCCAAATCCCAAATAAACGAGGTCAACTTCTCCTCGGTAAACCCATGGGCCGACCAGTTGAAGGATGGTGACAAATTGTACACAAGCTTCTTCTCTGGGTATACGTCGTGAATGCGCTTGGCAAACGCAGCGGCGTAGGCCACATCAGGGGTCTTGGTCTCCAACCACACCAAATCCGCGTACGGCGCAAACGCTAAAGCACGCTTCACCGCGACGTCGATGCCCGGTTGCACCATGTAGTATCCCTCCTTCGTCTTTGGGGCTTCCCAGTTGAAGTCGACGGCCACCTTCCCGCCCGAAACCTTGGTAAGAATGTCTCTGCATTCGTACACAGACTTGTCCTGGGCCTCGGCCAAATACAGGGGGTAGAGCTTGCTCAAGCCGAGTTCGGCTAACTTTGCCTCCACGGCCTGGTTAAAGGTGACCAATGGGTTCTGCTCCAACCAGGAAGCCTCTATATGATTGATCTCGCCGCTGGAGGCGCCGCGCATCTCCGCCTCCAACAAAATCTCCGATAACGGCTTGACGTTCGGCTTGCTGACCCCCAAGATGAACTCGTGGTCTCTAGGGTCAACGGTTGAGCTCAACAAGTTACCCGACTCGGAATCCGTGCGCGCAATAACCAAGTTGTTGCAGCCCATGAGATCCCACTGCATTCTGGTGGCTACCAAGCGCGAGATGTGGGTGGATGTTGGTACGATGACCTTCCCCGCAAGGTGCCCACATTTCTTTCCGCCGTGCAACTGATCTTCCAAGTGGATTGCAGCAGCCCCCCGCTCCGCAAAGAGCTTAGCGAGCTTCATGACTGCACCCAAGCCGCCGTGACCCGTGTCTGCGTCCGCGATGATCGGCTTAAGGTAGTCGACTCTATCTGGCAGCTTCGCCTGCTCCTCTGGAGACTTTGAGTGGAACTCGTGGAACGATTTCTTATCGTGCAACTGCTGCGCCTTGAACAAGCGCTCGACCTGGTTCGGTACAGTGTCGTACGGATAGTCGCCAAAGTCCGGGGAGACCTCGTTCGTGGTGGTCAATACCGACGAGCACGCCCAGCCAGAGACATAAACCACTTCCTGGTTTCTAGCGGATTGCGACATTTGGACAGGGTCAATGGATCCGATGGTGTGCACGGGTGTGCGTTTCTGGAAATTTTCCTCAAGCAAGTTGAACAACTTGTCAGCTTGGGTGGACGACGCGTACAGCTGTGTCAACGAACCGCGATGGAGCGCAACCTGCTGCGCCGTGTACGGGCGCTTGATGCCCTTGAAGCGTGGCGAGCGCCACCACTCCTCGATGCGGGCGACCTCATCTTTGAGGTATTGCGCTTCTTCCGTGCGCGACGGGTACGGGTAGGTGGATAACTGGGTCAATGTTCTGGTTATCTGCGGGACGGTCGTCAACCTGACACTGTTGGGAAGCATGGTGATGGTGGCAGGTGTGGGTAAGGTGGAGAGAAGCGCAAAAGAATGTTTATATATCTGGTTTGTGGTTACGAGGATTTCGTGGGGTAAGCCGAGCTCGGAACGATGCGCGATGAGTCTTGAGGGGATGAACGCGTCAGAATGCCTGCGGGGCTAAATACGGTCGTGGGCTACTCGCTCCACTATACCGTCTGTGCAAAAGTGGGGTTACGGTTGAGTGTCTGTGCGTCACTATGTGAAAGTTCGGTCCGAGATCGAAAAACAAAATGGTAGATGCAGGTGGTCGGAGCTGAAAAGCCGGAAAGCCGCGGGGGAAAAGCCACGGGGGGAAGCACACGAGAAAGGGCAGGACAAAGAGGGCTTGGTTGGTGGTGGAGCTGATTGCCAGTGATGCTTAAATACTATACACTCATGGCATTGATATTACTGCAAGATCTGAGCGTTGATCCACTGGAATAAACTGTAAGGACTAGTAGGGCAAACCGCCAAGGGGTATGTTGAATATTACCAATTTGGTAAAGGTGGGCCTATTCTTGTTGGCTTGAGCATATAAGGTCAGTTCTGGTGTCTGGACCCAGAATCCTTTTTTTTCCCATTAAACTGATAAAGGCTTGGCTATCTAATAAAATTGATAAAAGTTCGAGTGGGCAAAGTTCTTGGTCGAAGTATTACTCATATTTTTGGTGAATACATAGCCATAGAGAAGGTTTATAGTGAAACAAGGAAGCGACGTGCAACGATAATCTAATCATATATTTAATCCAGTTGTACTAGTATATATAGCCCGTGTTAGCTCATCACGATCCTGTAAACGTGTCCAGTGATTTATCTCCGATAGTTGACTAGCAATAGCTACGCAGGTAACCCGGAAATTCATAATCTCATGAGTTTCTGGTTATGAAATTTCATGTTCAAGTGGATAGCCAGACCTGGCTCGAGGTTTATGTGAGCAATAATACCTTGCATATACGTAGATTAAGGTGCATCCGCGGCTCAGAATCTAACCAGCGCTCTTTAAAGAATTTCTGTTGCGCAGCTGCAGGCAAAACTGTTGCTATTGCGCAATTTGCATGGAGGCTAATCGAAGACAGGATCTTGAGGTGTTTTTGGTACACCCAACATTGTTCATACCTCTATATGGCTGAGTTAATTTTACGAACCAGCACCCATCACCAGTACATCGTATTCATGCCTCCACTCGGTCTGGTTCTCTAGAAATAATACCTTGCGTCGGCTACACGAACGGGGGGGTTCCGATTACCGGGCCTGGCACTGCAGTTGGCTTTTCTCAAGTGGTTAACCATTTTGGCGTATCTGATGCATTACACGCTTCTCCCCACCGTGCTAGTGCCCGAGGTCATACTCACTATAGCATCCAGCGGAAAACCATGTATATGGTTTAACAGTGCATAACCAGTCTGCTGGTTCGTATGACGACAAACTATTTAGGCCACCCCGAGAGGGCACACTTGGTAAGACCAATAGCAGGGAGCTAGGAGCCGGAAACTACAGGAATATGAGATTAGGCCGCAATTATTCAACGCACATGTAACAGGGAAAAGTCTAAAACGCAACTTTTCTCAGGCCTAGGTGCAGTTATCTCGCGGAGTGCAAGTTGTCCAGCCAAAAGGTATATGCACAGCTGCATGACACTACGTCATCACAATTTATACTTTCCCTTACCGCTTGACTGGAACTTCACCAGTAAAATGCAGCTTGAGGGAATAGAGGGTATGAAATTGTGCTCATTGGAGCAATAAAGAACGGCAAGAAGACGCACGTAAGCTTAGCCTTGGTAGAGTACTGGGATCCCACAGCATGCTCGTTGCTCAGCCTACAGCTGCACAACCCTTCAGAGACGCTAGGCCTGTACCATTTTCCTCAAAGTTTAATTGATTGCCCAACCCAGGCGATACGATACGCACTCCCAATCTAGACTCCCAACGAGATCAAAGGTGCATAAATATTTGCACAAGATAAATAAAGCCGCGTTTGCCCTGGCGTGATTTTAAATATATATATAAAACCTCAACCGCCTGTTTCGGATTATAAGTCCGTTTATTTTTACTAAGTCTATTCAAAACCAGGTAGCCTTTCGCATTTGTCCCTCAGTATTCGCCATGGTCCCTTTGTATATGGTTACTCCCAAACTTTCAGTTGCCAAGATTGACAATTTGTCGTCACCCAACGTGGAAAAGTTCTATCAAATCTACCAGGATGCCAAGTCCAAGTACGACTCGTTGTGCGAGTTGACATCCAATAACAACTCCCGAGAGGACTTGAGTGTTCCACGCTCGATGTCTCCTGCTCCCATGTCTCTTCCCATGCACTCTGCCCCATGCACGCTGTCGCTGGCATCCAGCTTCTACTCGTTGGGAGCGATTGGAGCAAACGCCAGACTGTCAAACAAAAAACTGTCGCTCAAACAGATAAAAATAAAGTATCACAAAATGCTCGTGGACCACGCATTGACAGAGTACCGGTACATCAAGTCCTACAACAACATTCTTACCATCGCGAACGAATTCTTCACCAAACCGGAGTTGACGTTAGAAGACGAGGAGAAAGGGTTGGACTTGATTGGTGTGGAGATGCAGAGCTATAACGAAATTGAAAAGGCATTCAAGAAGCTTGTTATCATCAGAAAAAACTTTGAGCAGGTCTACGCAAAGGAGTTGGCTTCTGCTGGTCTTGGGGTCAACGCTATGGGAAAAGGCCGTGCCTTCCCCGTGAGCTCCACCCCAAAGGTGTAGCAATTCCGCGATCGTATTTAAATTTTGTATAACTCAATATATCGGGCAAGGACGTGAGAAGTAGCCAGAGGTCAACCAAGGCGCCTCTGATCCTTACTGGAAT